GGATCCATGTGAAAGTGACAAGGCCCTAAAGAAATTCCTCATATTAGTCTGCATTCAACCCGCCATGATTTCCTAACAATCGGAAATCATCGCTCATGTCGAACTTTCGCGATTTTTGAGCCGACAAGTTATTGACAGGTCTCGAGTGTTTTTACCCATCAGGCCTTACTGGCGAGAATACAAAGATGCTGTTTTGCTTTGAGGTGGTGAACGGTATTTCTTCGTAAATTATGTTATTTATCTCCTGATCTCACCTCCTCTTGAAATATTACTAGAGGACACTTTAAGAGTATCTAAAGTATTTGAAATTTAATCGTAAAACTTGTGACATGCATGTCGTTGAGCACGGGAAGTAATTGTTTCCCGGCAGTGTTTTGCTTTTTATGTGACAAAGGTTAAAGCGTATGGCGACTGGGCTGAGCCTGAATTTGGAACCAGGTAAGATCATGCAGAGGACATCATTTATTTATTCGTAGTTCTTGCTTCTCTTTGGCTTGTAAGATTTGTGTTTAAAAACAACCCGGTATGATCTTTGAGAGCGGCGTGCTATTTGCAAAATATATCTGTTTGAGTAGGTCGCTGCTTATTGCTCAAGTTATGTCTTCCCTGAATATTGACTTGGCTAAAAATATTTTTTCATTTTCAAGCGAAAGGGACAAACTCATATAAAGTAACGCTGGCGAACTCCTCAGTTAAGCCGAAGACCAAACCAGTACCTTTGGAGGTAAACTGAAACACTTTTGCGGAAAATTAGACGTTTTACGCTCAGCTCTTACGATATAAGCTTGTGGGCGCTCTTGTCGTAATTCCGGGAATGGCATCTGAGACTAAAACGAAATTTTACAAAATTCATTGGTAGCAATAGCTATCGCTAAGACCTATTTAAAATGCTGGTTACCAGTGATGAACACTGCTTTGTCTAAAGCGTTTAACTTCAAATGTACAGCGCTTTATTCCAACTTCAACTGAGTTTGTAGCAATCTTTATGAAGTGCTTATTCAATCCTTCAATCCCTTTTTTTTAAAGATAATTTGTTATCATTTTTTCAATTTTTTGAAGAATTTTCAATAGCCTTTTAAGTGACTAAAGAAAAATTTTTTCCAATTTAATTTGATTCCACTCTAAAATTTTCAGCTCAATGGGTTGTTCCTATTCCTTTCCACTTACCCTACCCCCTTAGGGGTAAGAGATTAATGAAGCCTGTCAACAAGGATGTTACATTAGGAGATTTAGGCTGACATAGAAATATTTCACCTGCTTGGCCAGCAGTCAGCTGACCAAACATAGTTTTTTTCCAACTAGTTCAAAGTCTCAATGCCTTTGAATTTCATTTGTAAGTACATCATGCAGTAACAGAAAGAAGTTGAAAATTTCACCTAACCATTAGAGCAGCAGCACAGTTTATTTCAAGGGAAGTAGTGTTTTCAGAGTGATTGTTGGGTCTCTCTGTCTCACTGAGAACTCTTCAGTCTACCATGTCATTTGTCCAGCAATATAACCATGTGATCTGCCAACATCCCAATGGTTTATTACAGAAAGTGGGGTCTGTTGTTAAAAGTGCTTTGACATTCAGCATATTATTACTCTAACTTAATTTTATTGAGTTTGTTATCATTATTGTTGGTATAATTTTATCATCATTTGTTTTTATTATTTACTTAGTGTTCACACCAAAAGGTGATAGCTAAAATCATTACCCCTTCGAACATCAAGCTTTAGTTTGTACTAAAAGAGTAAATAGTGTTAAAGGTGGGCTCTGATTGGTTACTCAAACTCTAATTCATCCTCTGCTATTCACCTCCAAGCTACTTACATGGGATTTTCACCCAAAAAATTTGTAATCATTGTAGGTATGAATGAGTTGAAATCATATTTTTGTGCTATATTATCTCATTAAAACAACCATTCACTTCAGTGTCAGTGAATAGAGATGTGTATTAACCTTACTGCTTTGTGGCTCAGTAAATATCCATCACAAGCCACCTCCATTTTGGTGAATGGTTGTTTAATAGCATGAAGAATGTTACTTAGCTCATTAGCCCTCATGCAAGAAGTTAACAACGATTGCAACATACTTGGAGTATCATACCAGCTTTTGGCTCAGTGTAAATATAATTTCAATATCTAGACAACATCTATGTTTAAGCTAGATAAATGGATATCTCAGTTTTGTAACATTTTTTCTTGGCCTCATTCCTAACAAACTGGCATGGAAATGTTTGAGGTATTAATTTGAATTTATACCAAAAGGATAGTGAAAAACATGATTTGAACAGTTCCTAATAGAAATGTCTTTTAAAGATGGAGCTGATTAATGCATTTTTGTATCCGTGCCTTGACATTTTCAGATGTCTCGAACACAGTCCTTCACATCGACTGACAAAGAAAAGAATCCTCCCACCCCACGTTCCAAGATTGGACATCGCAGGGTGGATGAAACAGGAGAAACCACATACAAAAAGGTAAGTGAGAAAACATTAATTCTTGGGTCTGAAAGCTTTTAATCAAGGACATGAAAAATTAATCTTAGTTAAGGTTTCAATAATAAGTGCAGAAAAAGTGGTATACATGCTGATGCATTTGTACTTTCTTGCATGAATTATATGTACCACTTCAAAAAATATTAAGTCATTACAATTTATTTGATGATCTCTCTGAAATAGGAATTATTGTTCAAGATAAATGAAACTTGTCTGAAAAATTTTACTAACCCATGTTTTTGAACTATGTATTAGACTCCCTCATCAGCGCTTATGGCAGCCATTCAACTTGGGATTGGATTCACTGTGAGTTCCTTGTCAAACATTCTTGTGTATAACAGCTGTCAATAGCACACCTTCTGTGTTTTAAGATTCTGAACAGTGTATATGTCTTTCAGGTTGGAAGACTATCAGCTAAACCAGAGCGAGATGTGTTGATGCAAGATTTTGCAGAAGTAGAAACTGTTATATTTCCAAGGTAGATTCCCCTGATTGATAGACATAGGAAACCTATACTAGAACTAAATTTATGCATTGGGACTTTCTAAAGGGATTTTGATGGCACATAGCAGTCATTTCATAAATGTGTGTAGGGTTTTGGCCTAGTGTTTAGTAACATGTTAGTTTATCAGGTTTGTTTACCTAAGCACTACTGGGAATTTACTCTATGAAGTAATGGTTTTTTTTTGTTTTTTTTTACAGTGAAGGATCAAGAGAGACCCCATCCCATCGGTTTAGTGATTTTAAATTCAAATCATACTCTCCAGTTGCTTTTAGGTATGTTTATGCTCTTTGCACTCATTTGATATAAAAGGTCTCAGGTTATTGTTTTGAGATGTTACTAATGTACAGTGTATGAAAATTCAAATAAAACTATTTTAGTGATAAAGCTTTGAAAAGAATAATTGTACTGAGACTACTGTAGATTCAAAAGAATATTCCCAGATTGCTTAAATATTGCATTCTTTCATATTTATTCCATAGATATTTTCGGGATTTGTTTTTGATGAACCCTGCTGAATTTATGGTAAGAGGAAGAGCCTTTTTGGCTCCTTCAAATGATTCTTATTTTTCTTAGAAAAGTAACATCACATATACTTATATAAGGAAATTATCTTGTATATAACTACTGATTCTTAAATATTGAGACTACTGAGCTTATGCATAGATACACTGTACTTGAGCATAGCCCCAAAAAGTCCTTTTTTTAAAGTTTCATTTAACCATTATCTGTAAATTTTTCTCAATACTCTTTTCTTTGATTTGAATACTGTGAATAAACACAACCTCAAAAAGCCAAGGTTGGCTTAGTTTGTTAAGCATCCTACACAAGGAAAAGTTAAAGAAACTTATAAATCCTACAACCTGATCTTAACAAGTGGAGTTAGAATTTTAATCATATACCTCTTACAGTTCAGATGATCCTAACATTTTTTTTTTCTAGTAAGGCAGTCTTAGTCGTTAATACAGAGATCACCTTCTAAAGAAGAATTTAGACAGGGCACTGCATAATACAACATAAGACAATGTGACATCCTGTAAATCCTTTAAATTAGCATTGCCCTTGACTAAGTACCACTGGCCAAAATTCAAAGTATTTGTTCCCTTCCTTCCCCCCACTTTGTTTCAACAGATCAGTGACAATGTTCACCAAAATTGTTACATACATAGCTGCAGTATACAATTGTTTCACTGATACTGTAGTTTTATTGTTATTTTTATCATTGTTATTACTATTATTACTATTATCATCATTAGTGAACTCCTTAGCCCTAGAAAATAATGAACTGTTCAATACCAACATACCAACTGATCCCTAAGTAAAATCTGTAGAACCGGCCTTGTATTTATATGCACAATTTTTTTGTTGTTGTTTGCATGTAGATGTTATTTAATTATCAAAACAATCATTACTGGTCAAAATTTGAGAAAAATAAAATCAGGACCTCCTTTTGACTTGGTCTTTTTTTAATATATTAAATTAAAACTTTTTTACTTTAACTTGACTTACCTTTGCAACCAGAATTAGTACAGCCTGAAACATTACACTAGTTATGGTTTAATATGTTATTTTCATTCCTCATGATCTGTTATTGTATTTTTTTGAATATCCAAGTCATTCATGTTTTTGGTTAAAAAGAAAAATAAAAAAATTATTTTTTTACTTAGGATCTTGTCTAGAAAGCAAAGTTTTTTTTTTAAAAAAATCTGACTGATTGACATGATGAGTCTTTACAGTGTTGTTGTCACACAATAAATCTCAATCGCATCTGAAGCTTCTATAGTCATTGGTGATGTTTGCCTTGCTTTATTCACCATGAGATCCATAGAAATTTTGTAGGAAGAAAACAAAATTGTTTTTCTACTGAATATCTTTTACTTTTCTATGTCTCTCTTCTGATAAGCTGTATTGGATTGAAGACCAACTCGCCAACATCTGTACTTGATTTTATATGTCGGCGAGTTGGCATTGGCAAGTTGAACCATCAACAACTTGACGGAAATTCTTCCAGCTTGTTTCTTGCAGTACTTCTAACCACAACCCTTTAACTCCCTGAAGTTATCAATATGAAAACTTCTCCCTATAATATCCTTACATTATCCAGCAAACAGGTAATGAGAATATTCAAAGTTATCAGGTGGAAGTTGTTATCTTGATCTTACACAAAATTCTCATAACTAATTCACAAGGATATGTGTAGCAGTTCAAGGGGAGAATTAGCAATCAGATCTTGGGAGTTGAAGGGTCAAATTTATATGTACTGTGTAACCTTTTTCCACCCATGGCAATATTGCTAATAACTTTCTGCACTTGTATTTTCTCAATCATGTAGAAAAGACAGTTTTTAGCTGCATTGTCTTATTTTGCATTGGGATTGGCATTTATTCTCCTTTGTGAGTTTGTAAAAGTTCAACTGTTGAGCAAGAAATCCCTCTAATGGCTATTGTTACTGAAAATCTGTGTTGACTCCTGAATTTTTCTCTTCTCTAGATGGCACTATGTAATGAACCGTTGGTGGAGCTTACTAATTCAGGAGCTAGTGGTTCCCTGTTTTATGTTACAAATGATGACGAATTTATTGTGAAAACTGTTCAACACAAGGAGGCAGAATTTCTTCAGAAATTGTTGCCTGGATATTATTTAGTGAGTGGTTCCTACAGCATGTAGGAAACCAATGCATGAACACTTGCTAACACATTTAGATAGAGTAATATTTATGAATTATATCCTACTTAAACTGCAAAACTGAACTAAGTAACACAACAATAAAAAAGAGTTCAAGTCTTCAGCAAAATCACTACATTAGTCACTGTTGACCCTTGCTGCATTCCAAAGGCTTCAATGAATTGCTGAGTGGGAGAAAGTCTTGTCATGTAGGATTCACATTCACAAATTTTATAATCATTTTGTTTGAGTCCTCAAAACAGTTTTGGGCTTTGTTTTAAAATTGGACTGCACACAGATAAGCTTTACAGCACCTCAAATTTTGGGAAAAAGTCTTTGGGAAGAAATTGAAAGAAATCACAAGTGGAGTCTTAAGAAAGTTGCTTTACTTTTTTGCTTCATGAAAGGTGTAATTGCATTCATAACAACAAGGATCACCCCTTTTTAAGTGGTTTCCTTTGTGAAAAAATAAAAAAGGTTGACAAACACCAATCACATAAATTAGTATCATGTCTTCATGTGATGTTTGCTAAATACATGCTTTGTTGGAGAGGTGCAATGGTGATTCTTAACTGAAATCACATGGAAAGAGTAATGCTGTTGATTATAAATATCTACACATTTTGGTTAGGAAATATTCTGTGTGATGTTCATTATATCAGAATCAAAGAAGCTCTAGTGCTTGCATGGCTACAGGCACTTGAGACTCAAGTAATTCCCACCAGTGACCAGGGAAGAGAGGGTGGGGGCACATAAAACTTTTCCACACTTAGATGTTATAACTTTGTGTGCATGAATGATGTCACTCATATTGATATTATTGTTTCACTGTTGCACTGTCTTTTGTATGCATCCTAATACTCAGTAAGTGAAATTCATTGGTTGACTAATTTTTTTATGTTCCTCATAGAATTTAAATCAGAACAAAAGAACATTGTTGCCAAAGTTTTTTGGCTTATACTGTTATCAGGTAACATAAAAGCTTTGTTCAGAACTCTTGTTTCAATTTCACAAATGATTTGACTGTTACTAACTGTTACTGTTGTTTTCATTGTAGTGTGGGGGAAAGAATATCAGATTAGTAATAATGAACAACCTCCTACCTCGAGGATACAAAATACATTTTAAATATGACCTTAAGGTAAATATATAAACTGGACATGTTGATTCCCTCTGCAATAGCACTGGTTTGTAACTCAAGTTGATATCTATAAGCAAAAGTGACCACCAGTTATACTTTGTATACATAGTCAGTAACAAACATTTCTTTGCCATAAACTTTAACTGGTACCTACATGTATCAATAGAAAGCCCTTTATAGTGGTGTATGTACAATTTTCAAGATATGCCATCCATCCTTTCAACTAATTCACATATACATTGTTTTAATAGGGCTCAACATACAAAAGAAAAGCATCAAAGGCAGAAAGAGCCAAAGAAACACCTACACTTAAAGACTTGGATTTTTTGAATGATCACCCCGAGGTAACTGCTCTTTTTGACAAAACTCACTTTCAGTCCACTGATTATTCTTATTGATATTATTATTATTATTATTATTATTAAATTATTATTATCATTATCATTATCGCTGTTATAGCTATCCTCCTTTTTATTCATAATGTTATTATTGTTTTATTATTAGTGGTATTATTATTATTATGATCATCATAATCATCACAACCGTTAATGGACTAAATGCATGAATTCCTTAATTGTGCATAATAAAGATTGTTATTTGACCTTCCTCAAACTTATTGCTTTGTTTCTAGGGCCTTTTTCTTGAACCAGAAACTTACAATGCAGTAATGAGGACAATCCAACGAGATTGTAGAGTAAGTTATCAATTCCTTTTAATTAGTTCCTTTGCCACTTTTTTCCTAATTATATCATCGTAATCACAAATTCAGCTCATTTTTTTTTCACAAATGTGATGTAGTAGTTGAGTATATATGCTACCTTATAGCGTTGTAATGTACTTGTGTGTGTCTTCATACTGGTATTTAATGGTCTATAGCATACATTGAGATTGACAGACAGGTCAGAACAACTGATAATTTTATTTAATTATTAAAAGCCAATGGAGTACCAGTGTTCATGCTTTAACTGCTGACCAATCGATGTTATTTATTGTTTTGTGCAGGTATTACAAAGCTTCAAAATCATGGATTACAGTCTCCTTCTTGCCATTCATAAAGTAGAAGAGACTAGTACGAATGTTGTGGCGAGATATAAAAGATCAAACAGTGAACCTGCGACTGATAAACCAACAACCAGAGTAGAGACTCCATCAGGTCATCTATCTTCCCCCACTGATGATACAACCCTCATGACATCTGGCAATGGACAGTGGGAAACAAGAGCACGTAGTCCTGGTAAATATTCCATGCACTGTCGATGCATGGTGTGTTTTCATCAGTCTCTCTCTAGACTGTACACTAAATTAGTTAATCAGTATGTACATGTATTATTTAGACGATAATTTGGACTTGTCGTTAATATCAAACATTTATTAGATGTACTTGTAACAGTTCATTATCACTTAGATGTACACCGTAAAATCATCTTAATTCAGGTACTGTGCTCGTAGTAAAGCACTGAAAATATTTGTTTTTGGAAAAAAGAAGTGATAAAAATGAAGCTTGCTTCTCTTTTCAGAGAGCAGCAGCACATCTCTGTCACGTACTCGAAGTTTAAAAGGAAGAGAAGGCTTCAGTTCAGCCTGGGAAGCAATCACTGTAGGAGATGAAACAGAAGAGAGACCGTGAGTACTTAGAATCGTCCACCCTCTTAACACTGGATACAGATTATGACAACTGCAGTACTATTCCGGATGGGACTTGAGTGACGAAGGTAACTCACTTTTAATTCTATTGTGCTTGTGTTTCAGGGTTGGTGGTATTCCAGCTCGTAACGCCAAGGGAGAACGTTTGGTTCTATTTCTTGGAATCATAGATATCCTACAAAGTTACAGGTAAGTTACTAAAAGACCCCACTTTTCAGGTTATACCTGATGCTTTTAAAATTTTACAGTAAGAAATTAAATCTATGCTCTTCTTTGCCAACAGAATAGTAAAGAAACTAGAACACGGTTGGAAGGCTCTTCTTCATGATGGGGTAAGTTTTCCTGGCTTTTGTCAAACAGGTTTTGTCAATTGTAAATGGTAATAAATCATAGTATCTGAGCGTATTTTTGTATTTGCAGGACACAGTGTCAGTCCACAGACCATCATTTTACTGCACAAGATTCCAAGAATTTATGTCCAACTTCGTGTTCAAGAAATCAGCAGGTACAGTGTACACCTAAGAGTGGTAGGACGTGTGCTTTTTTAGAGAATGTATCCTTGCACAGCCTGCAGGTTAAGTCCTCGGCTGTAATTCTCGAAATTTTGCGTACTCTGGCTTTTACAGACGATCCCACAGCATCTTAAATGTGCTGTCTGTTAATATTTCTTGTGTTTTAACGTGAATCATCTTATTAACTTGCAGCTAAAGCGTCTCCACGGAAGCGTACCGCGGGAGGGTCCATCCATCGTGTTCGTTCCGTGTCAGAGAACGATCGAACCAACCGAGATAGAACGTTGACTAATGATAGTAGCACATCCGATAAGGGAAGATCAAGATCATTTACAGAAGCTGATAAACTTGTTGAGAAAACAAGTCTGAAAAAAACACCTAGTAGCGGAAATGGCGGCCAAACGGCCGACGAAAGTACTACAGATAAAAAAGTAATCGTTGTTGGTAAGTTTTGGAAACACTCAAGTTTCTTATATTCAGAGATAAGCTATCATTGCGTAAGCTATGATTATTAATCGGAGGGTATAGAGAGAGTTTAAAAAACAGATAATGTTTCAAAGGGAACTCCTTCATCGAGGTATCTGTACTCTCTTACTCAGAAAACCACGAAAAAACCGAATATTCGGGAAACATTTTTTTTTGGTTTCGTCAATTATGCCGGAGACGAGGACACACGAGCAAAACACGATCTTATAACCGTTGACTCTTCCATTTTAATTCTGTTTAGTGTGCAGGTATGTGTGTGTGTGTGTCAAAGGGGGAGGGGTAGAATAAGCCCGCTGTATATGAAGGCTAAGGATCGTTGTTGTGCTAAACCGAAAGGGAATATTTTTACCTGCAATGCTAACATGTCTTCCTTTTAACAACAAAAATTTCATGATAGGCTTCTGAACTGAATTGGCTCTATTTGTTAGATCCTAAAGACGTCTTTCTAGAAGCAGAGGGACCGACTCACTCGGCTCAGGCCTCGACGGCCAGTCAAGAGACTGTAAGTAACCAACACAGTCCACACACCAGTGATACCGCTGAACAGCCAACATCGACAGCACCTAGTGAAAAACATGAAACAGCGAGTGATACCAAAGTGGAAGAAAATCGAGTCGAAGATAATTCAAAAATTTTACTTACCGAAAACAATGTGGACGACACAATAAATGAAACGTAGGCAAATCTTTCATTGAAATAAATGAAATATAATGATAGATTTCCGGGAGAAAAACTTTCTTACTTGACTTTTCTATTAATGAATTTGATGAATTGTGCTTAAACGTTGTATCAATTTGCAAATATTATTACGATGTATTTTTGGAACGCCAAATCCGCGGAATGTATTTTAGCAGAAAGTTAGAGCTAAATAATATGACGATATGCAATGTAACAAAAAAAAAATAAACAGTGACTATGCAGGAACTGTTGTTAAAAGAAAGACAACACCTGAAGAATGGTTAGACCTGGGTAGGTTTAGGAATTGTCGTTAACATTGAGGTTTTGTGAAAGATGATGTTAAAGTTATTTCACTGAACGTGTGGGGTGTTGTGGGTCATCGTTCGTTCTTCGTCACGGCAGATAGAAGCTGTAGACTTTCGATAGATATCTTGATGTTACAGTTGATGAAGAAATTACTAGGAAAAAGAGAGAGGCAACAGGGTGCTGAAAGAAATGTCGGCGATAAAAAAAAGAGGAATAGAACCGTAGGAAAAAAAAACAGCTAGGGAAAAAACCTTGGCATTAATTGTTATTTTAAGAGCGTATAATTAACAGACTTCCTCTGGTACCCCGTTGGGTAATAGATTGACATACTGCCAATTGTCAAAGCCATCCAAACTGTCTTCTAAATAACTTGAAAATAAGATTAATCAGTTTAGCCTTTAAATTTTTGAGAGTGACGCTAAAGATCTAAAACTTTTAAATCGTCGAGTTTGGCGCAAACATGAACTTAAAAATCAGAATTCTTTGCGGAATACGAAGATGTTATTTGAGATTTAGATTATTTGAGTAGAACAGATTGGTGTCTGTTGTAAGCTGGCTGGTCCGTTGGTATCGGTATAATCCAGCAAGCCACTAGTTTTGTCTAAAACAAAGCTGTAAGTCTCCTTTGAATCTTTTCGTAGCTTAAACTTCTTATCAATAGTTGTAAAGTTCTATGAACCTGAAACTTCTAACTGCATGAACACAATGCTTTATGGCTCGTGTACATTGTCTTTTTAACAACTTTCCGGCTCTGATGTAACCGTTTTATTTGCTCTTTAATACCCTTTGAACGTTTTGTTTAATATTTAAAATATCTAACACTCCCTAAATCTTCTATATCACTAAACTTGTTTGTAGAAGCTTAGAGATATTGGTCCATAACTCCTGAGAGACGAATCCTTTCGGTTTGTCCGCGAGTCTCTCGGATACGAATCGGGTCCTCTTGTCTCCCATATAGGTCGACTAATCTAACGACTTTTGACGATTTTAATTTTTCTCTCTGTTGTAGTCTTTTTGCTGTTTTGTTCTATTTTTTGGTTTTTTAACCCTTTAACTCCCAAATCAAATTTGTCATTCTCCTTACTGTCAACCATTTAATTTTTATAATATTAGTTCGGAGAATTTATGATTGGATCAACTAATTATCCCCAAATTGATATTTTTCTTTATTCTCATCACTTATCTAGTTGATCTTGTATTGATATTGTAAGGAGAAATTCTGTTCTGGTCTCTCATGGGAGTTAAAGGGTCAAAGGGGAACAAGGAATTGTTTTCCTTGGAAAAATAATTGGGTTTTCTTTTTCAAGGAAGTCCTCGCGGTCTCAGCTACACTCAATTTTCGCAAATTTACGGGAGGGAGTATGGAAAGGGGAAAGAATTAGAAAATTCACATCTCTCAACTCTGTGTGTTGTGGAATAAAAAAGCATTAGAATATAATTGGCATTGGAATAATGTGAAATTGTCATTCTAGTATCTTGTGTGTCTTCAATCTTACAATGAGTTCCTCATGCCACCTCATTCAAACATGTTCAGTGTCATTGCGTAGACAATTAACTGGCGCTCTTTATCCGGCATACGAAACTGAGGCATCTGTCAAATTGAGGTAGATGTCAGGTTAGTCGTTGCAACCTTACGCTCTCAAACCGAGAAGGTGATGGGCAGCCCCTAAAGGAAGCATTCGTATCAACCCAACCAAAGCTGCCTTTTTGACTGATATTTTCCAACTTAGGCAATATTGATTAACTTGCCAATTTACAGAAAGCAAATTTTAGGGTTAGTATTATTTGGCGACAGACTCAACCTACACCAACTGACCCATGAACAATTCTTTAAAGTGCAGGCCAACAAAGTAACGTGGCGGTTGGAATGTACTCGGAATGTTAATATTTGTTTATTTGTTTGTGCATGTTTTAACCAGTTTTACGTATACTTTGTTTAGAAAGCGATGAACCACTAATTACTTAACTGCCAAAGGTTTGTTTAGTAATGAACCCTTTTTTTGTTATGTTGTTTGTTTATTTTTGCTGATTCTTTTCTTTCTTTATTATTCATGCTATTTTTTGTTTTCTTAGGGTTAAGCACTTATTTTGTTTTGCTTAGCAGCTTTCTATTCCGTTTAGTTTAGTTTATTTTGTGCTCCCTTGAGAAAAAATGATGTTTTATCGATCCCATTCCCCAACTCAGTATTAGAACACTAGAAATTACCTCCCTACAAATAGTTCTTTGTAAGCTAAGTAGGGTTGAGAAGTTCAAAATGACTCTCTGTAGGGCCATGATACCGATCCCTCGTGTTCAGTGTGTGTGGTTGGCCGATTTTGTTCAGTTTTAGAACCCAGTTAGGCCACTGCTTAAATGGTGAATGGCTGTTATTTCCAGGGAAGCGCTGCAGCTCACAGCTGTCTTCGCCGGCAAGTCAGCTTCCAACTACCTGAAGAAGGAGACGTTATAGAAGAGAAATGACTCGGGCTCTCATAATCAGAGCACGGACCATCTTGGCGGCGCTCCACCAGAACCGACCTGGTTGTGACACGTGATTAAGACTTCTTCGATTACTTAAGACTTTTTGTTGTTTCACAAGAACCTCATTTTTTAAACTGACCAAATTAAAACTTAAGTCTTTGTATGCGCTTAACAAAAGATGCAGTGTTCTTAAACCAAACTTAGGTTCAAAATTAAAACCAACATATGTAGTTATGATTTCTTCAGTAACATGACACATTTCTTACATGGTGTACGCTGGCTTGAACCTATTTAATGTTAGTTTGATTGATTTCCGGTTGTATTCAGGGTATTTTATGCTCTAGGTACAGTTGATCAAAAAAGTTGAATGTGTCAGAAAGTGGTTAAAACTGGCACGGATTACTGATGCTTCAAGCTGTACTTTATTAAATAGTTAAAATATGGAGTAGTATTGACGTTTGCCTATTGGCCTTGGTTGCTAATCTGTAACGTTACGGCGATGGGTGTGTATTAGCGGGTTGAAGGCGGATTAGGAAAAAAAGGAATGGAGCAGTATTAACGTTTGTTTTAAATTGTACCAAACTCAGAGAGCTTGCAGGTTAAATTTCTCTTTGCCGTAAAGTTTGTTCTATTCTAATTTCAAATGAGATGCACTAGATCAACGATTTAGTTCCCATTATTAAAGATAACGTCTAAAAATAGCAGATTGTAAGGATTCATATTAATTTGGTCCAAAGTAAGTCATGGAATAAACTCGCAGAAGCTTGTATCTCTCCGTATGAGGATACAGTAGATTATTATTATCACTATTATTATTATTGTTATTGTTATCGTTATTATTTTTACTAACCTTACGGTAGGAAGCCCTCTCATTAGCTAGCTACCACATGTAATAGTATGTTCACTTTGGCCGGATACAGAACTAAATTTTCATTGATTGTTTTGAAGTCTAGTAGAGCTTGGGAAGTAGAGACCAGGTCAGAATTAATTAACATTCCTCTAGACTTACAGAATATTTTTTATACTTTTAACACTGAAGTGGTGAAGTAGACGTCGTGAATTTGTAAAATTTTACGATTGTATTCCCATGGCAGAAATATATGAGAATAAAGATAAATTACTGATATTAAAATGATTTCCATGGCCTTCAATTAATGTTCAACATAGTTTTAGTCGTAATAATCATATCGATACGATAAATGATGGTAATTGAACTGAGTGGGGTGCAATTTGGGCTGAAATCATACGTGTGATTTCAAAATCGAACGAGCGCACAGCGTGAGTTCGATTTGAAATCACAAGTATGATTTCAGACCAAAATTGTACGACACGAGGTTCAATTACCAGTTTATTACATCCATTTTGAAATCGCCCAAATACAGGCTCGGTCGGTTCAAATATGTTATTGATGCAGAACTGAGCTAGTTTGATATTAAATTCATCCATTTCTTTAGGGGGGAAAAACAAGAGTTTTGGAAACAAAGGTTGCAAAATTTGTCACATGTTACTCTTTGTCTTTCATTTTCCTGCAATTACATTGGTTACTTTAAAGAAGCCTTGAAATCTGATTGGTTGTTTTGTTTTCAGTGTAGCCTCCTCATTGGCTGGAAAAATGATGCGATTTAAAGCAAAAAATGGTTCGATTCGTGAATAAATCGCACCAATGAGAGCCAATCAGATTACAGGGACCACCAGTGATTTCAAATTGGGTGTAATAAATGGTGATATCGCTTCGGCTATACATTCACCACCGTGCGACACTACGAAATCGACGCATTTCGCCATCACGTTAACGGCCAATACACTGACGTACAGTTTACCAGAGAGGGATTCACTTGAGGGTTTCCATGGAATTAACCGTTAGGAGTAAGAATTTTCAAATTTCAACCGTTGTGATTAAAAGAAAAGTTTTAAAAAATGACGTAACAATGGAAAATGGTGGTCGAATTGTTAAAAGCTTAAGTTGACAATAGAATTGATCTATTTTACATTGTCAGAATGCTATCCGAAAAAGAGACTCGATGTATATACAGGGTAATCTGGTATTATCAATTGAGTTGATTGAGTTAATCGGCCACCGTAAGGAGTTTCAAAGCTGACGTTTGGAGCGTTAGCCCTTCGTTAGAACAAATTACGAGGAGCTAACGCTCAAAACGACAGCTTTTAAACTCTTTACGGCTTATTTAGTTAATCTACTCATTTGATAATGCCAATTACCCTATTATACTCACTGACGCCGGCAGCACCACAGTTTCTTTAGAAACTTACCCCCTTTTCTATCTTCCAAAAACCACAAAGGAAGGAAGTTTTTACCGTTAGCTGTAAAAGGGCCAAAATTTTAACCGTTAGCCGTAAAAGTGCACCACCCTGCTGAGACCCTCTGACTTTGCATTTGCCATTTTCGATGCAAATGGAGAGAAAAATCCCTCGTGCATGGGTCTCATTACGACACCCTTTGCTACAAGGACTTTGTGATGTCGCATAGTACTTTCAAAGAGTACATAACAGTGTTCCTCACTCGTTTCAATTCAAAGTACAATAGACATCATAGAATATGACAGTATCTACAACTGAGCAATGTACAACACCAAACAAGTGGATTGAAACAGTTCTGATGAAATCAAATACTTTATTTTGACTTCTTTATAGCAAAACGTCAACTCATAAGTCCCAACGGTTTATAAAAAAAATATTGGGAGAAGCTGGTTTAAAAAGATTGAGTTTATGAGAGCAAGTAATTGTAAAAATAAAAAAAAACATCAATTTTTTCGACCTTCAATTCCCAGAAAAAATATTTTTAAATGTAAGAACTGTTTGCCTGAAAACAATGGAGAATTCCATTTTAATTCAGAAAAGAAAATAAGGGAAAAACACCATGACAGAAGCAAAGTATTCCTTTAAACAATTTGAGATATGTCTTAAGTCTCTCCAAGTTCGTTTCAACTTTATGTTTAACATTTGCGGATTGATAAAGTATAGCCTTTGAAGAAGTATTTTGGAATTCCGTCGCGGTTATTGTTTTGGTTCTTTAATCAGGAGACTCGTGTAGCTTGTTATATCTATGTGTGGGGGAAGCCCTCCTCTATGTGTAAGCATGTTCATTACAGCATATTAATCCAATGCAGGCTGAACAATATAAAAGGCCCTTTGAACTGTGGCGATCAATGTGTTGTGTGTACAATCTCTGGAGCTTGTAAAAATTATGCGATTCCACAAGGAAAGATTAAAATTACAGAAGTAGGACGGCAGTGAGTAATGCAAGCACGATGAATGTCCTGCAGTTGGCATTCCAAACTGTAGACTCATTGCAAGCGTCAGTATTGCAGCATTGTACATCGCACCATGTACCTTTTTCTTTGCATTCCTGTCCTGTACAAAATACCTCTGTGCCACAGCCTTTTCGATATCGATGAACTTCTTCATCATTATTAAATTCCACGCTGTGTGTTTTGTAGCAAACCTGCATCTTCTCAGGGCACTTGTATTGTGAGCTTTTCTCATTGCATTCATCCCATGACTTCGAAGGGTCACAAATGTGACAATTCAGCCCGGTGCCTGCAAAATAAGACATGGAAAGGCTCATCAAGTACAGTGTTTCGACACTTTCGTGAGTCGCTTTGGGACTTTTTCAAGCTAACTGATTACTTTGGAATATATAAAATGCGGATGTAAAGTGTTGATGAGAAATCTATATGTTCAAAGGAAATCGGAAAAAACGTGGAGCGACACGCTGTGATACAAATTGATTGCGATATGTTTAGGGCGAGTGGCAGAAAATGGTCTACATAACCTTCGATGGCAAGCCACGCCAGAAATTTTTCTTAACAAGTCGTTGAGCCGGTTATACAGTTTCTTTTTAAGATATCATAATTCTCATACATAAAATAAAGCTTTTTATCACCCAGCTTTCGGTTAGATGTTTTTCAGTGCCCCAAGGTCTCACGAAAAGAACGATCTTTTCTCTGTCTGCTTACAAATCTATTTTCTTGATTACGTACATGTACTGGCCATATGAAAACTCAACGTATTATTTCTTTCCTAATTACCATCGATTATACGGTTTTCCTCAGCTTTTTTTTCTAAACAAAAATGTTGCGAAATGACGAAAGACTTGGCAAGTTATTCGACAACATTTTCTGCAATGAGAAATGATGATACTCGTCTTGCTACGAGCGGTAGACAAAGAACGACATGTGAATTTCCATGCATGATTAGTCGAATCCTAAACGCCCTGATACTTTATCACGGCATGTACTACAGGAAACTCTGTGGCGCACCAAGCTACTGTCGAGTTCTTGTTTCACACTCGTCCCTCATCCTGCTAGGATCAATAATAAGGACAGCTTCGTGTGTGTTAATAGAATGAGAAAGATAATGAATTAAATAAGAAATGAATAAGAAAAATTATAAATTTGGAGTAGTGGAAGGAAAAAAAGATGCTGTTCGGCCTGTCACGAGACTTGGACAAAGGAAAGTGAAACAAGTTCCAAAAGAATATGACCAAAGCTAATTCGAAAGGTGACTGAAATTATATTCTGTCAATCAATTGAATCTTTTTTTCACGACAGGAGCTTTTTAAAAACATCTTTAATGAAAAATTTATATTTAGACCACCAAGGTAACCATGAGCTCGTTTAAGTATCCGATGATTGCACATGCGCATTAGCACACGCCAGTCGGACATAAATTATTCCCTTCTGGCAATTTGAGTCTCGATACGTTTGCTTTACATGCATAACATGACAAAAACACTTTCAATCCTGGTGGTCCCTTTCTTGTAAAAACAACATCTATTCGGAAAATTCGGTTTTACAGACAAAACAAGAATCAAATCGCTCTGAATACCTGTGGCTGGTTCTTACCACGAAATACGTTTAGCCTCTATAAATAAATTTACACTGACATTTCTCAAACAGGATAACAATTCTATTAAAGCTAGCGGTTGCCGTGAAGAGATATTTAGCCTATGTAAAGCGACGGAAAGGACAAGATGACACTTACTAACTCGCGGATTGCTATACATGGCAAGCCTATCATACTGTAATTTGCCCAACGCGTAATGTTTATATATCAGTGTGCCGATTCGGCTTCGCTAAAAGAATGTTTTTGTTTTAAAACATTCGATTGAGGAATTATCACCGCATATGTTCCTCGAGTCTGACAGACAGATGCTGAAAAATATAATCGTTACCGAAAACTGGATGAGTGATTTTCACTGACATTATTGATAAAGATTTAGCTGTTGATTTGTTTTGTGGCCAAAACAGCAGATCTGAATGAGCTGTTTAGTTCGAAGGGATTCTTTCTCTCCGTAAAGCAATATTTCATGTGAAATACCTGTAGAATAAGTAACCTCTCTTTACAAATATTCCTACCTTTGGAGAAAACCAGCGTCCATGAGATTAGTAGCGTAACTAAAGGACATAACTTCATTTTGAGCTGAAAATCGTCATTTGTAGAAGTTTTGAGTTTAGGTTTGTGACCGACTACATGTTTGCATTCAGCTGCAGGTGTTACTGACAATGTTTCAATTAACCCTTTTCGTCGTCAGTTTAATCATAGTATCTCAGCCAACCATGACGATTATCTTTAAAAGTTGTCACTTACATGAAACATCAATTAATCATGCTTCATGTGTTGTCACGTTAGATTAAACTGTACGTATTTGCCTTGTACTGCTGAAATCGTGTTTCAAAAGAGGCTTACTTATGCAAAAATGTTATGCGTTTCCATAGCTACTTTTCAATCAAGATAAATATTTGTACGTACTCTTTTCTATTCTCGGTAAAAGCGTCAGTATTTTGTCTATCTCACGCACTCTGTTTAGTTTCAGTACCACTTCATCCATTGGATTAGCGGTTTTAAATGAGATTTGGAAGCAAAAGTTCTAGTTTCATTCCGCCGCTCAGAACACGTAACATGGACAACTCTCCTTAATTATTAATCAACACAAAATTACAAGTGATACAAAGTATCTGATTGTTTCTTCTCTGTTCAGATGTGTGGCACATCAAATTTAGCAGATCATCTAGCCAAATAGGAGCCATGTCAGATAAAACATTTTACTGGGTTTCATTTTGAAAACTGAACCAGACGTTCAATCTTATTTTCAGTTTGACTGAACATTTCAATTAAGCGCGACAAAGGAGATTACAGTCAGTGAAATTCAGATGCTATCACCATATGGAGCAAAGCAAGTTTTTAACTTCTAGACGATCAAGACCACGCAAATAAGAAGGGAAGGCTAAAGTGAATCTTAAAGTATTCACAAAAGGGAAACAATACTCACGGTTTCCTGCTGAGAAATAATTAATTACCCGGGTAAAGTGAACGTTCAAATAATTTTGAACATATCCTTCAGCAAAGGAATTCTATCAAAGGTTAATTGTGAAAAGAAAAACAAAGAAACAAAAGAAAAAAAAACATTAGGACGAACTAACAAAGAGATTAGCTGGTCGTTGCCAGTTGAAGTTGGTTTCAATATTATTAAAATATTTTCTTCTTAATTAGTTTATGAAAATGGCAATTTTAATTTTACACAAAATTTTATCGAAAAAATAATTTTTAGGGAAAGACGTTTTTTTTCCGTCTTGTCAAGAGCGTGGGCAAAGAAAAAAAATCTGATTCCCCATGAAAAATAGAGCCGGCTTAGACATTCGCATTCTGCGCTTCCGATACTCTACCACTAAGCTACAGGGGCTCGGCAGTGAGCTGTGCCATTACGACGTTCACATGTTACACGCGTCCTGCACACTGGTATAAGCTAGTTTTGATAAGCAGTTTCGAAAACTATATGACCTATAATGTCTATGAAGCTATATGACTGATAAATAAGTGTAAAACACACAGCTGTATGGTGGTGCTTTCTGCACGCGCCGATTGATTCGCTCGCGAATGAGAGTTGACTTTCAGACCATTTTGTGATATAATGACGGAAATTAGTTGCTTACTTGTATATACTAAAAAAATTATTAACCTCCAGGTAAGCGAAAGTGATGGATATTTACCGAGCCGCGAGCGACTCGGTTAAGGATTGTTGAATAAAGTCATCGATACTATGATAGTAATTATCATATGATCTAATGTATGTTATCATCTCAAGAGAGCGACTCTAAAACGGTTTTGGCAGGCCATGAAGTTTGCCTTATTTTTCAATGACGAGATATCATAACGTACTACTAATATAAATTATTCGAATGAAGTTGAATTTAAGGTGAACTTTTACAGGCGAGTTAACTCATAACATTTTGATTTTGCCAACTGGCGGTACTATTCAAAATCAATTGAGAAAATGCAGTGCAGCAAGTTTTGCATAAATTCCAAAAAATTAGTAAGTGATTGCAGTTCTGTAAGGCTGAAGTGCTTTGCAATGGATTTTAAGGACATACTAAGTGAAGAGATGGTGACGAGATGTCTGATAGCTGAGTGTAATTATATCGTAATGTTTTCAACATAAGTTACAAAACGGAAGGAATTAGAGGTTTTCGATATTCAGTTCTACTGTCGGAAGCGTAAGAAGCAGGTCAAAGAGTGAGTTTGATGACTTTCGAGCAATTGTCTTTCTAACCATTCTTCAAGAAAGGTACGAGCATCGTCATACAAACGGTGTATATTTTCTCTGGAGTTATCTGAATTTACCTCCAAGTTTTAAATTCTCTGGCGACTCACTGCATGCACATTTAAAGAAAAGCTTGCGTGCAGGCGAAGGGAACCGGAGAGAAAAACGTAGTGCTGAACTCCCACCAAGACAGGAAACAGCCGGCTAAACCTTTCTGAACTTCACTGAACATTTCCACAAGAGTTTTACTGCCTTTTGTCATTTTTAAGTTTAATATCTAGCATTCCTGTGGATCACTTGGCACGGCGGGCATTGAAATGCGCCGTGACTTGGCTTCTCGCTCCTTCTGAACTGCATTCATAATGAAATTAGTCGAGGTTCTCCCGCTGACCTTGTAGTACTCAGAATCGATTCGAGTTTGATGCTGCTGGATTTGATTCGACGTTTGAAAACATTATTGTATTTCTTCTCGGCTACTTTATTTTAGTTCAGCTTGGCAGATAAGACGTGTAGTTTGTGTTTTAAATTTGCTGAGCAACCTCTTTTCCGCTTTAAGAAAAATAAAGCCGAAACATAATGGGCAGTATACCGCTTTTTCTATCTTCTTCCTTTTGATTATAAATCATATTTATTTTATAAGAAACATTTGTGGATGAATATCGGGTTGTTCAGCTAAGGAGTGTAAACTAAATCCGCCCGCCCGCAGGTTTGAACAACGGCCAGTTGCTCTTGGCGCCATCAGTTAGGATAGAGTCCAACGATCTATTTAATGATAATTTCTTCTTTAAAGCGGTCAGCACTTTTCCTTAAAAAGGTTTTTGCCAGGGCTTAAATTACTTAATATGTCGGAGAGATATCTGCAGAACGTTATGTTGAATATAAGAACTTATGTGAAACACGATTTGGATGAATTTTGTAAGGTTTTTAGCGGAATGAATTTAGTCTAGAATGCGAGAAGCCTGGCCTACAGTTTCATTTTTACTTATGACTCTATGACTTTTGTTTTAAATGATCATCTAGTACCATCAGTACCATCGTGTGCATCAATTTTCGACCTCGCCACAAAATTCTGTAAAATTGCATTTTGTGTAAAAAAAAAGCTGAATCAGAGTCGAGTTGTTTTACAATATCGGGTATTAGCATTTTTTCGATAACTGTTTTGTGAGATGAAAGACTGTTCCAGCTGCTTCATGTTGAAGACTCTGACTGATGCAGGGGAATTCTTAAAATCAATTTCCTTATTTCCCGTAGCGTTGACAGTCAAACTCATCGCCGACGTATAACAAACTGAGAAATTCCTAATCGTTAATGACTTGATGTGCGTGATGTTTCCTTCCCATATAATCCTACTTTGCATTCAAGTCTCTCGACAAAACAACACACCTCTTAAAGAACATGACTGAATACTAACGTTTCATTTATTAGAGAAAAAAATTGTGTTTTGATAAAAAGGGCTTCTGAAGGAAAGAACTGAGTGATATTCTTGAATGAAATATCTTGTTTAAATTTTGTGTTTCTAGGCAAGTTTACGAAAAGTTATGTCTTCCAGTCTTCTTACATTATTAAACAGAAGCAAAACACCGATATGTGATGTGTGTATTACCTGTGTTTCTGGTTTAAAAAATTTGAAATCCTTTCGCGAAAATTGTTATTTTACATACCTGAAGCAGCAAACAAATTGTCGTTACTTTCGAAGTTCAACGTTAAATTGATCATGAACATAAAACTTGAGGCTGCATTAGAAGTAATCATTTATTTGAAATATGGGGACTCACCTTTATAGAACATCCACGCAAATCCGATAAAAACGGCTACAAATCTCACTGAATCCATTCTGCATTCGGCAACTGAAGCGCCGGCTACAACCATTCAAACATTTCACGTTTTAAGAGCATACAGTAATGATATTATAGGCTAGTGAATACACGAGGCTTAACAATATCAACTACAGTGTACCGTTTGTGTACTTAAATTATTCACGACAGATGTCAAAATAAGGATAAACAACTACTCTTACTAATTTGATGAATATTTCAATAATTAGCGTATTTTGTTCCTTACATCTTACGGTTTTCTTCTGATGAAAAGTCCGCTAATGTCACCGGGCGTTAAACGCGTGAAAAATTGTTTAAATCAGCATATCAGTCTAGTGGCAGAGACTCGGCTTAGCGTGATCATGTGTTTGTACACATCCAAACATCCAATAAATCGGAGAAAGAATGAATTATTATCACTGTTGTTTGCTCTTTAAAGTTCCTGTTACTTGTTTCTGGACAGATTCTGTATGATGCTTGAATAGAAGAATCACATCCTATTTTATTATAGTGATAAAAGCTGCAGGTAGAGAATACAAGGATCATGAATTATTAACAACTATAACCAAACAAAGCAGTACCCTCCAAGACATTTCCCACCGATATCAATGCGGTGAGTTTTTTTTTTCCAGAAATCTCTCTTTATTATCATAAAAGTATTTGATTACTATCACCGCCTCAGTTTACAGGGAGCCTTTATTTATCAGTGACGGTTCATGTAAATAAAATGCATTTAAGAATTTAAATCTAAATCTATTTAAGTGATTAAAATTGTTATAACGCATGCCTGTTTGTGGTCCTGTGTGGATTCATCTTACCTAATCCGCTTTCACATCTGATTGTCAACTGAGGTTTCAGCTGTTTGTAACTAAATACCGATCGAACGACACATAGAAAAGATTCTAAATAAACCTAACCTAAAGATGAACAAACGAAAAAACGAACAAACTAAAACCTAAAAACGAAAAATCGAACAAACGAAAAAAGGAACGAAAAAAACGAACAAACCAAAACGAACGAACGAACAAAAGAAGGAACAAACAAACAAACGAACAAACAAAAAAACAAACTAACAACGGACAAACAAACAAACAAAAAAAAAAAAAAAAAAACGAACAGACAAGAAACCGTGAGCTAACTGAAAAATGAAACAAAGAAATTTCATTGCGCTGCCCTCAGGCCGGATACTTGATGCATAACAAGAAAACACTACGTTAATGCAGTAGTTTTTATGGGGACGAAAGTTGCACGCAAATCGAAGAGACGTAAATGTTCTCTTGTTTTTACCAGATGGTTTATGAGAGAATTTTGGTGATAGGGGGAATCGGCTTCAAAGGGCCAAGAATCTTCTATTGATCTTCTCGTCGGCGCGCTATTATCATTTTTGTATAGGTAATAACATGATTTCGAGTCCAATTTGGAATAATGATAAGCACGAGTAAATGTTTTCAAAGACTAACAAAATTGCACAAGCCCTAGGGCTCGTGCAATTTGTGGTCTTTGAAAAAATTAACAAGTGTTTGTTTATTCCAAATTGCACGAGAAAATCATGGGATTACGTGTTAATATCGTTCGTTAGATTGTGGGAAGATGTCATTTTTAGGGTCGTGTAAACCATTGCTAGACTCATGACAATAATCGCCTTTAATAAAAAGTTTGGAATGCTTCAAGGACATCTGATTTTATATTACCCTAAGTTATATTTGCTGCTAGCTTTTTATTGCATTAAGTTTCCAAGAGTTAGGTGTTAGAAGAATTTGAATCCAAATCCGGATGTTTTCAATGTGCTGGAGGATACATTTTTGTTATTTACAAACACAGTGGATGGCAATTTTACAGCTGATATTTTCATTTTGACGCTGCCAGGTGGATGAATTCCTCAAATTTCAGTGATTATACAGAAGGAGATCATTAAGTTATGGATAAGCCAAAAAGTTTTCAATCTTGTGATTTCCTTTTAAGAAAATTATCAGTTATGAAATGTCCATCAATCATAATTCAACAAAATCCTAAATCCCAGAGAGAGCCGCGCCGCGCAAAACTTGAGTCCGAAGTAGCCTGGACACAAATACAATAAAAATATGGCCGATAGTTGTAGCAGCTTAGAACCAGTTGACCGAATAGTTGGCCAAATCCTCGAAGCGATTCATTTTGCCGCCACAAAACATAAAGATCAACGACGAAAAGACCCAGAGAAAACACCATACATTAATCATCCCATCGGAGTAGCTTACATTCTCTTGAAAGAGGGAGGTGTTTATGATACAGATGTACTTCAGGTGAGGAGCACAGTCTTCGCACAGCGAAATCTTTATGTACCATCGGTTAGTGTTTTCACTACCCACCAATTCTGTGTGAACCTTAGAGATAAAAATTGCATATATCGGCTCTCGATTCTACTGAAGTGTTATTCAATTGCTGATAAGTGATGGCTATTACATTTTTTATACGAGAAGTCCGACCCCTCGGTGTGTGGAAACGGGGAAAGGCAGAGAAGTCATTACATGGAGCAGGTGCCTGAATTCATATTCCTTTTAAAAAATCGTATCTCTTTAGTCCATACTCCTTTATATACCAGGGTCTGTCTTGGGTTGGTGTCTGCTCTACGTGTCTCAACTTCTTTTTTTAGAAGGAATCTGAACTCAAAATTTTACTAAAATCAGAGTCGTCATTACATAAACGACAAAGTCTGAGAAACTGCGAAAAAGGTATGGAATTCTTGACATGTGATGAGCACGAAAATGAATACAACAAGTAACAATGTGAGTCTGTAGGTTTGTAGCAAACACTAGTGCATAGACCGTTGCCATCAGTTGAAATTTTGATGCTTAGAAAAGCCAAAGATGTGTCGGAAACTTCCCAGGTATATTTGAGAGCCGAGTGAAAGGAACTGACGGTGGTTATCAATTAGGTGAGCTCCTCTCTGATAGAGGAGGTAGCTTACCATCTTTTTAAATCAACCTAGAAATATTTCTTTCATATCTTTCCATGGGTCATGGTTTGTCTTAAAATCAAAATTATCAAGTAAAAACAAGTGACTTTTTTCCGTTTGTTAAAACAGTGGAAAATTGTTTTCAAAATATGACTCAAGTTAACGAAACAATAAACTTCATCAAACATGTTACATGCAATATAACAGCCTGATAATACAACTTTGGAATGTTTTGATGGTTGACATTTTTTTGAGGAATTTCTATGATTTAAACAATTATAAATGGTTAGAATCAATAATTGGAAAATTATTGGATATTGGAACATCTCTAAGATGAAAACCCTCTTATGTACCAGGAGTTCCAACACCCCATCTTGTTGAGCAATATATTACTTGTGTAGTTTGGTGAAGTACTTGTAAGGTGCCATTTACATGCATGACTGTATGCAAGACCTTGCTAGAGAAGATTTAGACTGAATAGCTTGCATACTAAGATTGACAAAGTATGGGGTAAGTAAGGAAATGATGGAGTAATTTGCAGGGCAGAATAAAAGTGTATGGACCTCTCTCTTTTCCCCCTCATCCTAACTATTTAGCCATTCTCACCACCACCTCCCCCACATTAGTCCTTTCACTTTCCAATCCAGTGCAGCTCAGATAATTATTAAAACTTTTCTCCAAGTTACATTCTTTGAATATTTTTGAACAACAAATTTTTATCACACTACCTTTCTTTTTGTTTTGTTTTTTTGTCAATGAAGGCAGCTATTCTTCATGATACTGTTGAAGATACTAACACTACTTTTGATGAAGTGGAGTCAAAATTTGGACCAGAAGTACGGCATATTGTTAGTGAAGTAACTGATGACAAGAGACTTCCCAAATTGGAACGAAAACAGCTGCAGATTGTCCATGCAAAGACTTCCAGGTTAGCACAGGGATCAAGTTTACTTTTAGTGATTGACAGATCATTTTTCACATTCTTTTTTCAACAGAATGTAGTTTTAAAGAATTTCCTATTAGGTAAGGGACTTCTTCCTGTGAGCAGCCAATATTACAGAAAACAAAGTGAAAATCTTGACAATGATTACAGGTGTTACAATTGGATAATACTGCACCAGTATTGCAGAGGTTATGGGTTCAAATCCTGTACAGGCCTGAATTTTTTAAGGCCTTATTTAAACTACTTCTTGAGTAGTGTTCATTACTGAAAAATCACTCTCAAATTCATTTAATAATCCACAGTTCATATGTATGATGTTCATATCATCACAGTCATTCATTCAGCACTTCACAGGTTTATTATGAACCAGCAAAATGACCAGCTCCCAGTTGGCTTGTTAGCTCAGTTGGTAGAGCACTGCACCGGTATCACAGAGGTCATGGGTTCAAATCCTATAAAAACCTGAATTTTTTTTGGGCCTTGTTTCATCACAGCTTAAGTAGTGTTTACTACTGCAAAGATCATTCTTTAGTCTATTTATTAATCCACAGTTCATATAAATGATTTTTTATATTTAGTCATTCATGAGTAGCATTTCCTCTTCTAGTGACTAACCTTAAGCATATAGGTTCCTGGTAAATTTTATTGCAGTCCTTGATAAATTTGTGATGTTGGAAAATTTTTATAACCACATTAGACACATTTTAGGTTTAAACATTTTAACACCATGTCACTTGTCAAGCATATTGACATATAGTAGCTCTCTGTAAATAAAAAGTGGCATGTAAAGTGTGTGGCAGATGCCTCCCTGTTGAAGGCACAAATTGATGGATGGCTTATATTGTATGTCTGATATTTCTCTATAATTTTTCAGTGTACAATGCAGTTATCTCTCTAAAAAGGCCAGTAGATGTTCCTGGGCAAACATATGGTTATAATCTGAGTGGTCACATTTGTCTGGAAGGGGAATGGGGAGAAACGCTGGGGGGGTCCAATGAGAATACTCTGTCTTGCTTTTTTATAATTTTTTTAAACCTTATCTTGTTTATTTTCCTCAAAATACATGTATTGACCTGTAAATTAAACTTTCACAACTGTGAAAATACTTAAATCTGCTCCAATTATCAAAACTTTGTGTAACAACAGCAGAATTAAGACAATGGCCACCTTTCATTTTAAGTTAAAAGTACAGCAATAGCATTTCCATACTCCTCCTGTCCAATCTCAACCTTATAAAGTGAATCTTGAAAAGTTGTATTGTTCAGTGCTGGCGTTTAGCTCTGCTCCAAACTCTTACTTACCCAACCTCAGAAGCAGCAACAGCTGATACTTATTAGCGTAAACCATGATTTAACTGGAACAGCTGTAACTATAGTTGAAATTAACTGCTATTTTTCTTCACTTTATTTCCTTTTTAGTCACAAGGTGAAACTTGTTAAGCTTGGAGAGAAACTCGTCAAACTCTTTAAACTCTTCAATTATTCCAATGAGAATACTCTGTCTCTCTTTTTCATAATTTTTTAAAACCTTATCTTGTTTATTTTCCTCAAAATACATGTATTAACCTGTAAATTGATTTAATATTTTCTGTTTTTTTAGATTTTCTGTTTTCTATGTTACAATAAATTTGGTTCAAAATCGGTTTGTTTCAGTCCTTTTTCCATCACAACTGTGAAAATACTTAAATCTGCTACAATTATCAAAACTTTGTGTAACAACAGCAGAATTAAGACAATGGTCACCTTTCATTTTAAGTTAAAAGTACAGCAATAGCATTTCCATACTCTTTATGTCCAACCTCAACCGTCTAAAGTGAATCTTGAAAAGTTGTATTGTTCTGTGCCGGCGTTTAGCTCTGCTCCAAACTCTCACTTACCCAACCAAAGAAGCGGCAACAGCTGAACTTATTAGCATAAACCATGATTTAACTGGAACAGCTGTAACTATAGTCGCAATTAACTGTTATTTTTCTTTACTTTATTTCCTTTTTTTTAGTCACAAGGCGAAACTTGTTAAGCTTGGAGATAAACTCTTTAATTTGAGAGATCTCAATCGTGTCACCCCAGAAGGCTGGACACAAGAAAGAGTTGATGAGTACTTCCTGTGGGCACATAAAGTTGTTGAAGGACTTAAAGGAACGAATGAAGCTTTAGAAAATGAACTTTACAAATTGTTTGCACTGCGTGGCATTTCTGAGATATAGCGTAGAACTGAGTAGAGAAGATATGTATAGAAATCATATCTTTTTTAATTATTCATATTTCTGATCGCAGGATGACTTGTTGTCGTGTCAGTAGAGTTGACGGAGGTTTGCTTCTTCTTGTACCTCATTTTAACAAACTACTCTAAGTATCAAGTAATGTTGTACATAGTAGGTTCACTTCTTCCCTTTTGTATAGAAATAACGAGGATCTAAGAACCATTACATCGGAAGTAAATTCAAGGGGATGATGTCACTTAAGAATTGCCAACCTGACTGAGCTGAGATTATGTATCTATTGAATTTTAAAGAGTTAGTGCGCGTGGAAATTTAATTCAATTTCTGGTGTCCTTTTGTTTTTGTTCACTTTGGTTGTTTTTGAAAAGCAAGAACTGTCCGGCTTTACGTTAATAAAGTTTACACTACACTTAATTCTCACTATCGTGTTTTATTAAAAAAAGATTACACTCTCCTTGTCTGGGAAAAATCGACCAATAAAGCCGTTGTTATTTTTGTGTTGGCAAGCATAGTGACCGGGAACAGAGTGAAGCACAAGCGTCCAAAAGTGTGTTAGTCATGGACAAAGTAAAACAGATAGTTTTGCTTTTGCTCACTACATTCTCGGTTGGTAAGTTGAATAACTGGCTCTTACACATATTTTTAACCATATTTTCATTTTAAATTGAAAATATAGTGGACGGGAAAAAGACTTGGTCGGTGTTAGTTATCCTATGTGGTAAAAGTGTTTTTGGAACTTGAGGCTATGCGGTTGAATTAGTTTAACAGTACAGGATTTTGGCATCGTTGTCAATGTGGAGTCTGCTTAAATTACAGTAAATGCCCGGTGAAAAAAGCATTTAAAAACGTTGGGTAGTTTAACATGTCAAGATTTGGAACGTAAACACAAGGGATACATGGCCTTAGTCCGAAACATGCTTCGGAGCACGTTTGAAAGGAAATCGAGGGAAGGGAAAGGTTTGCTTTTATGATTGTTGGTGTTAACTCTGATCTTTAGTATGTGAGCTTGTCATCAATATGTAAAACTAAGTAAGCATGCTTTTCACACTGAATCAAGCAGCAAATACGCTCGGGTAATTCTTCTCTGAGGTGGCGGGTCTATGTTGTTAATCAAGTTGGAAAAAAACTTGCAATTGTGTAACATTAAATTTAATCAGTTTGCAATTAAAGAAGTCTTTCTAAATAAACTTTAAGTAATTGCTTTTTTTTTTGCGGTTTCTTATTAAGATGCTTATTCAAGGATATCGTGTCTCATTCATAGCTAAAATGACGCACTTTACTTCTAAATTCGCCGCCTTTAGAGGAAACTGTTGATTGGAGTTCATGAGAAAGGCTGTTCCACAACATAGCACCTCTATAGGAAAAAGTTCTCTCTGACTAGTTGGGGATGGTAGAACAGCCAATTTTTTCTTGGAATTCCTCACTCAGTACGAAGTTATATCATTTCGGTGTATAAGTCGAGACTGAAGATATTCAGGGGTAAATCCATGTAGAGGTTTGCACAGCATAATAGATATGGCTACTAGTCTTTGATAATTAAGTTTTCGCAAGAGATCATAAATTTTTTGTAATCTCTTGGTTTTCGCCCGCTGAGTGCCTGAAACAACTCGTCAATATCGTCCTCATTGCTTCAGTGCATATAATAAAATCAGGGCTGCGCGGTTTTGGAGTTCAATCGGTAGTTTTTCACATAGGCCGATGCCGCAGTTGCCTTAAACAACGCTGCAAGAATCAAATTTGTTTCACAAATCAATTGGAAGATTTAAAGGAGCAGGACGCCTTATTCTTTTAATTGCACACAAGGCAGAGGCAATCTTTTCTACAAACGCTCTTTTTGTGACAATCCCACACGTTCTGTTTATGATCAATATATACCCCAGCAAATTCTTGGACGGAGCCTGTACCACCGAATGGCAATTGATCGTGATAGCATCCGCCTCGATGCGATATGATAATATAAATTGAGTTTTTTACCTAGCTAAGGGTGAGTTTATGAGCAGCTAGCCATGGGTAGATCCTATTTAAATTGTAATTAAGACAATCATCAATATGTTTAAAGTCTACATTGGCATCAGTTAAATTTATGTCATCACCATAGATCTTAGGCTGTAAAAAGTCAGTCAGTTTAAGTCAGGTTAATGTTGCAAACATCCTTTATAATTCTAGGATGTGAATGTCGACCTAAAGCTTTGGTCCCATAACATCATCTACGCGCCAGTCACAAAAAAAATATGAAAATCATTGTTTAAATACTCAGGAAACTAAACCAAACAAGCTGGCGATGGCAACGAGAGCGCGTATGAAAAATAAGGTTTAAAAAGCAGAGCGACAACTCTATACGGGCGTTTTAAAGTTTGTGGTCGTCCTCTGTCAAACAAACAGCATGAAATAACCCTTTACTTTCCATTCATCATTCCCTGTTCTTCATTCGTTACTTTGTGAACAAGATTAATTGACATTGGCTAGGGGAAAAACGTTTCCCTTCTCCCCCGATAACGCTGAGATACGTGTTGATCCTTCTTGATTTCATTTGTTTGATACAGTTTTTGGGCTGAGATGCTACAACTGTGCCAGCTCTGAGTCGTTTGATGACTGCTCTGAAAACGAAAAAGTGGACTGCACTTCTGGATTTGATCGATGCTACAGAGGAGAAATCTTCTACGATATCAATTCACAAACAGTCAAGACTTACGGAAAAGGCTGCACTACTGCCGCGCAGTGTACAGACCAGAATGATCTAATGTGTAAAAATATAAAATCTTCTGGGGTTAAAAATGTCAAATGTCACATGAAGTGCTGCACTGAAGACCTCTGTAACTCATCCGCAGGAGTTCAAGTCAGCATTCTCATTCTGTTCACGTGCGTAGTCTTTGGTTTGGGTTATCTGCGCAATTAGATATGAACGGATACGTAAACGTTTCCTAACTCTTAGAATTGCAGAGGTTTAGTTAATATCAGAAATCGTGTAACAAAGTTTGGTCAAGAATATGTTGATATCCTACTTGTATAATCATTAAATGCAGTAGCTCCACTCAAAGTGTGTGTTTGTGAAGTTAATGTTGAACCCAAAAAATAATGACCGGTCCCTAGCCTCACCACCACCCAGTGAAGTGAGGGGACTGAGCAAAACAAGGAAATCCCCAGATGGGTGTAGTTTACTGTAAGAACTGTAACCATGACACACATTTTATCTGAAAGTATACATCTCTCTCTGTCCAAAGCAGCTTTTAAAAAAAAAAGCATCATTCGTAACTGTGTCAATAGTAAATGCAAAATTTACCATCATACACCACACAAAACTGGAAAACACAAACAGATTGGGATCAGCAATAAACTTGCTTCTTATCAGACCATTTTAGGCTCATTTGTCAAATAAGCTCAATGCTTTTCCCTCTCAACGAGACAACCCTTGTCTTTTCCATTCCACTATGTAATATCCTTGAGCTATGTTATTACACAGTACCTTTACAGCTTTTTGTCATGAATATCATAATATCTTATCAGCTTATCACTCCTAGTTATATTCTGTATTTTAAAACATTTAGGGAAATTGGTGTGATTTTCAAATGTTCCTTCAAGTGGTCTGGAAAGCAGCAGATATGTCACAAATTTAAGAAAATAAACAACAATTTTTGAAATGCGTTTTGACAGTTCTTCTGCCATCTTCAGTTCTGATTTATACAAAGTACAAAGTTGAATGAGAGCAACCTACACTTAATTATCAACTTTATCATGTTAATTTGAAACTTTCCTTGTAATTGTATAGTTACATTGTTTTGTTTCTATTGTGTTTTGTCCAATGAGCATTTTGTTACACACTTTAAATTCAACTTTGTATTTTGTATCAATCAGAACTGAAGATGAAAGAGGAACTGTCAAAACATGTTTTTAAAAATTGTCAAACATTTTCTTCAATTCCTTCAAGTGGCGATGGACAACAACTCACAACTGATTCAATCATTACAAGCATCAATTCCTCGAGAAACCATTAATTGGTTTTCACAGTGCCACTGGGTATTTTCCATGGAAGCACTTTGTCAGGAATCATCAAATCCCATGACCTTGTCCAAGAACATTGAAAACAATTCAGGTTTGCCAGAAGGAAAGTGCTTCAGTTTGGAAAAATTCTGTTCTCTAATGATCGATTCTAGAGTGCTGTAGACCAAAATATAAAATATTTTTAATAAAAATGAACTTTTCACAAAATTTACAAGGAATTTTCCTAAAAAAGTTTTTGTAAACAGAAAGTTATATCTTCCTTAGTACCTGTTCTGGACAACCTAGGATGTGTTTCATTTGGCTGATTGTTATGGGTGAACCAACATGTTGTATCAATATGACCTTATGTAGTTCACAAATGAGCTTTCTGTAATGCCTATGTTGGTAGAGCACCTTACCAAGAGATTAGAAGTTCTGTAGCTCAAAACTAGGGGCTTTTTGGTCCCAACAAATACATTTGAATTCAATATCTTTCTTTGTTCCTTGACTGAGCAAGAAATTTATCACATTTATCAATCTATCTACTTCTAACTGTAATCATAAGGATCTGTTCTCTGCCCAAAAACTGGCTGACCAAATCATGAAAGAAGAAATAACATACCCACAGGTAGCATAAGATAAATGACCATCTTCAGCAAGTTGACTTGCTAACTCCAACTGGTGATTATCCATCAGAAGTTCATTTATTACAACAATTAGTGGTCGGCCTGCTTGTAAAGTTTCTAAAACACTTCCAGCCCCTTAAGATGATAACAAAATTAATAAAGTATGTTGTAAGTATCAATGAGGCAAGAATTTGTATTATCATTTTTTGTTAGTGTTGGTGTTTCGTAGTTTCGTGTTAGGTGTTTATTTTCTTGTTTTCATTAGTGTCCTTTGTCAGTTACCAGTTTTGTACTTGTTATATTTATTTGCATATCATATATATATTGTTCGCGCGTAATATATTCGGTTAGTTGTGTAGTTTGCGAAAATTATTGTTACATATCTAGCTCTGAGATTCGTGTTTTTTGTCTTTGGTTTGGTCACATTCGTCTTGTAAGTGTTCTTGTTTATTTCACTTTGTCGTTTTCCAGTACTTTCACTCATATGATGTAAGTTATTTTATGCTCATTCGCGTGTTTGTAATTTTGTTATTTTCAGTTACCGTATTCAACAATGTGTCAAGTTTGTTCTAGTAAAGTTTGAAATACGAGTGATTAGCGTTTACGGCTATAAGAAGAGCTATCATTTTGGATTAGACACCAATTAGTATTGATTAATTGAGCTTGACAAGTCTTCTCATTTCTGGATGTTTGCATGATTAGGTTTACTTCCAAGCCATTTATGAATAGAATCCACAGAAAATTATAGACAGAAATTACACGTCATCTCATAATCCATTTACCTCTATTGTATTGTGCTTGACTAAATAATCCGTAGCTCACAGTTTTCACTAGGTATTTACTTGTAAGCTGGTGGCGACCATAGCAAATGGTCGCTCAGTGTCAGCCATTATGAGCATACTAGTTCTTTAAAAGTCTGTTAATAACTAGTTAAAGTTGAACTTACCAGCATGACTGATCACAAGTGAAGCGCTTTGTATATCTTCTGCAATTGAATCTTTATATCGGTAGTATTGCATTGATAAATTCTTCTTATCTATGATCTCTGGTTCAAAAACACCTCTTCCTATTTGTAGAACGACAGAACCATAGCCTAGTTTTTCAAACAGCTGTGAATGTAAGATAGGACAAGAACTGTTTTTTTAAAGCTGAGAAATAATATATAAAAATTATCCTCAATCTGCGGGAAACTTGATTCCCTGTTTAGAGCAGTAATTCTTCTGTTCCAAGTTACGATCGCTAGTTCAAAGTAGTGAATCGTAGTTTCATACTGGTTCAAAAGGGCCAGCTCCAGTCTAAATTATCAAATCATCAAGCGAGTCTTCTGTCCATAATGGGTGTCTCTCGTTTTAAGTACAGAACTGCCAGTTCAATGTGTAAATTAGTATCGTAAGTTGCAAGGCAAATCTCGCGATCATCAGCAGAAAAAAAAGTAGCAGTAGCATATTCAATAATGGCTATCTTAGGTACCTCAAGAAATACTTTGCTAGAGACTGTTTCAATTAAGCGATCAAAACTCGTTGTTCCCACAGTGACAAATACTTTCCTAGCGTCCGCCATATTTGCTCTGAACACTTAATACTGTAGTTCAGCGGATGTAACCAGCAGCCTCGTTGTGGGTATCAAAAGATCATATTGTTGTTTTGGATGGCCATGCAGGCTAAAACTTCGCTTGAAGTAAAAGGGGAAATCTCGCCATCAACTTGTGTCTACACGAGCTGTTATTGGTACGTTGGATCATAAATACCTTTCTGATAAAGCATTTGTCTTTTTTTGGGGGGAGTTAGTAGTATCAAAACTAAAGAAATAATTTCATCAGCAACAAATCATGTAGTAGACCCAACCAAGGTTTCTGTCATTGAATTGTACAGTACACAGGTAATAGCGAAATTCTCATAAGAATGTTAAAACCTTTATCTCTTCCTTTTATTTGCATATCGTGTTTATGAAATACCTGCATAACTTAATGTTTGCACTCCGTGTCATTTCCCCCTCTGATCTATTTTTTGCGCGTGAAATTGTAAGTATTTTCGCGGGGTTTTCCCGTGTACGCTAGTAAAAGGCAATCGAAAACTGTTTGAGTTAAAAAAAAAAGTTCATGTTTCAAAGGAGTTTGATCCGTGTCTTTTTATTGTGCACTACAGGGTGAAATTGAACTAGGCATAGGCACGTCGTTTTTGTTTCGTGAGATTTTGAAGCCTGTTTAGTTGGATTACCCTTGATTTTGTTATGTGCTAGGTTTCGAAATTAAATTTTTATCTTACATCAGGAAAATTTGGAATTGTAAAAGTTGCCTTCCTTTCTGTAAATACTTTCTTAATCTAGTTTGCTCTTTTCAGATATAGGATCCCAAGTTGGATGTTACTTGATCAAAATAGCATGAACTTAAGGGCATGGATATGACTGAGATAGTTGCGTATTCATGACAACCTTTTCTTCTCCTCATAAATAGCCCTATTCCTTCTATTCAATGTTGCAGAACAATCTGACCTCAAGCAAGCCAGGTTTTTGGTTTTCTGTTTTGAACAACATTGGAGTAGGGGGTAGGAAAGAGAAGAAAAAATAAATTTAGACTTCTGTGCCTGTTAAACAAAACCCTGAGTGAACAAAGTGATGCTTTATTTGATGTATTTTCTCCTCTTTGTAGTGAAGAAAATGTTTGGAAGTTATGTGAGCAGATAAGAGATGAAAAAGAGCAAAACCTGAGTGAATATTATTCAGTGTTCATATCTAATGAGAAAAGACAGGTTAGTTTACAGCTTCGTATATAATGTAAAATATTATATGGTAAGAAATTTAAGAAAGGCTTACTTGCTCACTGAAAAGTGTGGTTAATCATCTGTGATATGTTAATCAACTAGGTTCCTTTATGGATGCAAAAATCTGCAAAGGACCCTTTAGCTCCAGTTGTTTGGGTAAGTCAATAACTTTGTGACACAAGACACCTTAATGATTCTCTTTAGGGCTCAGAGCACTTATTTACTTTTGGTACCTCAAGGGAGGGCACTTTTGTGAACCAGGGTGCTTCTTCAGGACAGGGTGCTTATTTCTTTTCTGAGAAGCAGTAAAATTTGAAACAAAGCTTTTATGTTTATTTGACTGAGGATCAAAAAGACTGAAAAACATACTTGTTGTCCCACATCATTCCTTGCTAGAATGACTAGCCAAGCAATTGTCACAAAATCTTTTAGACAGAACCCATTGTTGGAAGGAACTGTGCATTTGCAAGGCCTTATTAGTAGAGAGACTGAGATAAGGACCACATTTTTGTTGTGAGGCTTTTAGTGAGCAATCAAAGGATGATGAACCACAGTTGATCTCAATGTTCATCTACAATTTTATTCTAACAGTTCTATTACTGAAACAGATAAGGGGGGGGATTGGAGTTAGGGTGCTCACTCAATAGGGGTGCTAATAAGAAGGGAGCGCTTATCAACAAAAACCAACTTTAGGGGGTTGCTTATCAGAGAGAAGGTGCTTATAGGAAAGAGGGCACTAAATCAAATCATTAAAGTTAGTGCTCACTTACTGAGATCAAATCAAAGTAAGGGATTTTTGTGAATGATGAAGCAAGATTTCTTTTTGGTCAAACTTCTCTTATAAACTGAAAAAGAGAGATTTTTTAAAATTCTCTAGCCCCAATTTTTTGGATGAAAAAGGATAGTGGTCAAATGTTTGATACTTTTAATAGTATAATAAGAAATTTATTAAATTTATTATTATTTGAAATGAAGTTATGATTTCTTATTTCTCCTGCTTGATTTCAAAATGCTAGCCCTTAGAGGAAAGATCAGGGGAGTTTTCTCTTTGAACATTGATACTTCAACGTGCTGTGAAAAGAGAAGTAGATTATTCACCATTGAACCAAAAGAGAGCTTAAAACTTTTTAGGTCATTTAAAATGTAGTTTTAAAACAAAAACAATAGTAGAGAGTCCACCTTTTATGTTTTCGATGAAATCAGCAAGTTTTTTTTATTTCAGGACTACCATGTGCTGCTACTACGTCAGGTGGATGCTAAGTGTTTGATATATGACTTGGATTCCATTCTTCCTTTCCCCTGTCCATTTGAACAGTATGTCCAACAGGCAATCCAAAATGACAGACAACTTAAAAAACACTTTCACAGGTACTCTCTGCTATGTTGTTGTATGTTGTAAACTAAAAGGCCATGGACATGTAGATAAGGATGTATGAAAAAAGTTTGGAAGAGTTAAGGGTAGTTGAATGCACCCATATCTGATGCAGATATGTGTACTTACAACCCTGCTACTTAGATCCTTTGTAACTGAAGACTTTGTTGCTTCTTTCCACCCTCTTTCTCTCCCCCCCACCCCCTCCACACCCGCAGGAAGGTTTGGCCTTACAAGTTTTTTGAGGGGATAACACCAATGAACTCAGTGAATTTTGGAAGCCATAGTTATATATGTGTAATTGATATGGGAAAGTGGACTTTCAAGCATATTTTGCTTTTCATACTTGTTTTGTCAGCCAAGATCAAATATTAGCATAACTAACAATTTAGACACCACTTGCTACTGCTATTTGCAAGGTCTAAGAAAGTTTTGAGTGCACTTTTTATGCAAGTGGAATGTCAATTGTTCCGTCATAGAAACAGTGGTGTTGAATATGATTTGTAGGACCTACAAGCTATAGAGGGGTTCTCTTTTATAACTTGTAAATAAAACTACATTTGAAGACTTAATAGTTGTCTTTCATTCAATATAGAAAATTTAGAGTCATACCAGCAGAGATATTTCTCAGTACATTTGCCTCAGACCGGTCTCATATGAAGAAACCAAATGGAGAGTGGGTAAAACCTCCTCCTCCATACTCGCCTATCAGATCTGAAGGTAAGTAATAACAGCTTAACCAGAATGCTACCAGAAGGATGTTCAATAATGAATAATTTTAATTGTTAATAACTCATTTTTTAATAGGATTGCATATGTAGTATTCCTCCTCAACACACTTTTGTATCATCCTTTTGAAATAGATGCAAGTAACTTTATTATAATCACAAGATTGGTGAAAGCCAGGTTATTAAACTGAAGCACTTAGTTTCAAATAAGCTGCTGCATGCAGATTTTTTTTATGTTCTATAAAATGAATGGAAATGCAGTTGCTCTGGTAATCACCAGTGACCAGGATGAAAATTATACAGTAACATTTCTCCACTCATAGTTGGTGAATAGGGGGGTAAATGATGCTTATATGTTCCATGTATTATTTGACATTACAATACAACCATTAATTTTCACACAATGTTTTTGGCTTCTTTGCATCATGTAAAATAACTGTACAGTAATCACATGATCGCCCCGCACACTCTGATATTTCCTTCCATCAAAAAAAAACAAAGTCAGCTGTGGAAAGCTTGCTCAAGAGTTTTATCTTTTCATCTATATTATTTTTCATGGAAGAAAAATAAACTTGTTTTTATAGTTCATTGATAGTGACATTTAAGAGCTGGTTGCAAACAATCATCTGCCATCTGATCACAATGGCTTTTTTACCAACCATTTGTGGGCAATATTATTATTATTGGGAGGTTATAAATAAAAGAAACTCTTTCTGGCTTTCTTTCCACAGTTTCTCTTCAAATATTCATTTTTGGACAATCTCTTAGCTGCAGACATTTATATCAGCTAACATATCAAGTGCCCGCCAGGGAATTGTTTACCAAATATTCACTTTAACCTCTGACTTTGAGACTGAATGTGACTGATTTTTTTATTTCATAGAGAGCACAATGAACCTTCAAGAATTTATTGATATGTCACAGGGTGAAGGAGAAGGACAAGTGATGGACTATAAAACATTCATCAAGAGTTTTACTTCAACAGAATGATTGGATGTTGTGATTATTACAACTCCTGTTAAATATTATTGGATGATATTACTTTGTCCTCAAAATTTTGTTTTCTTCATGTTGTACTCATCAGAGTACAGAAAGTGGTATGCTTGCTTAATTACTATTTTAGTGTGATGTTTGTTAATGCAAAAAGACAACGAGCGTTCCGTAAGGGTTGCATAAAGTTCAAACGCGCAAGTGCAAGCATGCAATGATACCCTATATTTGTACAGAAAGAAAATCAGTTTTGTAGATTTAAGAATTACTGCTAGTTATTGTATTAAGTCTTCTAACTTTCGTAGAAAAAAAGAAAAAGGTCCACACGTGAAAAAAAAAAGATAAATAAATCTTGTTACATTTATGAAATCAATCTGCTTCTTGTCTCTGTGGATAATGGTATGACGTGATATGTATGCAGTTCGATTATTATTTGTCACAACCCTCAGAAAAACACGGAGTCGGAGTTTGTGTAAATGGATCTTTTCAAGCTAGAGTTGGAAACTTGATTCCCGGGTTGATACACGCGCATGCGATAAACACCAAACCAATATAGGATATTTTCTTTATTCCTTTTCCTATTCCTTGGGGCGTTACTATATCGAAGCGGTCAACTGAAATCATCACGTGAAGAAATTACTCAAGTATTGTGATCATAGCTTAAGAATAATCTCGATTTTTGGAAACGAGCACGTGGCAATTAAGAGAACCAAAGGAAAGGTAAAAACCAGCGATAAGTTTCGCGGGTCTTGATTACTTTATCGAGGATTACGGTCTAAGTTGTCTTCTATTCAAAAACGATCTTGATCATACGGGGTCTTATCCCGAACTGAAACGCTAGCTGTAATTTTCTGTCTAAAAAGAACTAATCACGGGGGCGTCAATCTAACCAAAAAATATTTCGCAGCTTTTCTCGGAAGCGGTAACATTTAGCTTCAACGGAAGCAGTTACAGTTTGATCTTTAATTGGCCGTAAATAGAAATCAAAACTGTAAACGATCTTAGTGACGGACTAAAGAAGAAACAAACTGTTCTTACTGATTGAGGTAGTGCTGGTGATTGATGTGGTAGTGCTATCACTACAACATCACCGGTGCGCTCTTCGTTTAGAACACAATGGTTTAACGGGCGGAAACATCTGAAACTCCCCCACATACCAAAACTAAAACTTAGGCTGTTTCCCTACAGAACCACCTTGTCTATCTGCGCCTAGTCGATATCCACTGAGAGCCCTTTGCACTATGACACTTCCTCGTTTTCTTCGCACTTTTTTTTTTCTAAATTTACAGTTTAATGCTGTGAATAATTTTGTTTGTGAGATCTACACGGAATATTAACATCCCTTATGGAGTTTTGGATCGGCGAAAGTTTAGAATTCTAGAAGAAGAAGCGGTTATTAAGGCCTCTCTCGTTTTTAAACACCTGCTCTCTTGAACATACAAACTATGAGAAAATCTAAAAACCTGTTATCAAGAGACAACAAAGGAATGTTATTTTAGTGACTCGAGTGTCATCAGAAGACAGCAAGGTGGGATCGGAACGATTACTGTAAATGACATTCGGGCTTTGATTTTTTTATGAAGCTACAGTGCGCTGTACAGGTAGCTGCGGCACTTTGCTTTTAAAGCACGGAGGACAAATTTCAGTGGAAGCCACTGGCATACGGAGAAACAAGGGCACTGGAATGGAAATTCCTGGCTCTTACACCTTTTACCGCAAGAAGCCTTTGAAAATAAAGCGGATTTCAACCTGACAGAACTAAAAAGAGACAAAAAGGATAAAGAGGATCTTAAGATTTGTCGATAAAGTCAATGTCGGCATTTAAAATAAGCTGTTAACTGTGAAGTTGTTCCATTGTTACAGAACTGAAGGATTTTGATTCTAGTTTGTCTGTTTCGCATTTGTCTTTAGTCACGTTTTGACATTTGTTCGTTATATCGGAGTATATTATACGTTTGGGCCTCTGGAAAGTGTTCGTGTTAACAAGGATTTCGTTATATTGAGGTTCTTTTCCATATATTGTCCGGGCTGAATAGTATCCTGATTACTTCGTGATATAGAAGTTCGTTAAATCGAGGTTCCACTGTACATTACCCTCAGCCGAACAATAACGGCTTAACGTAATTATCTCTCGGCTAAAACTATTGACTTTTCGTGATTTTTATCAAAATATCGCACTCATCGGGAAAAGAAAACTGAGTCGGACTCATGCGCCCTTAACTCCATAATCCCAAATTAACAAGGAAAATGAAATTGAGGAAGAAAGTTGCCCCAATAGTTTTCTACAAGAGATAATCTTGTTTCCTAGAATGAACGTAACTGTGTTGTTATTCCGAGACTCAAATAACACTCAGAGAACTTGTCGAAACTTGCTTCGATAATTGATATTTACATTCCAACATCACAATATGTACACACTGAAAAGTTCGCAAGGAAATACAGCTCCATGTTTCTAAACCTTTTCTGGAAGACAACCGTTGAAAGGACAACGATGAAAGGACTTGTTTTCATAACCGCGATTGTATGCTTTTGGTTAACGTATGGTAAGTCTAAAGCACTGCATTGAAATGTGACCAAAGCTATTTTACCACAATCGAAACTTAAAGGGAACTGGAGGGAAATGAAGCTTGTCGTCAAATATCTTGACTTAAAGTCGACTTGATTTAATGTGCTAGATTTGAACGTCAAATGATACGGGAAATAGCATTCAGAGCATTCAGAGAGTTACTGCGCTCAGATTCCTTGCTCGGCAGGGAGCAAGTAACTGAGGGAGAGATATGATATCGAGAGATATGTCGCGAAACCCAGAAACTCTACATCTTATGTGACACAAGAGGTAGGGAAACAGTCGGCTAGAACACCTTGAGCACCTGTGAACATTCCTTTTCTAAAATTCATCTTTTCCTTAAGTTGTGCTAATTTCTACAAACTGAGAGTTTAAAGCTAACATTTTTTGTTGGTTTCTTATCGAAAGCTGGTGGATTCAATTGTTATCTGTGCAAAGGTATGCAGTCCTCCCTCCAAGCATGCGATAACAAGATCCAGAAGGCTAATTGTTCGACGCATGCAAAAGGCGCTGACCGCTGTGGAATCTTCTCGTTCGTTAATACTTCTGGCACCAGAGTTTACGGCAAGAGTTGTGTATATGAGAGATTTTGCGAAAGCGCAGAGAAATTCTGTAAAAGCGTGTCACAGGATTTTGGAAAAGGTATCACAGGGTGTACAATCAGGTGTTGTAGCGAGGAATACTGTAATTACGATTCTAATACTGTCAGTGTTCCCAAGCAGTTTGCTGACGACTCTGAAGATTGTGGTTGGGTTGATGGAAGTGTGTCGCAAGGGGTCAGTGGCTTTCTTCACGGAGCATGCGCACTCTACGCCATGGCAATGGTCAAATAAGTATCATTAGCGACTGGGATAGACTACGAGCAGTCCCACCTTTACGGCGAGTCCGTCGCGCTAGTCTAAAAACATCAGCGAAAAAAAATTAACGTTAGTGCGCCACGGAGAGCTCTGGGCACGCTAACATCATCTTTTTCCCTCGCTGTTTTTTTTTCGGACTTGTGCGACGGACTTCGTCGATAAGGAGGAACTGGTCGTAGTCTACGACTGGGAGGAAACCTTAGAAACATTTTCGTTTGCCGTGACTTACAGATTTTGTGATTGAACTGTTATTTAATAAGAAATTGGCGTTTGATTGGAAGAGAGAAGTGTTACCAATATATATTAATTTCTTTCGCTGAAAATGATGACGATTGGAAACTTTTAAAAGGAGTCAGTAGGTTTATATTAGCTGATTAGTTTCTCTAAACTTCTGTACTAACAATATCCCATGCTTCTGTTCTGTTACGATGGTCCTTGCGATATATGCGAGGTATCTGTTTGCTAATTTACGCTTTCTTGAATTCTGCTTTAGAATGGCACTGAAAAATCATCGCTAAATTCACGTATTCTTTTATAGAATGATCATTTTGATAACAGCTGAATAAACCTAAGTTCTAAAACATTGGTGCTAAGATGTTGCTTTTCTAGGAGAAAAAACAATAAGATGAAGGAAATGGAAATGTGCTTTTAAATCATTCAGCCCCTTATGAGTTTGAGTAATCTGTTAAACACGTTAAAGGAAATTTCTTGTTGAAACTACCTCTAGCCGGGCCTCTATCTGTTTATTTCAGAAACTCGGTCAATTTCACCTCAGAATAAAGGCAGCTGAACGAAACACAGCGAGCGTGCCTGTCCCAGCAACAAAGCATTCACCGCCAATTTAACTGCTTGGTTTTTTGTTGTTGTTGTTGTTGTTGTTGTTGTTGTTGTTGTTGTTGTTGTTGTTATCCCAGATCATGAAGAGATGGGGGGTTTGAGCTGGGGCACTAACAATCACCCATTGATGTAGCAGTACCGTCCCTCCATCCCTTTGGGAGGCAGCAAAAACGTAAGCATATACGGCCCGGGTTTTATTCCACCTTCTCGCTGAGTGCTCTTGAGTCAAAAAATATAAATCGTCATCGCCATGAAAACAAGAGTTCATCACATGAAAAATTTGACACATACAAACTGATGCAGGGGATACGTCACACGATTCTAGATTTGCTGGCTACAGTTCGAATTTAACAAATGTTAATAAGTCCCACAGATGTTACCATTAGACTCCACCACAGAAAGCCATCGCGTGACATTTCTTGGGCAGGTGCAGCGTTACACAGGTCTTTGGAGCAGCAAGCAGTGACACATTCTGATGCGTCAACAATATTTTGACAGTAGCGGCTGGGATCAGTACAGTATATGACAGATAAACAACCTCTTCTGTATCTGTGGTTATCCGACAGTTGAAAGGATAGTTTGCCGCACGTAGTTCTTGGTTGACAAATTTCTTTGGTTCGTGCTTTGTCACACTCTTCAAAAGAATCATCACTTGAACAAACGAAACAATCCAGCGAGAACACAGCTGCAAATAAAAGTCCATAAAAGGGACCAATTCAGTCGTTATGCGAAGTATATAGACTAACCGACCCACTATGTCCTTTGTTTCGTATTATGGGTTTGAAGTTCTTACTGTTTGAATTTCCAAAGTAAGGCCGATATGAATAGTGTTCGGTCAGTACCGTCTGTTTAACCTTAATTATTGATACAGAACTTAGAACAGAAAGCTACAAAAGCATGCTTGTCTTGTTTTATCTTGATGAGTCTCTAAAATGGTTTTTTCGTTCTGGCATGATGACCTCACTCACAACAACTACACAAATACTTCATCCGGCTTTAAATTAAAGCAAGACTGTCAAAATTCGAAAAAACCACCAATCATATTAAAGTTTGTCATCTGCAGAAACATTTTTTTATAGTGAGAGAGGGGCTCTTCCAACGAACTCTTGCCACACAGGCAGAGAAATCTCGGCTGTGACCACTGCTTTCGATCTACAAACGTACTGACTTGTACTTATTTTGGTATCTGCCCAAACGCTCCCAGATCACTACGTGCATTTCTCGCCGCACATATAATGATTGAAGGTTTATTTTTCAGTTTAAATTATGGTCGAACAATTTATCCAATTTCTTAGAGAATTCGTGATGATATTTAGCTTTAGCTTAACTTCGCTTTTTTCGGTTGCTTAAGGGAGAGTAAGTTTGGGTTCTTACCTTTACACAAGAAACTAAGACACAGTAATCCTACAGATTTATGGCGAAATCCGAAAGCAGTCATGTTGTCAATATATGATTTGACCCAGTACTTTGAATCTGTAATTAAAAATAAAGTTTTGATCGACAGCACGGCGATTTAAACACACACTGCCAATTTACTGACCACAAAATAAACTTGAGGTATTTACAGTTACCTGACCCCTATGGGGAAAGTAAGAAAAGTGTCTGTGATTTGCTACTGGTCGCTTTTGTTTTAAGGTAGGTAGGTTTTAGTGTTTCTCTCCTCGATTTTAAAGATCGAGAGATCAGAGATTTATGCTCGCTTGAGCAGATGAAACACATGTATACAAAAAGAGGTTCGGGTTGGGGTCGAAACACACCCACCTAACTAAGGTCGCCATTTCAATTATTTCGATCAAATGCGTTACGAAGTGTTTTTCAGTATTTAAATCATGATGATTTTTCAAAAATATAAATAATTCAAACGCTGGGTTTACCGCAACTTCATAGCTCGTCAAAAAAACGAATAATGAATAATGCGGTAGGTTTCCAAAGAAACTGTAGTGCTGCATCGGAGCGGGGGAGGAGGTTTTCGGAGAGAATTTGGTTTTATCAGCTGAGTTAAATATTTTCATAAGTGAGTGATTTTAGTCTAAGAGGTTCGCTTGCAGTAGTTGGGTGGTGACTTCTCGAGCAAATATGTCGTAAGAAAAGAAGGCTCTAAGTACAATTAGTCTATTGATAGAGCTATCAATGTAATATTTCCATTGATACACCCAGCACCAGACCTCCAGAGAGAGAAACGAATGGATACACTGATTAAGACCTTTAGAACGACATAACAATAGCCCACAGATAGGCCTACAGTTACCAGGTAAAGAGAAACCTGATCAAAAGGGTAGGTATTAAGATTGCGTTCAAAAATTGTCAATGATGGGATAGCATACAATTCAGCGGGCAAGCTATTCCACTAACGTGGTGCAGCGGCATAAAAGGATCTAGCGACAAGCGAAGAGAGCACTTTCTCTTTAGGCGGCTCCAGGAACAAGGTGTCATTATATCTAAGATTGTGAGAGGACTTCTGTCTAACACTAATTGAATCACTGATATACAGTGGCGGTAATCCATGAATTGCCTTAAAAGTTACGACTAATATCTTAAAATAAATTTAGGCGCCTACTGGCATCCAGTGAAGATCATAAAGCGCTGGTGTAACATGGAATGCTTGCCTATGTTTATAGCAAGTCTTACTGCTGCATTCTGAATACGTTGTAATTTTAAAATCTGTGATTCAAGTAAGCCATAAAAGAGCCTGTTACAAAAATCTACGCGACTGGTAATAAATGCATGAATAAGTGTCAGAAGAATCACGAGATAAATACTTCTTAATACACCTAATGTTATGTAAATGTTGAAAGGCTGCATTACAAAATTTAGTAACATACGTTGACATACTTAACTGACTAGCTAACCTAATCTTGAGCAAATTCAGAAGAAAAGATGACAAATACAGAAGAATACAAATACAGATGAAAAGATGTGTGCTCTTTGTCGTGTGTTAGGATGATGTACCGCAAGAATTCTAGTACCATGCGTGGACCAACGGGTAAAGATGACTAACTGTGAAGGGATATACTGCGATCAATTAATCCACTGTTACCCTGCACTAAAGGGACTTTCCTCACAGGCAAAGCTATGGCCAGGCATAAGCCTAGCTGCCAATCATGCAAGACAGCCTAAACGAAAAATCTAAGACAAAGGGCTTTCCCAAAGCAGAGCATTTTGCCTCAAGAACAAACTCAAAGTCATTTAAGTGTGCATAAAACTATCCTCTCCGTCCTAGGCTTTGTGCAACTATTAGCAAACCAACCTCACACAGGCTAGGCTCTGCTCCAAAGTTTTGGGATAGTAGGGAAAAATCTCAAAAGGATGGCAAAACTGTTTCTATTTTAGTACTTTATTTATTTTGATCGAGAAAATGGAGATTTCGTTGGAAATTTGTTTCGGCTTAAATTTTTGGGATAGTAGGGAAATTGGAGAAACCTGATTGATCTACGCATTTAATCAGGAAAATGGGTTGATGTGTTTGTTTCGGCTTAAATCTGACTATTAAATTGCAGTTTGGTTTCAGGGAAAGGGTATTGAATCAACCAGTTTGGTTTGTAATTATCCATGTCTGCAAGCTCAGTAGGCATCGTCGCCATCGCTAATGATCAACTTTTGAGTAGACTGACAAAAAGTGGTTAGAAAGTCTGTCCTGCTCTTTTTTTTCTTCAGTGCCTACTGTCAGTTCCAAGATTATTGAATGAGATTATGGAATCATCTTACAAAAAGAATGCAATGCCATGATATAATGCAGCACTGAACTGGGCATCATGAAACACTCATAATAAGTCAAATGCCAAATTAAGACTGAAAGGTTGGTTCAAAGAAAAAAAAAACTCAAAGAAACGTCAAACAACTAAAACGAGCAGCTTGAGAAAAAACTCTAAATGATTACAAGTTAAAAAAACTTGCAGTGAATTTTGTCTTTACCATGAGACATTACGTTGCTTTGGCTCTTGCTTCAGATTTGTTGTTCGGTTTAGCCTCACTTAATTGAGTATTTCCTATCTCAGTATACGAGCCAGATGTAATTACCGCTTTTGGGATCGATTTCTTTGTCTATAAAACCACAGACTGAACGCGTTTGGTAAATAAACGCTGTCAACGGTTCATAGTTGGAAATCTCATAACATCTGACAGTGACAGTCTTTGAAACAGCAAATGAGTTACGGTACGTTTTCAGTGATCCTGTTTCACGCGTTTTTTATCCTATAGTCTTCCTCGATTTACACCTTTTTAATATACCGCAACTGAAAATTGGTTTCTTTGTGTTAAACGAAATAATAGACAGGTATGATGTGTAAACGTCATAACTTACAGCCAATCCTTGATCCATTCATTTTAATGGCTTTCTTTGATTTTGCAGAAGTTTTTCCGATAATTAGGAAATTTCGTCTGCTGCAAGCCACTTTTAAACAGAACATATGCAAGTCACACACGATCAAATGTTGATTTGAGTAAAATGAGAATGAAGTTGCTTTGGGTGATCTTTTTACTTCCCACCTTGCGTACTGGCGGTGAGTAGCTGTAACTGATAAATTTCACCCCAGGTTAAAGGAAAACATTTTTCCGGACGTCTGTCATATTCGAAGCCAAAACTTAAATGATTTGAAAATCGGAAAAGGTTTAAGACTGAGAGGACAGATGCTCGTGCTCTGCTAAAAATAGATTTCGACTTCGAATTTGACCTAGCTAGAGAAGAGGATGTAAAAGTAACAGCCGTCACTCCCGTACCGTTCCCCGCGTTTCCCTGAGTCTTAGTTTTCACTTTGCTGTTTTTGATGGAGTGTGGGGAGGGAAGAGGTTATTGCGTGATGATTTTCCTGACCAGTGAAAATACTAAATTAACACCTCTTGAACTGTGAATTTGCCTTTCGCGATACGTGAACCTTACTGTGGTATATCCGTTTTTTTCCGTGATATGCATTATTTCAATTTTTTCGATGTTCGTGAGACGTGCGCAGGACCCTCCCCCCCCTTCCCTCGCATCCCCTTTTACCCCCTTCTTTGATCAAGTATCGATCCATGGATTGCGTTTTTCAAGAGGCAAAAAAGAACGCTTGGGGAAAACATCGTTTTAAATTGGTTCCTTACGCTCTCAACTCATTATCCGAGGTTTGCTAAAGCACTCCAAGTTTTTTTGACGGTTCGTGGAGTTTGACGTACCTTCACTAATATATTCGATGTTTTAGACTTCAGTGTTTAATGAATCTTGATTATTAATGTTCGCTGAGTCAAACACAAAACCTGTTACATCAAACTTCTTAATTACAAAAACGCGCAGCCAGGATTTAATGAAGAGACAACTTTGCACAGTTACATAAGATTCATTTTTCCAAGTATCCAGATAAACTAAAATTGAGAAAATAGATAAGACTTACACAAGAAATACAACTGAATAACAAATGCCGATATGAAGTTTACCATTTTTTCAGGTCATGGGCAGGTGTTAAATTGCTTTAGGTGTGTCAGCAGTGTTTCCTGGAAAGAATGCGCCTACCAACAATATGAAACAAAATGCAGCCAAGAGAATGACGCATGTATAACCGTGAAGTTCCAGGGGAGGTATGGGGAGACTGGCTTTGTGAGGTAAGAACAATTATAACGCATAGTTCCTCAGAATGATCGGCCTGGTTTATGCAGTGGCATTATACAACCCAACCCATGTAGTGGACCAATAAAAAAAATAAATATATAAATGAATAAATAAAAAGGGATACACTGTAGTTGACTATGTGTTGTACTTCCCCCTCCAACAACAACTGCACTAATATGAACATTGAATGTAAATTCTGTTTTGAGTTGGAGAGTGTGTATTCTGGATATGAGCATTTTTATTCATCTGTCAACAACAGCAACAATTTTTCTTTATCGGGGATTATTATCTAACTCCAAAACAGGAACACCTTCTCACTGCCAAGTCTTTAATGGCCACATGCTACTATTAGCTGTCCAGTTATAAACCAATTATAGAAACTTGCAGTACCAAATCTCAATTTCAGAAACATCTCTTGATATAGTGTAGTTTGAACCCTGGGGTAGTATTTAATTGTGCGGTCAGATTATGCGGGTGAAAGTGGTACTGATGACTGTTGCCATCAGTGTTGACTGACACTTCAACAACCTCAGCAGAAATCATCTTTAGAGTCAAGTGAATAGGTTTTGTCAGCAGAGTGTTAAAAGTCCAGTTTGCAGAGACTGATTGGTCAGTTTAGCTGGCATGTTATTGGCAATAAGACTCAAGTGGTGTAATAATAATAATAATAATAATAATAATTATAGCCAGAATTTATATAGCACACATATCAAAAAGAAATCTCATGGCGTTATTTAATAAGTATAAGAAATTACTTAAAATTAATTTAAAAATGAACACAATAACTGTCCATAAAAGACATGTACTGGTGTATCTGGTGTAAGTGACAGTTGTGATTGGTGAGTTTTGATCCTTAAGTCATTGTAACAACATTTTTTATTTTCCAGAGACTGTGTGAAGAAGAAAACATGTAAAAAGGCAGAACTCAGCCAATGTCAGCAAACAGAGCAGTGTGACTTTGAATGTTGTAGAGGTGAACTTTGCAACTCTGTCCTCAATGCACAGTCCAGCAGAATCCTGTTTATGCTGTGCATGTCAAGTCTTTTATTATTGTTTTAAATTTTACATGGACAAAGTTAGTAATTGAGGCCATAGTTAATGATTTAAATAATTTACGAAAAAAACCTTAGATGTATGTGCTCTGATTGGTCAGTAATAATAATACTTACAATAAACAGTTATAAATGTTTTTTTTAATCAAAAATTTGCTAGACAGTTGTTGTGGCCTTTCTTGGTGTTTATGAGATAAAGATACTGCAGTTGTTACAAATGATAACCACCTGAGTAACATATACCAAAGCTAGATTGATTAATGTCCTTCCAAGGCTTATAAATTCATTTCATTGCCTTATAATTTTCTTGACTTATCTTTGATCATTTGACACATTCTAGAGTTGATGATTTATGGCTTACAAGTGGTTATAGGTTCTTTGTTCTCAGATGAAGAAAAAATTATTGCAGAAAATCATTATTTAGGTGCAATAAGCTGCAAACAATTTCTAAGTGTGCTTACTAGCCTTTTTTATCAATTCCATATTGAAATTTATTTGACTTACATGTAACTCACTTCTAAGATTAGCACATCAGCATTAACTTAAGAGTTGTTCTACAAATTCTCGAAGTTCTTTGGTTTCTATTAGTCCAGTGAACTTGTTAACAACTTTCCCATTCCTAACAGCCAAAACAGTAGGAATTCCTGTAACCTGAGGAACAACAACAAGAAAACCACAAAGAATACATCACTGTATGCTGAATGGTATGCTAACCCAAATTGGATAACTTATCAAAATGATACAAAAACCACTAACAGCAGACACACTTGACTTACTGGAATATGTGGTACATATCTTTTATTAACCAAGTTTAAAAACTCAGCAAAAAGACGGGGTTCCATAACTTACAGTAAGGACCTAGAACTTGGTGAATTAGAGAAAACAAGGTATATCTCTGGGTTCAAATAGAGGAAGATCCCACATCAGACATACTTTTAAATTTAGTGGGTGGTACAGTTAAATACAGCCTGCTAAATTGACTGATCATAGCACAAGTACTAACTGAGAGGAGTAATAAAGTACTCGATAGACTTGTCAGTACTACTTTATCAAATAGCTTCTTACTTGATATTCCAAAGCCAGATCAGAATGGATATCAATATCGATTTTAGCCAGCTCTAACAAGCCCTCTTTCTCTCCCATTACTGCATCTAACTTTGGAGATAAGGCTTTACAAGGGCCACACCAGCTGTTTAAGAGATGAGATGTGGGTAATGTGAGTTTTAAAGAATCTACCTTTTATTACCTTCAGTGCAGAAATGACTTACAAATGGTATCATTAGGTAATAACATGATTTTGAGTGCCATTTGGTGTAAATAAGCTAAAATGAAAACTTTTCATAGACAAAAAAATTACACAAGCTGGTAGGGAAAGTGCATTTTGCAAGGGTTTCATTAAGAACAGGCACTGGGAAAATTGACCACTTGTGAGGACAGCTTCACACACCTAGATTGGCCATTTAGAGGAATGTTTTTCCTACAAAGAATTTCAGTTCAAAAAGTTTTACCCACCTGTGAAAACAAGTTGCCCCCCTGCTGAAAACATGAATGAAACCTCTCAATTTGTAGTCTTTGAAAAAATTTATAAGTGCTTGTTTATACCCTGTAGAGCATCACAGAAAATTATGATAGTGCATGCTTGCTCATTTGTTATTTGTACTTTTGTAATTTCCAATCATGTTACAACTTAGATTACATGAAAATGCACTTGTTTTCGGCCAATCAGAAGTAAGTAACTTTTCTCGTATATTATTAATAATGGTAAATGTATGTGATATATAGGTCATTTTTGTCTAATAGGGTCAAATTTGATTGAAATCTTTCTCATAATATTTTGCAGTTTATAGGGTTCTAAAAACTTGATTCATCCAGTTGCAGTATAATTATTCAGTATTTAGAGTGAGGTCTCAGCTATGCAGTCACTGAAAAGTTCCATGGGAGATAAATGGGAAATGTTAGTTTCCTGAAGACCAGAAAAAAACAACCATAAAATAGGATAAAGAAATAAACAAAACTTAAAAATAAATAATATTTTCCATACTCAGCATAGAAGTCCACAAGGACAGGTTTGGCAGAGGCCAAAACTTTCTTCTGAAAGTCGTCTTTGTCTTTCACCTCAAACGGGGTTCTGAAATATGATGTGGTAGTGATGTGTGCTGACGTTCCAGAAAGGTACTTTGGTGAAAATAATGCCCTGTGGTGGGACGTCAGTCGATGCGCCATTCTTAACATGAAGCAAGCTATTAAAACAACATACGATGCAAGAGATTAGTAGAACGAAAATTACATCAAATGGCAAGATTTTAATGCTGTTGGTACCTACAGTATGATTGCCAAGAGCTTTCATCTTTGTCATTCATACGCTACGGATAGGATTCTTTAAGTCTTGAATCTCGCTTCGTATTCTGTAACCTCCCTAGTAAATTCTATGTCACAAACGTTCAGTATCACCACCTCTCTTAAATTTTTTTTACTGCTAATCACATTATTTCTGTTGCAGAAAGGTTCAAATACATGTAACAGGTAAACAGTTTATTGGCTTCTTTTGCCATGAAAAACACCCTTATCTGGACTAAATTAACACCCATCTCCATTGTGATTTGCATATGTTTATCTAAATTACAAGTGGTAAAAAGTTGCCTTGTCGGATCTGCACCGAAAACCGAATTGAGAAGGTCGTTCATAAGCGATTATATATTGTGTTACACACTGCATAGACTAGTCATAAAGTCTTAGATACTAAATACACGTATAAAATAAGAAAAACTTTTATAAATTTTGAAAGTTCTTAAGCACAATTCAGCTTCGAATTTTTGTCAGAATTATGGATTGAACCCTTACAGAATATTTACACATGGCGTAGAACAATAGTTTTTATTAGTTTCAGTAAAATCCATTTTTTTGTCCATCAAAAATCGCGATCTTTTTACCTCAATCTCTGCGCCAGCGGGATCAGCTTCTGTGAAATTTGTGCTCGATACGCTGCTCCTCGATACAATATGGTTCCTTTGTTTTACTCAGCCTCAAAGGAAACTCGGGAAGGAAATGTAGATTATTAAGGTTGCTATGCGACACTAATATGACCGAAGACTCGACCTACTGAAAGGTGACACAAATTCCACTAAAGAATGGCAGTCAAAGGACTTTCAGAAAAACAAAAAGCTGCTTTGGCGGAAATAGTCACTGCTGAAACTTTATTCGACATTGAAGAATATATTAGACCTGAATTTTGTAACAAATCAGAAAGCCGAGAGTTGTTCACGTCGGATGTGCATTTGAACTCATTGAGGAGACGCATTGTTCAGGATGGTCATGGAAGGTGGAGGGAGATAAATCCACAACATTACTCTAGCAATTTACTATCACCATTAAGGAAAAATTCAGGAATAGCCAAAAGAGAGAGTCGATCAGATCTCAAACATGGAGCTGCTGAAACTTCTTACAACATTCACACAATCAATCCAAATTATAACAATCTTTCTATGGCCTTGAGATCCAATGTTTTCCCAGGACTTGGAAATAATCATTGGCATAGTACAACAGCTAAAGTTTACAAAACACAACACGTGATTCCAACTTCACAAAGGGAGAAATTTTTTGGCGTGCAAACTGATGAGTTTGGAAAGTGGTCAGCTGCTAACGTTCACCATGAAAGAATGAAGAAAAAGTGGGAGACATATCTTGATTCTCTTCCAAAACAGGCAGGTAACTGAGTTTATCTTTGAACATTATTTCACTGCTATACCATGCTGTGTCAAAATTTCCATTGTGTACTCAAATTAAATGAACAGTAAAGTGATTCACCAGAAAATGTTAAGCTCCAGGATAGTGGTGATTAGGCAAGACTCAAGGGAATTAGGCCTCGTGGAGGCCACTCAAACTCCCCAAACTTGGGCACATTCTTACTGTCTCTCCAAAAGCTCCAATGATTACTTCCTCCAACAGGAAATAATGAATATTGCTTTTAAGTCTTTAAGCAGAGTTCAATACATTGCATAAGGTGCAGTTCTGCTGATCCTGTAGTCCGAGAGTCTGGGTTGAAGGAATGTTTTCAAAAGTATTGACAGATGTTTGGGCAAACTTTAAACTGACTGTACTTTACCTTTCTGCTGGCTGAGACTCAAATAGGTGCAAATTGTGCACGATTAGTTGGTTTTTGATCCACTAGTATAAGTTTGTTTGTTGTGTATTGGTGAATAGGTAGTTAGTTTGGTGCTAGAAGTTGCTAACATTTTAAAATTTTTGAGAGGAGTTTGTTCTAAGTGAACTAGCTTTCCAGAGTCAGACATTAAAAGTTGTTATAGCTTTAGGGAACCAATTGATAAATAATGTGGTTTGAAGGTTGAAGGTGTTTAAAAATGTGATCACTGAATAAAGGAGGTAAGTTTCCAAAGAAAATGTGATGCTGAATTGATGGGGGTTATACAGAATAGTTTGGTGTTATAAACTGAAGTAATAATGTATATTAGCCACTGTTAAAAGTTAGTAGAAGCCCTTCATTAGAGTGCAGCACTAACATATGGCTAATGCTTGAAATGCCATCTTTTGAAATTCTATAGTGGCCAATTTACATCAAAAACGTATTATGATTATTGACCTTCCAATTCCTTAATAGCACAAATGACCTTTATAGCCCATAGCCAGGTCACATTTTCACTCCTGGTAAATGATTGCTTAACAGAAAAGGGAATGTTGCAATGTGCTTCATGAGTTCTGGGTAAAATAACGATTAATTGCTGGTTCTCTTGGTCTTCCAAACAGATGGGGATATCTAATACTTGACCTGAGGTAACATCTAGATAGCCTCACCCTTAACCTGTGGCATAACATTTAAAGGTGCATGACATGGAAATGGTTAATCAAATGAGCAGCAGTGAAACCACACTTATGTTTTAATACCTATCAAATTTAATTAAAGAAAACTGGCCTCCCCAAGAACCAAAACAAGTAACCACCAAGGTTGAGGAGCGCCCACCACAAGCAAAGGTAAAGAAACCCAACCCTAAACCTAAGGCACAAAAGAAGCAGACGCCAGTTGATGAGAAAAAAGTTGCACATGAAGATAGTGTGCCTTCAAAACCAATAGAAATCATTCAAGATGAGGATAATGATGATAACTTTTGGGATTTTTATGACAAACCTTTCAATAAACCAACTTAGCTGTGAGTGCAGTCTCTTAATTTATGTCTGTAGAGGAAACTTTTTGATATCACATAACATTACCATCATTATAACCACATATACTTAGTGTCTTGCTAGTTAGTTATTTTGTTAAGGTGATGGTACTCTGTCAACATGTAATTGAAATGATGTAAATAAAGAAAGTATTTATGACTGTGACAAACCACCCTTGTAACAATAAATGATTTTCATGTTTACCAGTAGGTGAAAAAATTTTCTATTAGCTTCTCTTAAAAGTTATTTTACAAGGTAGTTATTTTAGTGTTAATTTCCTATCTTGTATGAAGAGTAAAATGTATCATAAAGAAAACAATGTAAATCAAAGTATCAACTCATAACAAACAAAAGAGAATTATTTTTAAATTAACAGATACAAGTAGTTTAGGAAATAAATTATGAAGTAATAAAAGTTCAAGTTAATTTGCACTCTTTGTCTTTTGACATACTCTTACATGTATACCCCCATAAATTTGGGAGGGAGGGAGGTTACCTGCCCTGTTTGTTTTGTTAGCACTGATCAGTTGATAGTTATCCAACCACCTTCAGTTTTTCAACAGATTTCCAACTAATTAACCTCTATTCAGCAAAAAAGACAGAACAAAACATACTACTGTGCTACTGCATACTACCACATACTGCTGCAGACCATGCCAAGCCTGAAGAAACTTACTGAAGAGCTCTGCTAGGAAATCATAACTTGCCTTTTTCTTTTCCCCCAATAAGTAAAGATCTAGCATTCCCTTCACCCATTCTCATTTTCACCAAAACTAGGTTTTGTAGCCACATCAATTTCAATGGCCATTGCCTTCATTTCAAAGTTACCGGTATATATACTACTGTACACTATCTATAAACAGGATGGGAATGATTTCACAAGGTTGTATTATCCATCCTTCAAAAAACCAGACCTTAACAAATAGTTATCCAGGTGTCACACAGGTATGGTCATCAGGTTAAATTATATCCATTACAACATGTGCCTAAAATTACATCAATCAGCAATGTTAAATCAACCACACCAAGTTCATGATAAAAACTTTTCCTAACAGTTCCTATCAGATAGGAAGTGAAAGAGCAAGATCTCTCCCCATGTGTGTTGTCTCACAAGAATACTGTCTTGTTTTAGCTTTATCCTGTACACATTTTGTATCCCAAGAAGAAAAATGTATCACTGAACATTTCCCTTTATCTTCCTTCTTTCTTTCTCTTCCCTTTCTCTTCTAAGAAGAAACGCAAACAAACACATGTGCCAGCAATTCACATTGTAGACAAAATTTCATCTGCAATCTGGGTTTCAAGTGGTCCTAAAGCTGAAAAGAGAAGGCAGAATATTAACTGATGGGGATCATGCAAGAAAATCAACATCTACCTAATAGGTACATATATAAAAAATATAACTGCCAAATAAAAGTTTGAGAGGAAATCAGAAAATATGGAACTCAAAATATAATAATACATCACATATTAAAATAGTTTGAATATTGCCTTGCAAAGCAAACCATAAACAGGGAATTTTAATTACCTCCTGGCATTTCAGGAAAGACAGCATCCTGATCACCACTACTAAATATTCCAACAATATCCACATCATTATCAGAGGCACCATTGGGTTTTAATGGAGAACCTCCAGGCAGCAGATCTACCGCAGGAACAATGGTGCTAGGTATAGCTGATGATAACGTTGACAATGGATCAGCATGTGAGTTTACTGATGCTGTAACAAGACAAAACATGAAAAAAATGAAGACTCCACAATAATAAAAATTTCTAATTTGCACTCCAAGTTGCTTCTTTCCTATTCTTAGATCCCAATCCCTGATAAGCATGTGAGCTTCCTAATGCTGTAACAAGACAAAACATGAAGAAATGAAGACTTAACAATCATAAAAATTTCTAATTTGCACTCCAAGTTGCTTCTTTCCTATTCTTAGATCCCAATCCCTGGTAAGCATGTGAGCTTACTGATGCTGTGACAAGACAAAACACAAAGAAATGAAGACTCAACAATAATAAAAATGTCTAATTTGCACTCTAAATTGCTTCTTTACTATTCTTAGATCCCAATCCCTGGTAAGCATGCGAGCTTACTGATGCTGTGACAAGACAAACCACAAAGAAATGAAGACTCAACAATACTAAAAATTTCTAATTTGCACTCCAAGTTGCTTCTTTCCTATTCTTAGATCCCAATCCCTGGTAAGCATGTGAGCTTACTGATGCTGTGACAAGACAAACCACAAAGAAATGAAGACTCAACAATAATAAAAATGTCTAATTTGCACTCCAAATTGCTTCTTTCCTATTCTTAGATCCCAATCCCTGGTAAGCATGTGAGCTTACTGATGCTGTGACAAGACAAACCACAAAGAAATGAAGACTCAACAATAATAAAAATTTATAATTTGCACTCCAAGTTACTTCTTTTCTTATCTTAGATTCCAGTCCCTGGTGATTTGCATTTAATATATACTATTGCACATAGCACTGCATGAAGTAACAGTTGTACTGTTTATTACCTTGCTCTGTTTTCCGCTTCTTGCTTTGGGATTCACTGCTCAAAGATGCTTGTTGAGAAGTTTTACCCTTTGCTTTCTGTGTATTCAGTGGGGAATTTTCTTGTTCATGAATCCTTCTCTTCAATGCAGATTTTATTTGTGCCCTTGTACATTAAATAACAAGAAACAAATTCAATATTAGTCCTGTAAGCTGAAAGACTTGCTATGCACATGTATATCACAAACAGAAGTAGTAATATTCTATCTCTCAACATATAAAAAGAGGTGCTACTTCAGTAGGTAACAAACAATTTTATTTGTCTACACCTTGAACATAAACTGTTGCTCAGTTGAAAAACAAATGCCAAAAGTGACTTCCAATCAATCAATCAATCAATTTATTTAATGTGGTCAGAACGCTTAGCTAAAAGCTAGTTTACAGGTACGCCACAGGTACTTACTTTACAGGTACTTCCCTTATAGTAGGAAGCATATCTCCTTTTGTGGAAGTTAACGGGTTATAAGATCAGCAACATGGATAATATTGGATACCTCAGTCAATGAAATTAAACTATTAAGTACATTGGTCAATGCTGTATGCCAGAGTTTTATTTATTGGAATTTACATATCTGCAATTTCTTGCAACTAGATTAATAGTAAATCCTTGCATTTTCATAATTCTATTTCATTTATTTCATTACAAGCAGTAAATATATAATTTTATTATACAAACATCAATAAAATACCAGGTGAGCATTTGCGCAAAACATGTTACTGTATCTTCACACTAAGATCACTGTTGTTATAATTACATATAAAAAATTGTACCTTTTGATGCAACACCTTTGATTTAGTATTTCATTGGTGTTTTTAAATTAAAAAGAATATTACATGGCTGCTTGGAGATATGAAATTTCTCTTCTGGTGTTGAAAAATATTTCACAAGCTTGCTTCCCTCACTTGCAAAACATTTTTCAAGACTCCACGAGAAACTTCATATCTCTATGCAGTCATGTAATGTCTTTTATAAAATGATTAATAATGAAGAAGAAAAATAAATGGTGTGAAAACCTAAAAACCATCAAGGTGTGTTACTTTATGGTGTCTCTCAGGATAAAAGGATGAATATATTAGGTAAAAAAAAACAACCTAAAATATTTCTTCAATATGATCAAACAAAATTATAATATCTCTAAAATACATATTAAATGGGAAAAAAGAGGTTGATGTTGTTACATTGCCCTAGGGAAAACCATGAAAAATTAAAAAATAGAATTTCTAAACGTATATGAACAAGGTATAAAAACTGCCTCCCTCTTCCCCATTCAAATGGCTGATATATTTTGAGGAAGCCCCTCAACTCACACCTGAAGCAGCTTAAAGCCCAGGCCTTAATAGTTGAGGGCAGTAGGATATTAAATATATCCTATATATATATCCTAAAAATTTGGATAAAAACAGAATTAAAAAAGAATTGCACTTTGCAGACTTTATGGTGAACATTTGGAAGTGGGTGCTAACCTGCAATAGTGCTAGACAATGAAAAGTCAATGTACACATGGAGGTCAAAGGTAAAATCAGTACTGAATGTTCAAAAAGCCTTTTAGCCAGTAAAGCTCAAAACTTCTCAACATCAAGAATAAGTCTTTCTGCTATACCTTTAACGTAATATACATCTTCATCATGTTTGATGCCAAAAGTCAGTTGATGACTATATCCCAAAGGTAATTAATTAATTTTTTTCCAATAACATCCAAATTCAACTACTTACACAGACTTGCTTTTCACTTGCCCACTGATCTTCTTCAAGTCATCTCCAAACCTCTTGACTGCACTTCTTAACATTTCAATTTCTTCATCTCCCCACTTGCCACTGTTGCTTTAACAGATTGAAAGACAATTAAAGGTGGAAGTGGAATGGAGAAAGATTTATGTCCGTGTTTGGAATCTCTTATTAGGTGATAAACTCATGCAAACCTGGTGATTTGAGCTGCTGGTTATCAAATGACATTCAGTCACCCTGATTCATAAAATAATTACAGGTATAAATTATTTACCATAGTGGAGGTGAACAGTGGCAGATATTTATCAAGCCAGGAAGTGGCAAGGTACTGGTAAATATCCACCACTTTCAAGGACATTGGGGTAAATAATTGTGTCAGTGCATAACACACAGATACCAAAAAATTAGACCATTTGGTTTTATCAACTAAGTTGCTTATGTAAATTGGCCACCGTAGAGAGTTTCAAAGCTGACATTTCAAGCATGAGCCCTTCATCAGAGCCAAAAAATCAGTTTATTTCTTGCAATATACTTAAAAATGGTCCAAAATTAAATTCTTGATATGTTGTTTTGTCTCATCAGCTGCTAAGAGTTGAACAGCACTTGCTATTCACTTCTAAAGAAAGGTGTGCAAAAAACACTTTTCCCTTGTGTGGTATATAGTCTATTATAAAATGTCCAGAGAAATATGCACGCTGTGATTAGTCAGAACGAGTTCATTATATTTCCATAAAGTACGCACCTTGCATCACATGAGTGCAGTGTTGAGATATAATGCACACAGCCTATCTCATCAGTATAAGCGTGTGCAATTCATAATACATTTTATAAAAGAAATAAAAAAAATTGTTCCATGAGCATTGTTGAGTTATATGAGCACTTGGGAATTTTTAAGATCACTCAAGAAAAATTCCCACTTGCTTATATAACTCAATGATGCACTTGGTGCATTTTTATTTTTTTAACAGTTTTTATCCATCTTCAAGATAATATTTAATAGAACAAGCAATTAAAAAGTCAAAATAGAGATTAATTGAGCTTGCATACATTTATTTCCATATCAGTTTTAAATGCCAGTAATTTTGGAAAATGTTTTTGCACAAGCAAAGCAATAACATCATCTCAGTTTATTCTCACACTAATCACTGAGCTACACTTAATGTATAAACTTGCAAACCTTGTAGTTGTTGTCAAGGGTGACGTGGCAGTATCATTATTCAGTGGATGCAGCTGCATTGTTAACTCACCCAAATGTGAGAAAGCTTCCCCAGCAGCCGTAAAAATCTCTGCAACCTAAGTTGTAGTATCTTATTGTGTTATTATCTAGACAACTCCAAAAGAAGTCACTTCTATGATAATCTCTCTACTTAGAGACTGACTCTTTCCACTAAGCCATGAACATTTATCAAGGCCTCCTCTCCAAAGCTTCCTTCCTTCCTTCCTTTAGACCCTAGTCTAATTTATGTTTTATCTATGGTGCCTCCTTTTGTGGGAAATTTGATAAAAATAAAAAGATAACCCATTCTGTTTGTAAAATGTTATGAGAAATATGATTACCACATAAGGATCAAATTATGTGTCCATTTCCAATGCTGTGAAGCTCCTCATTTCTCACAAATTATTCCTAATTAGCTTATAGATATTTATGAAGTACCAGAATTTCTCCTGTTTCAGAAGCATGATACCCTTAATGCATAAAGGAAATGAACCATCTATATCTTCAACGGTGAAAATAACAATACCCTCGTGGAGACTTGGTCTCAGAACATGGCTATTTTTCCTATAGTTGCTTTTACTAATGAGAAACTTAATACCTTTGATGCAGATGAGCTCATCTTTGAAATCTTCTGATCACTTCATCACATATCAAAAGTGACAAAATTTGTAAATGGCACAGAACTGAGACAAAAAAAATGAGTAGATAAAAAAACGATACAACAACCACAAAATTTAAGAAAGTGGATGTAAACATGATCATTCGAAGTACCAATTCACAATCAGGATTCTTGACTTTAGAACTACCTTACTCAATTTGAATTCTAGTTTCATAAAATTAAGAGACGTGATCTTAATTTTAGAATTTTGAATGAGAGTTCAGTCCAACACAGAACAAGGACACTGAATTACGAAAAAGATGTCTCAAAGTGAGTAAGAATGACTTTTAAAACAGGAAATTTCATAATTTTACTTACATTACCGAGTTCTTTTCGTGGAACAAGAAACCAGAGCCCTCGCTAAATTGTAATTTGTTCTTTGCATGAATCATATTTTGGAATATTTTCTAACTACTCACAGTGCCATCGTGTCGTTTATTTTTCTTGAAACAACGAAACCTACCTTGTAACTAAAATTAGGTTAAAACATCACTCAAATCACTTACTTAGGGGTATTTCGAGAAGAAATATTAAGGAATCTCTGCAACCATACCGTTTGTTCTCACCGCCACTTTGGAGAACAACTACTTACCAGACCTCATGCGAATTGACTCTCTCTCCCCCGTTGGTCCTGGGAACGAGATGGCTTATCTGGAGGAAAGATGAAACAAGATGAAACATCTGACAACGCTTTCACATCAAGTCAATAATTGGATAACTATATTACAATATCATTAATTCAGTAACAGATGTAGATAAAATACTCATAAGTTATATATAATGATAATTACAATTTAAAATAGTGAGGAACATTTTTCATTAAAAAAAATCTAAAAGACATACATTACATACAAATAAAATAATAAAACAGCGATCAATTATTTCTGATATACGAGGCAGTAATCTTTAAATAATAAGTACTTTGAACTAGCACGAATGTTACTTAGTAAAGTATTCCAGTCCCTTATTGTTCTTATTGTATTGCTTAGTAATTTCAGAGCAGGGATAAATGTTGCGCTTTACAAAGCGCATAATAGAATGAAAGTTACCATGGATGGTGTTTAACACCGGAAAGGCCAAAAAAAGGCTTAATAGCTAATTCAAATGTCTTCGTGATTATCTTTCTGAGAGAATACAAGGATCTGCTGGCGCATATTCATAATGAATCATTTCCATTGGGCACCCAATCACAGGATAATCCGTTAAGTAACGGTCTAGTCGCTCGAAAGTCATCTCGCCCGAAATCATTTCGCCTGGAAACTGTGTCATGTCGCCCGAAATCTTAGTCATGTCGCCCAAAATAAGAAGCAAAGTCACACGAAGAAACAAATACTGAAAAAACCAGACTTACAGATTATTAACAGGTAATAAAATTGAGAAATCTTTATCAATGAAACGCTGGTTGTGATGAGATTTACTCGTTTCGATCGCTTTGCTTTGCTTCGCTGCGTATTTTGTATCGATTCGTTTGGTCGATGAAACAAATTAAGCTTTTAGACATTTGTGACTACAATGATAGTTCTCATTAGTTTAGAGATTCGTAGTACTGTTTAATCGAGTTATAGGTTGAGTTATAATAGCATTGTTTATGTTTGTTATATACGTCCCTGGAACGTTTGAATCAGGTCGCATTGACAGTGACATTTCATTATTGGAGGAAGGATTGGTAATGTAAGATAATGCACCAAAACGGTGTTCCGATCGATCCGTACCTTCAGCGGTTTCTAAAATATGTCATTCTGATGTCTTTTACAAGTGATAAAAAATCTGGCGACTTGACTTTTTATCTCTGATGACATAACTAAAATTTCGGGTGATATGACTCAGGTTCCGGGCGACAGGACTAAAATTTTGGGCGATATGACTCAGTTCCTGGCGACATGACTTCGGGCGAGATAACTGCCGGGCGACTTGACCGTAGACCATCCGTTGGAGTTCAGACGAAAAATTATTATCAAAATTTGATGTTTCTATCATAATGATTTATTTTAATTAACAATTGGTTCATACGTCAGCGTGCGTTCATCGAGATATGAAGCACGCGGGAAGTTTGGAGAGCACTCAAGAAGCTAGAGTTGCTCTCAGCTACGCCTCGAGCAAATCTTACGCATCTTTCGTGCTCTCCAAACTTCCCGCGTGCTTCATATCTCGATGAACGCACGCTGACGTATGAACCAATTGTTTTATAACATTTTCAACACGATGGAAAATTTGTTTTCTCGAGGGATTTGTTTGCTGACGTCATGAGCGTGCAAAATAGGAATATGAAGCACACTCGCGCAATTGAATTTGATTACACAAATTTACTAGCTGTTATAATGAAAGTTACGTAGGCTAAACTCTGCTGTACAGTTGATAAGATTATAACAATGATAATAATAATTATAATGATAATAATAACTTTGTACTGCAAAAATAGGTCAGCTGAATTTAAATATAAAGACAGCTGGTATAAACCTATGTGCAGTTGATAAAATATTTCAAATAAATGTTAGCATTAAAAAAATATAAATTGAAAGGTAAGATTTGGTTACAACAAGAACAGCTACAAATATATGTATATATATATATATATATATATATATATATACATAAGTTAAAGAATTAAAGAGGACGCACCGATTCTCTGTGGCCTGAGCGCTCGCTCAGGCGTGAAACTCAGAGTCACAGAGAATCGATGCGTCCTCTTTAACTCTTTAACTTATATATACTTAGCTCTGCTACCACGGCATTGAGCACTTTATGCCAAGGTAGACTCCACCCCCACATTCATTTATATATATATATATATATATATATATATATATATATATATATATATATAAATATTATGAGAGGAAAAAACGACGCAACTGCTTTTCCCGACAAGCCTGTTTCGTGAATCGCTTCACTCTTCAGGGGTTTAATTAAATTAAACCCCTGTTTAAACCCCATTAAACCCCTGAAGAGTGAAGCGATTCACGAAACAGGCTTGTCGGGAAACCCCACACCTTCAGGGGTTTAAACCCCTGTTTAAACCCCATTAAACCCCTGAAGAGTGAAGCGATTCACGAAACAGGCTTGTCGGGAAATGTAGTTGCGTCCTTTTTTCCTCTCATAATATTTATATATATATAAAGAAAAAAATAGGAAAAACTATATGCTACATTTGTGCAGTATTTTGTCTTGCTCTGACAAATACTGAAATGTTTCTGACTTAAAAGTTCTTAAGTCTATAGCCTGTAATTCTTTAGGTAAATTGTCCCATTCTTTTCCTGCTGCAGATTTAAATGTTGACTGGCCCATAGCAGATTTTACTTCAGGCAAGTGAATTTCTCGGGTATCTCTTAAGGACCTGCCATAAAGTTCTGATCTGAAATTCATATAGCTCTGAAGTTGCGTGGGACATCGGTGGTTATTAACAATTTTAAATACTAGCTGAAGACGCATATATCGTCGCCTACTGGATAACGTAAGAAGAATAGAAATTATTTTCCTTAAAATATGTCCTGTATAAGCCGCTACAGTAGAACCTCGACTTAGCAAACCTCTTTGGTTCCTCGAAGTCCTCGGTATAACGAACGATACTCTTCAGCCCGGACAAAGTTATAGTAAAATGTATGGGACAGAACCTCGATACAACGAAATCCTCTTTATAACGAACACAATCCAGAAGCCCAAACGTAGAATATACCCGATATAATGAACAAATGTTAGCACGTGACAATTAAAAAAAAATTGTTTCAAAAACTAAACTAGCGGGCAGCACTCTGCGAACAGAAGTTGTAAAACTTCTCTATTCTCGAACGCGTTTCGTCTAACTATCGTCGATTTCTTCAGTGAGTCTTACAAGTTAACACCAAACTAAGACCGTGGCCCTTAAATATTATTCTCACCTTGCTCAAAAAAATTTATGAAAGTTTTCAAAACTTCACCTGTTCCTGTTCGATCATAAGTACAGCCAAGCCGATATGGTCATTGGCCCCCGTAATAGCCATCAACTATGGCTTATCAATACAGGCGTTTAATTCAATTTTTTTAAAATAATTCTTCATATTCACATTCAAGCATAAATGTTACAGTAATCGTTCTGATCCCAAAATGCTAAGTAGCACAACGTCGCACCACAAAAAAAAAGAAAAGAAAAAGTAAAAAACAAGCAATTATTAACCATAGCTCGATATAACGAACATTTTGGTCGTTTTTCTGCAAATTCGTTAAATCGAGGTTTTTGATGTAATGAACCCTCGATATAACGAATCAATTTCCCTAGTCTCTTAGCACCTCGTTGAATCGAAGTTCCACCGCACGCCATTTCTGCAACGGCGGTTATTACATAAGCACTCTAAGACTGGGACAAACTCGCTCCATGCTCATACTTATCACACGTAGGATTAATCCCCTAAAACTTAGGTAGACATATGTTTCATAATTCGAAATGCTCATCATTGAAATGACCTCGAATGGTAAACTAAACGTTGTTTTTCGATTCTCGTGTATTTTATTGTTTGACACAAAAGTCTTGAGGAAGGTGTGTATTCCAGGACAAATAAGAATTGAACAGTAAAATTATCCAGGGTATACCAGAAGTAAGAGTTGTATTACATATATGCAGAGACTTGGCTCCATATTGTCTATGATGGTGCCAACGCCGTTTAAAAAGCTCTGTGAAAGTTTTGATCTATTGGGGGTCATGATCAAACTTTTGGGAGAAACTGGGATTGCCACCCCTTATTACATTTCAGCAGGAATAAGATGGCAGCTCATTGTGGGAAGGTTGGGTTAATAATGCGAACATACTACAGCTCTTATGTTTTTTGTTTTTTTTAACGACAGTGTTTTCCGAGGCATTGTATGAAACCTTTCCCCTTCTCATTATTTCTTACTTTTGTATCTAATCTACCGCCTGTTCCAGTCTTACTACCATATTTCATCGACCCTGCTCAAATGTTTTTTTGTATTTTCTCTTGATTCCATGTATGTCTATACATCCCTGTAGCTTTGTATCTGTTCTTTATCAACGTTATACCATCAAATTCACGTAAACTTTTGTATCATCTTTACTCGCTCATCACGTTTTCCGGAGCTTGCACTTGAAAGTTATAGATTTCATGATTTAACAACACAAGAAAAGTCTCCATGGGTGGGTGTGCGCCAAATGCGAATTCTTTTTACTGGAGCACTGGCTAATCACAGAGGTAATTTAGAAGGGAATAATTTAGATTCCTCACTTCAATTTTCAGCCAAGTATGGTGACAAAGAACAAAGAATATTGCACCTCTCCTCCCCAAATAAAAAAAAACAACAACAGCATGTACTAACATACGGTATTTAATTATTAAAAGAGGCCATCACTTTTTTTAAAAACTTAAAATGTTAATTCACCAAGCAAGTTTCTTAATATCAGAACAAGTCCATTAAGCGACAATGTTCCGTGCCCGATTGGGTTGTCTTATTTAAATGTCCATTTCTTAATAACAATGAGAAAAGTCTTACCAAACCCGTTCAAGCTTTGAGATTGATTCCAAATGTAATATTGGCCTACCAAGCTGGTACTCAGACATGCACATGCGTACGAAGTGTCTAGCAATAAGGAAGGAGAAGAGCACTTTACTAACACGCACGTGTTCTCCTTCATTCTGCCTCTAATAACCGGGGCAGACATTATGCCTCTAATAACCGGGGCAGACATTATGCCTCTAATAACCGGGGCAGACATTATGCCTCTAATAACCGGGGCAGACATTATGCCTCTAATAACCGGGGCAGACATTATGCCTCTAATAACCGGGGCAGACAGGCTATTTGGTCAATATTCTAAATTCAAAACTGAGAGGGAGTGATGTAATTTACAAAATCTTAGGGGAGACTTATTGAAAACCCCATTTTTACGTTTTTCTTTTATGTTGTTTAAAACAAGTCCAATTTTCGTGTTCTCGTTAAAAAATGCAGATAGATAGAAAAAACAATTTCCGCGCTGATTGGCTATAGTTGTTCTTTGTTGTCAAGGGCCATTTTTGTCTTCTTTTTTCCCACCTCATTAGTGAGTTTGATGTCCACTGATTCTATTGACGTTTGACTCATTAGCTCAGGAAATTCGATGTTATTTGTAGTTCTCCGTTTCCTGACCCAAAATCTAGTGAATTTGTGATTATAGTGATCACTTCATTAGCATACAGACACAAGGCTTGTAATATTACTTGACAAAAGCTGAACTAGCGGCCCTTAGCTTTTCCTTCTGTTCTCTTTGGTTATTGTTATAGTAAGCTCGACACTTAAATTCATGGATTTCAAACACCAGGAAGAGAAGCCACTCCGAACTGACTCGTTTAGAATACAGGAGCCTAGATGCAGAACAGCTCCGCAGGGAAAATTCGTAAGCAGAAGTGTGATCGCTACAGTGCTTGCACTGATTATAGTGCTCATTATTTTAGTCATTGTCCTGGGATCTTTGCTCGGCAAAGAAAGATGTTCTAAGGAGGAGAAGTTTAAAGGCGAGTCTTGATTATGTTGTTATGAAGAATAAGTATATTGTGTTCTGCATGTCGCGAATCCATGCCAGCCGCAGTTGTACTGATACTGACTTAGTTTATTTGATTAAAGAAATGAGAGGGTGAGCTTTGGTCGTCTGTGTAGTTAGAAACAGAAAATTTCTTAGGTTTTACAGCTGAAACGTCACCTTATAATTCTTAATTAACGTTTAACATATAAGGGTGAGTTTTTGAAAGAAATGATGATCTACCAAAGATCAAACCAAACGAAAATTGTGCATGCTAAGAATGTATTATCAGCTGATAATTATCTTTCTAAGTATTTGGCATTGTTCTGCGTTCTCTCACACTGTTAACTTCCCTGCCCTACTTTTTGTACAAAGGCCTTTTTCACAAAATAATTAAACATGATACGGTAACAATACGATTTTATACTAAGCATTAGCGATGAGAGATCAGTGAGATATTCTCGCTTCATCAATGAAATAAAGGGCGAACAAAAGTTACCTTCTGTTCTTAAGTTATGCATAGAAATATCATTTTGCTTGACAAAGAAGTTCAGTTTGTGAATTGATTATTTCTTGTTGCTTTTGGCAAAGATGATAACAGAGGAAGTCACCGATTAATTTTGTACGATGTTTGCATTTTGTAAAAGTTGGCTGCGAAGAGATAGTTACGAAACAAAGCTAGGCTGTATGTTTGTGATTCGTATAAGACAGTTTTTAAAGCCAGAGGGTGAATCAGTACTCAGATGGCACAATCATGGCGTCGAGAGAAAACATATTGGTCAAGTAAAATTGCATATATCATAAATTTAAACATACATTAGGAAGGGTCTGTTTTGGTTGTAATGTTAAAACAAACGCAAAGGGCGGTTACAGTCGATTGAAAATAATGGTCAGTGCATCCAAGGCTTGGAGTGGTGCGCTGTGTATAATTTACTGTCATTAAAGATTGCATAATCAGACGATTTAATATATTGTGCTTTACTTTTTAAAACGGGCTTCCTGCATGTTTACGTCGGAATATCCAATTTTACGCCCAAGGGGAAGCACGATGGTGAATTTTGAGAGGAAGGGCTCCAGAATCATTGAAAACTTCATGAAAACAAAAAGGAATGTGGCAATGATCTATGAGAATTTTGAAATTAACTTTTACAAAGTGAATTAATCATACACAACAGCTATTTCTTTATCAGTAGTTTTCATGTGACCTTTTATTCATCACCAATTCACATTTTATTTACAGGAACGATAAGTCCCGAAACCACATTTCCAACGACAGTCCATAGTCCTACAACACGTGGGAATGGCATTTGGTGGAATGTACGCCTCCCAAAACATATCACACCCAAACATTACGATGTTATAATTTTCGTTGATCTGAAGAAGTTCTTATTCAACGGTAAAGTCTCTATCTTAATTGACGTGAAACAATCAACGGACTATATTTTGGTTCATACCAACCAGCTGGAAGTGATGTCAGTCACTGTCCGGCGGTCTTCTGGTGGTAAGTAAGTTTTTGTTGTTTTTGTTCCATTACGAGGGCATATGGTAAAATATGGACTGGACCTTAAACGCGATATTTTCAACAGAAATCGAAGTCCAGTGTTCACGTGGCAGTTTCGCTTTCGCATGACGACAAAAATGAAGAACAACCAAAAAGTCAGTCGAAAAACCGATGGAGATAATTTGTACGATCGAGTAAAAGCTCCATTAGCAAGTAGTGTTTACTATTACATCCACCTCACACCTCTCCCTGCCTAGCAATAGTCCTTCTCTCACCCCTCCCTGAGTAATAACACTCTGCCTTCCACCCCTCCCTCAGTACTAGTAGACTGCATCCCGCCCCTCCCTGAGTACTAATGGTGTGCTTCCCCCCTATAAAATGGTCCAAAAAATGGTCCAAAAAATAGTCCAAAAAATGGTCCAAAAAATAGTCCAGAAATGGTCCAAAAAATGGTCCAGTCCATATTTTACCCTATGCCCATTACGAGGCGATAGTACAGCGGCTGATTAAACTGATTAAGAGATTATAAACTATATTAAAGTTCACACGGCAACCAGGTGGACAATCAGACATAGTTTGAAGCTACACTGGTTTGCAGATTTAATGAATGTAACCGAAGAAGTTACAATTCATAGACCCAACGTTTCGACACTCCTGTCTAGTGCCTTCATCAGGGGTGATCTAAACGCTGCAACAAGAGGTCCTTTTATATGATCACTAATTAGCGGCCTTTTTTCTGACGAGGTATAAATAGGCGTCAGGAAGCAGACCGCCATCGTCACGATTTAAAGAGAATTTTGAATAGCCACAACGTTAAAGTTGCTCAAAAACCTTTTCAGACTTTGGGGCATATTTTCGCCAAACCTAAGGATCCTGTCACGAAAGAACAACGAACCGACGCCATTTATTCTATTCCTTGCAATGACTGTGTCAACGAATACATCGGACAGACCAAACGCCAGTTTGGTACACGGTTAAAAGAGCACCAAAAAGCGGTTTTTCTTTGCAAAAAGGAAAATTCAGCTTTATCGGAGCATACTTGCCTAACCAACCATACAATTGGGTGGGATAATTCTAAAATTATCACCACTAATCGGCATTACCACCAGCGCCTTTGTTTGGAGGCTTGGCACATTAACTCCGCCCACGCTCCTTTAAATCGTGACGATGGCGGTCTGCTTCCTGACGCCTATTTACACCTCGTCAGAAAAAAGGCCGCTAATTAGTGATCATATAAAAGGACCTCTTGTTGCAGCGTTTAGATCACCCCTGATGAAGGCACTAGACAGGAGTGTCGAAACGTTGGGTCTATGAATTGTAACTTCTTCGGTTACATTCATTAAATCTGCAAACCAGTGTAGCTTCAAACTATGTCAGATTATAAACTTATAATCTTTTGAACTGAGTTGTTCAGTCTGGCTTTTTATTTTCAATAAAGTTGTTAATTTTATTAAATCAGATTGTTAAAAGAATCACTTAATTGCTTTTGTAGATTTAGCTAATAAACATATTTGAAATTAAGTGAACCATTTATTTGACTGAAGAATGACCTTGCATGTTGTCTTTTCAGGAGAATTTAGAGTCATGAATCAATTCTGGTTTGAGATTAATCAGTTCTACGTTATCCAGCTGAACGGCTGGTTACATCCAGATGAATATGTCGTGACTATAGAGTATGAATCTGACCTAAGAGAAGAATTGGAAGGATTCTACCGAATGACGTACAAGCAGAAAGACGGAACTATAGTGTAAGAACAAATTTTGTTTGCTTATAAACTGCTTTAGGACTGAAGCACATCGTTGAGTGTGTGGGAAGCTCTTGAAAAATAATCAGAAGATCCAATATACACAGTTAACAAATAGGAAAACACGTTGCGATGTATAGGACTGAAAGATCAGGGTGCAGTTTTATAAGGAGTTGCAAACATTTTGATTTCGAATGCAGAGAAGATTTGAGGACAACCTCTTCTTGCATTTAAAGATTTGTAGACCTACTCCTCCCTGTCTGCTCGGAAAAACAGTCAGTTCACGCACTTTGATCTTCTGTGGATAATTACTGCATGACGAAAATTTTTTGTTAACAGCCATATTCGTTGAACGACCTTGTATAGGTTGATGGGCTATTAATCAAAGTCCACCATTTATTGTAGTCCTGTGGCTGTTACCCAGTTCTCCCCATCACATGCACGTAAAGCATTTCCGTGTTTTGATGAACCAGCAATGAAAGCAACGTTCAATGTGACCATCGCTCATGACCCTGATTTGACTGCTATCTCAAATATGCCTGTTTACCATAATGAGGTGACAGACGGATGGAAATACGATCACTTCGAGAAGTCAGTCGTCATGTCCACCTATCTAGTGGCTTTTGCTGTCTGTGATTTTAAACACACTGAATTCACATTGACCAAAGATGGAAAGACGGTATGTTATTAATAACAAGTATAGTATTGAGGTGCAAGAGGATGGACTAAAACTAAAAGAAATGATATGATCCTAGCCAGAGATATATAGATGTTGATAAAGATAAAACTAATCAAGGCGAACAAAACAGTGTTAGGATTCTTATTTATCGATCTTTTTACCACCGTGATATGTATCATGCCTACCTGACACAAAAACGATAACTGGGTGTTTTTACACCTAAACCTCACCTCTAGTCTCACAGGTAAATTAAAAAAGCTTTATGGTGACCATGTCAGTTTTATCTTCTCCATCTGTTTAGGTGCGGATGTATGCTCCTGCGGAGCAGATTGATCAAGTGGAATACGCTTCTCAAATCACAGATAAACTTTTTAGTTTTTTCGAAGAATATTTCCAAATACCATATGCGTTGCCAAAAACAGGTAAGTCAGCAGTATGAAGGAGACTGGCTCAACTTGTAACTTCGGGATGGAAAACAAGGGAGATAAAAAGATTAATCAGATCTTCCCAGCTGTTACTGACTCGGCTGAATAAAGCTGAGTACATTGAAAGAAGGACCAGTCAAAGCCACTAATCTATGCACTATTAAGGAATTCTTGAAGTTTTACTTTGAACTAGAATTACTCATTATTTGTCTTTCATACTCTGATTCTGAGAACGTTGTTGATAACCCAATTAGTATTTCAAGAGCTCTTGAATGCTTGACAGATATGATTGCTATTCCAAATTTCATTCATGGCGCAATGGAGAATTGGGGACTCATAACCTACAGAGACTGGAATCTACTCTTCAAACCAAATGTATCCTCAGCAGACAATAAACAGAGAGTTGCCGAAGTCATATCCCATGAAATCGCTCATCAGGTATTTTGAATGAAGTGACTCAGTCATAACATTTATTCTTCTTGCAACTGTCACTGATAATTTTTATTACAGTAAAGCGAGCGAGTGCTAAACATGACCAAGAAGCTAAGGGCCAACAAATCCGCCAGGCACTGTGGTGCTCCTGTGGTGCTCCTGTGGTGCTCCTGTGGTACTCCTGTGGTACTGGTTAAACGAATAACATTGCAAGGAACAATTCAGGAAAAAATACCTGGTTTTTGATTGTTATTATTTTTACTATTTGGAATGACATTAAATCATACGGATTTATTTTCAGTGGTTTGGAAATCTTGTCACAATGGAATGGTGGGATGATTTTTGGCTGAATGAAGGATTTGCCAGTTTTATGGAATTTTCTGCTACGGATTTTATTCATCCAGAGTGGAAAATAGTAAGTTATCAAGAAACCTTGAAAGATGTTTACGTGAATTTTTTACCTAGAAATGCTCTGCTGAAATATTTTTCAGGACGATCAACTAGTTGTAACCGATATGTCAACAGCATTCGCAGCGGATGGCTTGGCAAATTCACATCCAATCAGAATTCCTATAACGAGACCTGAAGAGATCACTAAGATTTTTGACTCCATCACTTATGAAAAGGTATGCATGCATTTGTTTGTAAAAAGATCTTCCAAAGTAAGTAAGCGAGGAATTACTCGTGTGTAGACGTGAAATTAAGATCCATTTTGAAACAACTGGTTTTTATTGTAATTAGGTAACGTTTTGAAGTATGTCGAAACAACTTATCGCTTTTAGGGCGCATGTATCCTACGTATGTTGGAGGCTTATCTTGGAAAAGAAGTTTTTAGGAGAGGATTGAAGGTAAGGAAAGGATCTTTACGCCGTTGAAGTGAGACTTTGGTTTAGAGATTTTGCTATTTATTTTCAAAGTAATTAACCGGTAGTTGTTGGTTTAGTTCTAGAGGAAGTTTTTAAATTATGTTTACTTCAGTCCAGTTACATACCATGACATACCTTTGATTTATATTTTTCAGCGTTATTTAAAAAGATTCGAGTACGCCAATGCCAATACGATGAAATTATGGGCTGCACTCAGAGAGGTTTGTACACCCACTTGGTTTATCAATAGCTTGCGTAAACATGAACTGAGTTTTGACAGAATTAATACGGCCTCGGGTGGTACTCAAGACCTCAAGCACAGTTTTTCCCAATACGGACCTCCCGGCTGGCGAATTACATAAATTTACTTTGGCCGAAACATTTTACTAGCCGACCCATGGAAGATTTTCTGTATAGTGCCAGACCCTTGACGGCGGATATTCTGTTCACCTCAAACGTTTGAATCTCAAATTTTCAGTCTGGAAGAGAGTCGAATTTTGTTCTGCAAGTCAGAATGAAATATACTTCATTATGAAATAATAATTACTCGGTCAATATGGCGAGGCCTTACTTTGAGATTTTCCCGTAACCGGACTTTACATGCGGTAATTGAGTAGTTAGCACCAAAGGAGGTCTTCCTAAAAAAAATTTATATCAATAATTGTCGTGTATTAGGGTTCGAGGTACTAGTATAGAGTAATGCGTGAATCAGACTAAGTGCTCAACACGACTGCTTTATTAGAATGTAAAGAATCTAGTCATATACAATTATGGGGCGCCAAACCAGTCAATATTCCCTCTTTATTTCTGCGACCCAGTTTACTTTTTACGTGGTCATTTCGACTTTTTATACGGTCAACTTTTTACTTTTTATATGGTCAACTCGACTTTTTATATGGTCAAATTTAAGAAAATAGACAATACTTTTTAAAAACTTGTTTCGACAGTTCTTCTCTCATCTTCAGTTCTGATTTTACAAAGTACAAAGTTGAATTTAAAGTGTATAACAAAATGCTGATTGGACAAAACAAACAATAGTATCAGAAAAACGTGTGCAATTGCAAGGAAAGTTTCAAATTAATATGATAAAGTTGACGGTTAGTGTAGGTTGCTCGCATCGAATGTGGATAGCTTCTTTGATTTTAATTTGGAAAGTTGTGGAAGCGTGATCTAAGATGCTGAACATCCGATGAACGTACGAAATTCATACGATGGAGGTTAATAACTCATGCGTGTGTTAATGGATATTCCCGAATTATAATTTAAGCCCACTGCTGCAATAAGAACAAAGCTGATACAGTACTGGAACAATTTGTTAGAGGTATCAACAGTTATGGATTGTCTACTAGGGTGAGAAGTGATTATGGTATGGAAAATTTCAAATTAGCAGAGTTTATGCAAGAGCAGAGAGGTGTTGACAGAGGTAGCATTATAACTGGTAGCTCTGTGCACAACTGTCGTGTAGACAGGTCACATAGAGATATTTACTCAGGAGTACTTTTCTTTTTTGCTAGAACATTTTCTCGCTCAGGGGATTATGAGCTACTGCATGTAGTAAATGATTTGCATGCATTTGCATGGCATTACGCCTTCATCCCCAGAATCAGTGAGTGCTTACAGGAATTCAAGGGCCAGTGGGAAAATCATCCAATTTATTCTGAAGGAAATCTTTCTCCTATTCAATTATATACAGCTGGAATGCTTGAAAATGAACGCTCTGGATATGCTGCAGTAGAAAGTGTGTTTGATGCTTGTAGTAGGCATGATTACGGATTTGACCCCTCTGCCCCTGTCCCTCTGGAAGAAGAAGACTATCAGGTAGTAGTTCCAGATACAAGTGTTCCACTTTCTGATCAGCAGATTGCATTCGCAGAAAATCATTGCAACCCCTTGCAAGAAAATGACAGAAGTGGTGAATATACACACTTAATTCGTTTAAGAATTTTTTGTTCTTTGATTTCACAGGATATACATATATATCTACTGAACTGACTTAAGTTGCAAACTTGTATTTTGTATTGAAAAATCACCATAGAGGCTATAAACTTCACAAAACATTATGCTTTTTATTGCTCTTTATGTTTTCAAAAGAGAACTTTGAATAGTTTTGAACCTCATTGTATTTTAATAAATCTAACTGACTGAAAGAAATTAACATAATTTCCATCTATAAGTTTTTCTGAAAAAATTCACACTAAGCAGCCTTGATAACACAACGAGATGAAAATGTAAAAATGAGTGTGTCGTAAGCAAGCACACCCATTCTTGTAATGACGTAGCTCAACAGAAAATTACTCCGTAACTGAACAGTCTGAGAGCAAACAAAGCTCAGCAAGACGCACATATACCATAGTAAGACCACTTTATGGTGTACATTTATGCTATTTGTTCACACTATATTCATCTCCCAAGTATCTGAATTCAAAATGGCCATGAATTCTAAAAAGCTAGCACATGTGCTGGGCGCCTCTAAAGTGTAGCTACAGCTGTGGAAAATAGGCTTCTCTGTAGACCTTTACTGTTGATGAATGATATTGTCAACCTGTCAGTGACAAGAACATCAGATGTAGTTGTAAATCTCAAACATTTGGTAGTCTTAGCTTAGTCAAGCCCTCTAATGAATCTCTTTAAGTGGGCCAGTGTTTCTGTCTCAGCTGTTGTAGCCGGACTGGCTTCAAGTGGGCCACTAACTTTAACATTACTTGGTGTGATGAAAGAATACAATCGATGTAATGATTTTATACATCTAGGAAATAAATCCTGAGGTGAGCAAGAATTGGCTGCCAGCAGTCACTCACATATTGGGTTTTTTGCTCTATCTCCTTGTCAGCAGTCTCTCTCATGATTTCTATTAAGTTCTTCTTGAATTTTTGCCTTACAATAATTGTACATGAACTTTCAATATTAATATAATTTTTACTATTAGTTACTTATCTCATCGAGCAGGAGGAACCAAAAACAAGTTACCTTGAGTATTCAAAAAAAATATCCTCACTTGAAAGTTGACTTTGAAGCTGACGTGACTTGGTAGTTGCTTTGTATTATTTGAACCCGTCGAAGTTCGTTTTCTAGTTGTAGTTGCCACACGTGCGTCGAAAGTTAGAAATCAGTGTGAGAGCTCTGCTGCAATCGAAGAACTTGATGATGGGACAGAGGAAGTCGAAGTTCTCTTAGTAGCTGTCAACGCTGCCACGTTTCTAATGTTATCATTGTGAAGATTTTCGATGGCTTTGAGAGTGTGCTTAGCTATGGCACACGCCAAGGAGATATGCTGCACGTCTTCGTTGTTGGCAGCCATTTTATTCGAGTCTAAGAGTAATGCAGTGTGGAGGTCACAAAGCTGACCATGTAAAAAGTATCAATTTGACCAAATAAAAAGTCGCGTTGACCATACAAAAAGTAAAAAGTTTATCATATGGAAAGAGGAGTTGATCAAGTTAAAAGTTCAACCGACCATATAAAAAGAAAAGTTAATCATATAAATGGTCGAGTTGGCCATGAAAAAAGTTCAACTGATCATATAAAAAGTATAAAAGGTTAATCATATAAAAAGTCGAGTGGACCGTGTAAGAAGTTCAACTGACTATATAAAAAGTAAGGGTTGATCATACAAAAAGTCGAGTTGACCATATAAAAAAGTAAACTGGGCCACAAAAATACAAAGGGAATATTGACTGGTTTGGCCCTCCATATACAAGGATAATCACGTGGTTACGTTCAAGGGTGTGCTAACCAGCTGTAATCCAGCCTCGTGGCTGCAATTGGTATTAATAAACAAACTACAACTACAACCAATAAAATACATAATGATTTTAGATGTATGAAATTAATTTATTTGCACTGCGGTGAAGAAACGAACTTAAGAGATCCTCGCAGCTAAGAACACTACTGAACTAGTAGTTGAAAATAGGGCCTAAAAAAAAAATTTAGGCCCGCACGGGATTTGAACCTATGACCTCTGCGATACCGGTGCAGCGCTCCACCAACTGAGCTAACAAGCCAACTGGGAACTGGGTCCAAATAAACCATCCAAGTGATGAATAATGATTTTAGATATATGAAATTCATATATTTGTGAAATACTCGGTAAAATACAGATTATTTTATAGCTAAGGTATTAAGAAACACGACAGTAATGTATATAGAACAAAAATACAAGAATTGAGCACAAGATATAAAACATTCGAAAAACATTGCGGGGTCGATTATATATTTAATTATTTATTTAGTTAAGAAAAAAACCTTGAATCTTTTGAACAAACAAAACAGAATAAAGGATCCCGTGTACTTGATATCGCGAAGAAGGCTAGTGAATTTCCTTGCTCCTATTTTATTTAAAAGATAAACTGTTTCGAATCTTACGGCCTGTAATTCAAATACTAAATACATACTGACATAAGCTAATTAAAGATAATTGCTTAGATGTTTGTTCTTTGTAACCATTGATTGTGACAGGAGAGCTGTTATCAGGGGAACTGTGTGGATGTTGATCACATGATGAACACGTGGACACTTCAAATGGGTTATCCTGTAATCAATATCCGACATTCTACAGGCGACCAATATTTAGTTTCTCAAGAAAGGTTTCTCTACCATACTGATGCAAACATCACAGCTGAGTATAGATCACCGTACAAGTGAGTACAGTGCCAAATAAAGGATATCTGTTGACGCTGGAGCAGAAGCGTTGATCTTCTTTGTCGCGTTGTTTCCTGTACTTTTCACGGAAACCGTGTGTAATTTACGGAAACCGGAGACCGTGAATATGCAGCCACATCTTTATTTTCCATTAAATCACAAATGAGTTTTATTAAAGTCATTATTTGCTTTATCTATTTTAATATTCAATTCACCGCACACATGTTGTCTCCACAGTTATAAATGGTTTATACCATTTACGTATGTCACTTCCTCAACGCCAAATAAAGTCATTCTGAAAGACATCAATATGACGTCAGGTAAAGAATGATACTTCTTTTGTAAAATTATGGTTTCTTAAAAATTATCAAAATTGGGTTAAATAACCAGAAGTCAGGTCTACCTGTGCTTCATCTTTGATAAACTTTGAAAAATCATAGGAACAATAACGTGGACTCCACGGAATGGAAGAGGTTGGATAAAAGGAAATGTTGGCCAGAAAGGATTCTTTAGGGTTAACTATGACGATAAGAACTGGGATGCTTTGGCTCAAGCTCTGAGGACTGACCACAAGGTAAGTTAGACAGTTTATCATTGACTCAAAAGACGGTAACTCAGTTATTCAGTTTGTCATTGAGTCAAGAGACAGTCACTCAGTGAGTCAGTTTGTTATTAGGTCAAAAGACAGTCACTCAGTGAGTGAGTTTGTTATTCGGTCAAAAGACAGTCACTCAGTGAGTCAGTTTGTTATTCAGTCAAAAGACAGTCACTCGATTATTCAGTTTGTTATTCAGTCAAAAGACTGTAAGTCAGTTTGTCATTCAGTCAAAAGACAGTCAGTGATTCAGTTTGTCTTTCAATCAAAAGACAGACACCAAGTTATTCAGTTTGTCATTCAATCAAAAGACTGTAAGTCAGTTTGTCATTCATTCAAAAGACTAAGTCAGTTTGTCATTCAGGCAAAAGACAGACAATAAGTAAGCCATTTTTTCATTTAGTCAAAAGATAGTTACACAGTTTTTCAGTTTTTCATTCAGTCAAATGACAGTCACAGTTTGTCATTCAGTCAAAAGACAGACATCAAGTTATTCAATTTGTAATTCAGTTAAAAGACAGTCAATCAGGAAGTAAGTCAAGTGGCCAGTCAATGAGTCGGCCACTCAGTTAGTCTGTCAGATAATCATTTATTCAGATAATGGGCAGACAGACAGTCATTCATTCAGTCAACCACCTTGGGCTTTAGCTTGGTTGACTCATCGTTATTTAGTAAGTCATTGATTTTAGTCAGTCAGATAATCAGTTATTTAGTCGTTCTGAGAGTTAATTAGTTAGTTATATAGTCAGCCAGTCAGGAAGTTGGTCGCTCGGACGATTCAGTATTATTCAGTAGGGCATTCATACAGTCAGTCAGTTTTTTGAAATTGCAAATCAAACCTCAGTAAAAAGAGTGCGCCTTTGTAAAAGTTACTTTTGTTTTTTTGTGTTTTAGTTATTGAATATTTCGGACCGGGGAGGTGTTATAGATGATGCGTTTGAACTGGCTAGGTGGGTTTGTAAAGTGATACTTATAATTTTATTTTACAACTCAATAGGCTTTTACAACACAATTGTGAAATACGGGCTCTCTAGATTACAGATTGAAAAGCACACATCCGTATGGGTGTCTTGGTTAAGCGGTACTGTGACGTACGATAACTAAATGTTCTCCAACGAAGGGCCTGCGCTCGCAACATCAGCTTTTCAAAACCCCTTTGGAGATAGATTGGTTTACCTTTATCGATCAACTCCTCTGTTTGTAGTAAATAAGTGGATTTCAGAATGCTTCTGGAAATAGTTCATTATCCTTGCTGAGTCGGTTAGACCTCTCATCTTGATGGCACCCGTAGCTGAAGGATGATAATTTTCAAATCGATTGTATTACAGGTTTTACTTAGTGTCATCTAAAAAAGGTCTTTCAATTATTTACTAAGGAGTGAAAAACTTAACTACACTAAGGCATTGGAATTAACGTCATTTCTACGTGCTGAAGAAGAATATGTTCCCTGGCAAACGGCCTTGAAGAGCTTCAATTTTATAAAAAGTCTTTTAATTCCACCCAGACCAGCATACAAATACTTGCAGGTTAGTTGCGTAAACTATCTATAACAAAGACAGTATGCAGAATGAATAAGCCTACAAAACACACTTGGCTGTGTTTGTGTCTAATTTCAACTCTGCTGATCTGATGTGGTATGCGTGGAGCATGTAATTTACACCTTTTGCTGTTCATTACGAGAAAATACGCATTACGAAAATACGAACAATTGCGTGCAAATACCTTCACTAACGGCAAAAAACGATTATTTGCGCGTAAATCAGATTCAATAACCTTTTTTTCATTTTAATCAGCATTCAATAACAATTTTGGGCATTCTTATGCGTCATTCGTCAAACAAAAGAGAAAAATATATTTTCATTTGCGCTAGCATTCAAGTCATTTACACCATCTTGAAATTCAAGAGAGACAAGACACAAACAATATAGTGCAGAAACCCTTTATTAACATTTTTATCCCACTGTTTGCAATTCAGTAGCATTCCTGGATGGCCTAAGTATGAATAAGACAGTCATTAATGCACTTTTACAAACAATTCAGTGTTTTTTATATTCAATATGCAAGTAGTGATTTTCGACCGAACACCGATTTTGCCAGAACTTGCATTCAGTAAATTTCGTCCCCTTCATTCGCTTTGCATCCACAGCCAAAATGCCACGAAGAAATCGAATATCACTCGAACACAGAGAGAGAGAATCGTGAGAGAATTTGAGGACGAGGAGGAAGATTATCTTGTGATCGCGGACACGCTTGGAGTGAACCGATCAACGGCAAGATGCATTGTGGAGCGCTACATCAGAGAGGGCAGGATCCAGGAAAGACCATGAGGAGGTAGAAACAACGTGCGCGTGGACGAAGAGATGAGAGCTTGTCTAGAGGAAATCATAAAAGAGAACCGTTTACTTACACTTGCTCGGATAAACAATGAACTGAGGAGACGGCTGCCACTAAAACCTCAGATCCATGACCTCACAGAGGCAAGGACATTAGACGGGATGCTTTCCCGAGTGAAACGTACGAGGCCCCTCCCCGCGGACAGAAACAGACCTGATGTGATGAACAAGCGAGTGGATTACGCCACCTGGTTTATGAACCATGCCGTAGTGCGCCACTGCATGTTTTTCGACGAATGCGGCTACAACATCTGGACGGCCAAAAGCCACGGTAGAGCGCGGCAAGGAGAGAGGGCGTACCGTCAAGTGTGCGGCCAGCGAGGACGAAACTTGACCGTGACAATGGAAATTTCGCCAATCAATGGACTTGTGTTTCCTCAGCAGCTGTTGGCGGAATGAATGCTGCACGTTTCGATAACTTCCTGGCATAGGCGAGGACAAATCTAGATCCCGACGAGGAGGTGATCTTTGTGTATGACGAAGCACCGGCCCACCGAAGCCCGGTCATTCCCTCCCCAAACACAGACCTTAAAATGTTTCCTCCCTACAGTCCTTTCCTAAACATCGTGGAGCAGGCAATAAGCTGTCTGAAAGCGGCGATCAAGGCTGACATCTGGCGTCCGAAAATTTAAAGGCGCATGGATAACAGAGATGAGGCCAGAGCCAAAGGAATCCCACTGGGGGAGTTTCGAACACAATAACTGCTTGAAGCTCTGCACAGAAACATCGACACTGTGACTGCGGCTAAAAGTGCGCAATGGTACCGCTTTATGCAGACCTATCTGCCAAAATGTTGAATAGAGAGATTATTGAAGGGTAAACTGAAATTCAAAATGAGATAACTTTGGAATAGGTATTTTTCAATTAGAATTCGATGTTTGAATATTGAAAATAAAAAACGGTTGATTGTTTGTACAAGAGCATAAATGATTGTCTTATTCACACTAATGCTGTCCAAAAATGTTATTGAATTGCAAACAGTGTGATAAAAATGTTAATGAATGGTTTATGCACTATATTGAGTATGTGTTGTCTCTATTGAATTTCATTGAATTTCATTGAATGTTAGCGCAAATGAAAGTACATTTTTCTCTTTTGCTTGACGAATGACGCCTAAGAATGCCTAAAATTGTTGTTGAATGCTGATTAAAATGCAAAATCGTTAATAAATCTGATTTACGTGCAAATGATGGTTTTTTGTCTCTAACGATTGTATTTTCACGCAATTGTTAGCCTCTTAACGCAAATGAAGGCGTATTTTCTCGTAATGAACAGGAAAAGGTGTATTAGGGAGCTTGTATCTGCGAGATATTTGCCAAGGACTGAAGTTTTTGAGGTCTTTTGGTCAACTTTGGTTCAAAACTGATCACTAGAATTATTTTTTTCGATTCATCGATCGCCCTTTTCGTCCACCATGGAAATTTTTCAACTTCATCAATCCAACCCTTGTGTTTTCAGATGACTAATTTTCTAAACTGAGGTTATCACTGAAACGAAAGTTCACTCTCCTAACAAGTTTTATATCATTGTTGAATCTCACAGAAATACCTTGTCTATCAAGCAGAACCAATCTACAAAAGACTTGGATTTACTGATCAAGGTTCTCACCTAGAAACGTAAGCATATAAGTCAAGAACGTAATGTTTAAAATCATCTTGTAGTAATACCTTAATTTTCTTTTTGCCTTATGTCAGTTTCCTGCGACCAGCTATCTTGGAAATTGTTTGCGATGCAAAAGATAAAGCCTGCCGAGCTAATGCCTCGAAATACTTTCGTGATTGGATGAGAGATCCAGTCAAGAACCGGTAAGTAAGAGCCAGTGAATTTCTCCGCAGTAGTAGGTGTTTTTGCTGTAAATGTGGATACTGAATGGGTACTTTTTTGTGGCCTGTTGGCTCAAAGCTCAATAACCATCCATTGCACAGGAGATAATAGCATCGAAGACGGGACTTGAGTTAACGGAGGAAAAGGAGCTTGGAAAAGGTTTTTAAATTCTTCAGTGGGGAAACGAATCGAATACTAATTACAGGAAAGAAAACAGTTCCTTGAAGGTGTTATTATGAGGACGAACTTTATTATGATTGAACGTGCTTCCTGTGCTTACTACACCAAGCTTTAATGCCTGTGTTATTCTTTCATTTATTAGCCCGGCCGAATTAGCCCATTTCCACATACTGAACCGCTACTTTTTTACCAATGTATCCGTTTTGCTCATCAGGATACCGGCAAATTTGCGCTCTTTGATCTATTACTATGGTATCGCTAATGGAGGTCAGGAAGAGTGGGATTTTGCTTTTGATCAATTGCTGCAGACTTCAGTGGCCTCAGAGAGGAAGAAGCTCGTACAGGGATTAGCTGGATCCCCTGAGCCATGGATTCTAAGCAGGTAATTAAACAATTATCAGTCTCTGATACATTTTCGGTAAATGCAGTGGTTCTTTGTAGCACAAGGGATAGGAAAGGGCATTGGGATTTTTGGTTTTGCGGTTTCGGCTATTTTTTAGATAGGTTTTTCGGTCTTTGTGCCAAAGAAGTTCGGTTTTTCGGTTTTGGTGTTCATTGCGGTTTGCGCATTTTCCGTTTTTTAGCATTTGGTTTTCGGTTTTCGCGAAAAATATTGACGGGTTTCCGGATTTGATAGGGTTGGTTTAAGGTTAAGGTTTTAGGGTTAGGGTTAGGGTCCTAACCTCGAATGACGCCCAAGACTTTGACCATCCGTTGGGGTTCACGCGTCTTGAATGACGAATATGGTGCAGCAATAAGACAAAGGACAGTGCGACAAGAAACAACAATGGCTAAGTACAGAACATTGCTCTAGTTTCTTTATCATCGCCACCTCGAAGTTGGTGACCAAGTTACAAGCCACACGTAACTGATTGATTCAACATTCCAATAGAATCTTCAAACTTTCAGGTCTTAGTTCGCAAATGAAAATGTTAGATTAGGGATTTTCGATGGAACTTTCCAAAGCCATGGCTTTTTGCGACTGCAAAATTGCAATCCTATGGAGGACTTAAGTGCAAATTTCCTTGATTTAACTAGGCTCCATTACCAGCTGCTAAGTCCCCAGAGACCACGCTTGAGGTCCTCGAGAGAGCAGCTAAAATAAAGCCTATAATTTAAGCAGATACTACAAGATACGAATGCCAAGTCCATGGTATGCACAAACACTGTAATGAAATAAGTGTAGTTATGTTCCACTTGTCACCACCGTATCGGATCGATCAGGGTTTAATAACTGGGATGTGAAATGTATCGGTTTTGACAGTTTTGCATGCGGTTTTCGGTTTTGATCAAATTTTTTTTCTATTTTTCGGTTTTGGATGATTTTTCTACGGTTTTGCAGTTTCTAATAGGCCCCAATGCCCCCCTCGGATTGGAGTGGAGGTTCGCTTTTTTGTTACTTATTGGTAATACAGAGTACAGTGTGCAGTGAAACTAACCATTCAATTATGTCAACCATTTCTTCTGACTTGTCATGTCCCAACAGTGGAAATAACAAGATCGCAGAGGTAAGATGTCTTATGAATGATGGTATGCCTCGATATGCCACTGGAGACTATTTTAATTTGACAGCAGACCTCTCTGCTTGCATATCTTCCAAATTCCTTGATGTTTTTAGGTTTCTCCAATTCTCGCTGGATAAAACAAAGATAAAATCTTCTGATGCACCACTCGTAATCAAAAAAGTTGCTGAGACTAGCTCAGTGGGGCAGCAGATAGCATGGGATTTCATATTAAACCACTGGAAATTATTAGAAAAACGGTTAGTTATTCCATGCTTCTAAAGACTTTATCATTGATACCATATGTCTGAGATTGCTCCTTATTTTTAATATCACCATAATCTCTTTATGAACATGACGAATAAAGTGAGTAATTTTCTAAAGAAACCGTGTTGCTGTGTCGGTGGGGGAGTACAACAAACTAATTTTGTTTTATCAACGGAGTTGATTATGTTAATTAGCCACCGCGAAGAGTTTCGAAGTTGACGTTTCGAGCGTTAACCCTTTCGTCAGAGCGAAAGAAACCAAATTATCCCTTTATAGCGGCACGGGCTCTCCTCTTCATTAAGTACAACCATTTAAATCAATGATAGTTTATTAGATTTCCCGTTAACAGAATTTGATCTGTTAAACCACTCATTCGCATCATTTACACCAAATGGACAGAGAACTATTTATTTATGAACTATAGGTATAACTGCAAACACAGCGGATTCGATGCCGCCACCAGGAATGACATTTTAACGTGCATTTCATCTTTCATGACTTAACAAGCAGTACGAAGATACCTTGCGGTAGAGCGATACCTTAGCGTAGTGTGCGGTTAAAACTGAAAGAAATATAACTATAGACAAACGTTCCAGTAAAGAAAAGCCTAATTCGCAAGCGGCACATAACCTAAATAGACAATCGCCAAAAAAGTACGCTTACACTTGTCACGGCCCTGGTGATGGCTACCTAGAATGTATTGTATAATGCAGTTGTGTTTCCGAGTCAACCAAAACGAACTGAATAACGGTCCTGCCAAAACGACGAAATTTTAAAAGTTGTTTTTAAAGAAGCTTAAAAATATGTTCTGCAGATCCTGTTTGGATCTTCTGTTTATTTCGTAATAAACTTAAAGTGACCGCTGTGCTGATCCAGTGACAATTGGTTCACTGAGATGACTTCTAACGTTTTCGCCTTTGGCTTCTTTACTCAAAGGTATGGTGAATCCCTTTACATCCTCAGGAACATATTAGAGTCGGTGACTAGTGGCTTCACAAATGAATTTCAGCTTCAGCAGGTGAGCTAGATTGCGAAAATTAAAGTAAGAAAGAAGAAATTGTGCATTATAGTTTTTGTTTCTTGTGAACTTGTTTGTTAGTTCCGAGGTATGGTAAAACTCAGAAGCTCAAACGTTGTAATCTGAGCTCATGAAATGTATCTTTATCTGAGTATTCCTTTGTTACCCGTAAATGTCTCATTTCGTGCCATTCCTGTGTCACTGTAACACCTTTCTTCGAATGAAATTCCTGTGTAATTTATGCATCTCTCATCTAGTGCCGTCCCTGTGTTATCCATACATCTCTGGCCAAGTTGCTCTTTAATTAGTCGCTACTGAAGGATTTCACAAGCGACTAACGCTTCAGTGCAAGTTTAAACATTTGAACCTTTTTTCTTCTTCGTGTAGCTTCTAAATTTTGTCAAAGGACGCGACGATGGGTCGGGATTGAGCGGCCAATCTTTATCACAAGTGGTCGAGAGGGTAAAGTCCAATATGGCATGGATCAAAAGAAACGAAAAAGATATAGAGAACTGGCTTAAGGTTTTCTTATCTAAAACAGGAGAACAAACAAAACAGAGTTTTGACTTCAGCGACCCAGCTAAACGCTAATAACATATTTAGGATTACTTCAAAATAAAAATACAAAGTATTATAACACGACAAACGCAATTTTGGGAAGGTAAAGCTCAGCAGTTAATAAGCAATAAAATCATTCTCGAACTAATTCACCATTTCTCTGCGTGATGAATCATAAGCTAATAAATTGGAAGCTCTTTCTCATGAGATCAGTCAAGGATCATGTGCTTAGAAAAATGCCTTTGTCATTCGCAAGGAGACTGAATTTAAAACGCCAAAATATTCCCGGCAGAGTAACTTGTCAAGCTACCCTATGGTTTCACTTGGCCCTTGACATTTAAGTCCAACCAATGGGTTAATCAATCGAGTGATTACTTAGAGGGACAGAAAAAAAGAAAGAAAACAACAAAAAACCTGAACAACAAAAAAACTCCTTGAATTTGCAATATTATTCGTAACTCTAACCCATGAGAGTCCCCTTAAGTCAAAGAAGTACTCAACTCAAATTAATTCAACTGCATGTAATCACCAGTACAAAGTTTATTAGAATGCCAAGGAGAATTTCTATGAAATTACAATCATAATCAAAGAGATACGAGTAATAACGCGAGTTGTATCTTACACACACTTAACATGTAGCTGCATAAAGAAAAAGCTAAGGCAAAGCATGACCCGAACCTGGTGCTCACCTTTTCTAAACATAAAAAATGATTCATGAATCCCAAAGACCAAAAAATCATGTAATGTCACTCGCTGTCTAGTTGTTACCGACTCCTAACAAAGCTTTAACTGGGTAGATCATGCAATGAAACGCACAACTGAAAGAAATATCCATATGTAGACAAGTTTGGGGCATTTTTCATCTTGATCTTTTACGAAAATACGTTTATGATATAAGCTCGCTGCTCTTGATAAGGAAAACTACGATGTCTTAAGGACGTGTTGACTCCATTTTCAAAGAAAGGTGACGGATGTAGTTTGGAATTAAAATACGAGAGGTCTTAATTTGCGTTCGACGGCTCAATGCATGTGGACTTTATATGGAAGCGTTTGTTCTATTTGCATCCGAATGCACGTTTGGTTTGAGTATCTAGTCAAATCCGGGTGAAAGTATATATCTTCGTCATATAAAACACGTACAGACACCACTGAACGCTCAATTGAGATTGAGAGTATATCCGCTAATATTTGCTAATATAATCTCACATTTCCTCATTAGATATTAATTCTAAACTGCAAACATCAACTTTCAAGTATCGTAGACATTTCCCCTAAATTTCAGGAATTGGTCGTTAAGACAACGGTTGTAAAAGGTGCTGTGCAATTCTTAAGTCGATTCTCTTGTTAGGCTATAACCAGCTGTTATTCGTGTCACTGAACTATTTTCTAAAGAAGCACCAACACCACTGAAATACCAATGATGTAACGAACTGATAACCACTAAAATATTACCCTAAAATATTGTAATGAAAATACTCCAAAGAAAAAAAAGCGCCCTCTAGTTGAGTGGTATGTTTTTGTTTACAAGAAAATCTTTAAGCCATTTCGCCACATCCTGTTCATTTTCTTTGCGCCACTGAATGTTTGCCATGACACCCTCTTCAGCCTGTTGTTGTGCTCGCGTTCCTGACCCAGCAGAGTGCATCCGGTTGAACTCCTTTAGCTGAACGAGATTAAAAACACAAGAAAAAACTTAATTCAATTGTCTTTGTACGCCTCTACCTACTAAGAGTAATTTAAGCTTTCTTTAAGGGCATTTTTTAGGGGATAGGTATTTAGTGGCCGGTTTTAGTGCTCGAAATATCTGAGCTAAGCTTTGCAGAATTGTACGAATGGAAAAAAAAAACAGTGATAAGCTGGCATGAAGGAAATTAAAAGAAAATTATAAACGTAATACAAGCATCTAGCCGGGTTCTCTGCGTTTGTTGGCCTTACTTGTAGGGGTCAATGGTTTTTCGGTAACCATTACGGCACAGTTCTACCTCATGATACCTTTCTCGCCCCACTTTTCCTCTTCGACTGCAATTCTTACAGAAGTAGATGAGGCAGATGAATACTAAGTATGGTGGGCTCAGTAACATCCTCCTTCCCAGTTATCGATCTCTTATAAAGCCAACTTTGACATATCCGTGCATTACATTCTCCACTCTTTTCGCGATGAAAGAGGGAAAATATTCTCCAAGTTTCGACCCATAACTGGTGAATTTGAGTGAATTTATTAACTTACGTCTTCGAGTTCATACTCCGTGGAAAATCCTGATGTCACACCGAGGATTATATTCCTTATGGCAAAGAAACCACCACCAAACCTTGAGAGAGGAATCAATAGGTGGATTACATTTAGTTTCACGCGTAACATGGGTACAAATAGTTGTCAGAACTATACCCATCGCGTTTCAACTCATGATATGATACAATTCACTTCTTACTTCTCCTTAATCACGGCCCAGTTCAGTTTGAGAAACTGCCAAGTTAACAGCCGTCCATTAGGGTTGTAGTTAGCCACATATGATAAAACTCTGGAAGTGTCTTGTGACTTAATCTTGTCTGGAGTGATCGAGTATCGCAAGTACCTTGAAAAAAAGGACAATTCATTGACAAAGTGAAATCAACTGTGTTACTCTGGGAACAGCGTTACAATGTTATGACCGTAAAATCTGTATAACCTATGCTTAGTGAAAACCCGTGAGTACCCTGCACTCTCAAGCAAATTACAGTGTGATTTGCAAGATCCCGCCCCCAGCCCCATCACCCAGTTGACCATGAAAAAACATTGGAAAGTCTCAATAAAAAGATGTGACTTACAAACAAAAATCTCAGTCATAACATAGAGTTAAACGTTACAGAGACTACGCACGGATAGCCCTTACAGTCAAACTAGTTCACGGTTCGTATGGAGTGCATTTCATCTACGAGTAACTCTCATCGCAGAGTTCAGTGTTAAGATGGTGTTACAACAACAATCCTAAAAAGGAATTAGCTGGTCGCGTAAGAAAGGTAGCTGTTCATACAGGTTTGATAGGCTGAAATAAAATCATTGCTGAGTTCGCCTTTAACATGACGGATAATTATTTCACATAGTGCGCTACAACAGCGATACCATTAATATACTTTCAATTCGTAGACTTCGCTTGTAATTACGAATGATAAACACAAGAATCATCCGTGCACTATGAAATACATAATTTTCATGACAGGTTTAACAATTCAATTGACATTGCTGATCCTAGCTGTTAGCGGGAAGCTTGTCACAAAGAAACCTTGTCATGGTTTAAATCACCGTCGAGTCACTGTGGTTCAGTGGTAGAGCATTGAAGCGCGGAGTTTCGACTCCTTAAGGGGACTCGGAGTTTATTCTGTCTCACGCTCGTGACAAGGAGAAAAACATCTTTCTCTTATTCACTACCACGTCCAAAATTGACTATCTCTCTCATTTTGTTTAAAAGTAAAAGCAAATTCAATTCAGAAGTTTTGAACTTAAAAATAAAACTGGAATGCACGAAATAGAGTATGGTAAATTTCCAATCTTTTTTCTTAAAAGTCAAAGGGCTCCAATCTATCATGGTTTACACACAGAGAGCTTCTGTCCGCCTTCTCTTGTTTTGTTGTTGTTTTTTTAGGATGTTTTTCCCACGCTGATCAGCACATATCATCATGTAGATAAATGTTCGACTCGACACCTCTACGAACTGGTTAATCTGATTCGTATGATCTGGTTTGACTAAAATGAAAACAATAAGATTTGATTTCGTATGATCTGGTTTGACTAAAATGAAAACAATAAGATTTGAATAAAGGAAACTAAACCAAACGGAACGAAACGAAATACTACTTACGAGATGGTAAGCCTGAAAGAAGACGTGATCCGCGAAACGCAAAACATTACTCACTCACTATGGTCTAGACAATATTAAGCATATCTAACCAAGTAAAGCGCATTTAAAACAAAACTTATTGCCTATTGCTTAGACGTATTGCAATCAAAACATTAACATTTTCGTTATGTTCTCAGTAAATTTTCTTAAATAAGATTTAATACCTAAGGGGTGGTTATTCTTCAACAAAGAGATTTGTTTGTGGAAGTGACCCCGATGGTGAATACCATACTAACCTGCTCAAAATCCAGGGCTCACTAGCACCAGCCAAACCATACAAGATCTTTCTTCTCTCACTCGCCACAGTTGTCTTTTGAAACTGTTTAAAAGCAAAGTCCCATTCCTCTACCCCACCGTTTTTTATACCATAAAAGTAAACCAGTGAACGAAAATTGGCCGGAACGCTGGAAAAAAAATTGTTAATGAATCAAGCAAATCGTCGAATGGTAACAAAGTTCCAAAAAATTAAAAGAACCTCTAAAAGAGCCTGGAGCTTTTCTGTAAGTATTTTCCTTAAAACATGTAAGTGTGTGCTTATTACCGACCCCATGACATTGTTACAAAACTATCGTTTGAGGCTGAACGTGTCCTGCTACAATGAATATATTTTATTGAAGTTCAGCTACGTAAGAAAGATCGATTAATGAATTGTTCGTCAATCTGACAGTTTAATCACCTACCGCACCAGTCAAATCGAGTGTGAATCTACTAACCGTTAATTGTTTTGGTCTCATTCACATTAGGGTTTGGGCTAACCTCGTGCAATGGCGTGCCTTTAGAGAAAACTACTTAATTACCAAACCAGATGAAGTCCAAGGAACCTCAACAATTGACCATTTCGTCTTCATTTAACGATCATTTAATTTTCTGACTAAACCAACTGAACTTACGGATTACTGATGGGATCCTCTTTCCATTTTTTAAAGTAATCTGATGCATTCTTGAGGCACGAGGGTTCTCCAGCGCCGCACATTATATTGAGTGCTATACCTCTTTTGTACCTGAAAAATGAGGCATACCAATAGGAAAAAATCGAGAAATAAACAGCAACTATCTTAATAGAGTTTATCGTATCAATTGGTTTTTAACGCCACTTCATGAATTCCAGTTGGATTTTACTTGCTAATCAGCATACAACTGAGTTGAGTTTTACGCACAGATTCCTATCTGTGTACAGCTTTTAGATATTGTAACAGAATCATTATCAAGGGAAAATAAAAGTTGTGCAAACTCAATAAAGAAATGCCATACTTCATCGAGCTTAAACCGAATCTCGACACACAAACAGAGCACAGTCTAGCAAAAGTGAAATAACCCGAGCTAATCAATCATTAATTTACACTACATCGTGGCTCGTTTATTCTTTTGCATGAAACTTCAACTATTAGCATATATTGACTTAGCGGTCTTTGGTTAATTCTCAGTTGACATTGATGACTCTTAAGTTTTTAACTAGCATTATACTTTAGCTTTCATTTGCTCCCAAGATAAGAGCTCATTCAGAAGCTTGAATGAATTAGATATGATGGAACTTAAAATAAGAAATCTCAAATTTACTTTTCAAGGTGATCTCCGGTGTCTGAAAAGCCAAGCTTCTGGTATTCCTTCATGACCTGATGCTGGAGATATTTCTGCAACAGAACAGCAGTTAAAAACATATTAATGTATGTCTTGGGGTAGAGGAAAACCCTAACCCTAACACTGGCCCTTTCATTTATCAATCAATTGAATCACTAATCATGTTTAACGACAAATATATCCTTCAAAGATATCCTTTTTAATTATAATAATTATCTTTTTTGAGGAAACCACCGTCACAATTAAGTACAAAAGGGTCCTCACATAAAAGAACACTACGCTAAGACTAAAAACTAGCTGATAAATACCGGGATGTAAGAAATTAAAAAAAATGCACGCAAAAGGAGAATAAGTAAGGGATATCAATACAAATTGTAACACGACTTTAAACAGGCCACACCTAAATGGAGTTAGTGACTCTACTTCTCCTGAAGAGAAATCTAAACTGTTCTAAAGATTAGAGCTAAAGTTAAGGACTAGTGACCCCATCTCCTCGTGGCACTGAACTTATGAATGTCTTTTCCCGATCTCTTAAAATAATTATGAAAATCGCTTTTAAATGAGACTGGGAACATGCGGTGGGGATGGCTGTTGAATGACTTATGCATGATGTTCCATTCTATGTTGTATTAATGGCTTTCATTCACGTTACGCTCACGCCTCGGTTTTAGAAGAGTGCACAGGAAGATGTAAAATCTTATGTGCGACATAATTGATTTCTAAATGGTCGATTTGATAACGGACAAAAACTTTCACAAATGAGATGGCTGGGAATTTAGCGAGCTACCGTCTTAAAGACTTTTAATGAGTAATTACACTTGCAAGGAAACAAACCAACATCGGCTACCCTTGACTTAGTTCATTACTGGACATGTACAAACCTCTAGGTACTTATAGGCTGAGCTTGATTGTGGCACAATACTGGATATAAAGCCAAGATTATGGCTGGCTGCTTTCCACGGTACATATTCATCTTCATCTGCCAGGTATTTGGTGAAGTCTAGCGGAATAGTGTACTTGATATAACCCCCCCTGGATAAAAATTAAAATGAATTTAGTTTAATAAATCCTTTTGATTTCTCCAACAGATGTATGATTCCAATAAAAAGTAACCACGTTTTCCCGGTCAATTCGTAGATGCAAATTCACTTTCGCTCTCCAAAAGAGCAATATTTCACGGCTCTATCTATGCTACCAATATATACTTAAATGTACTAAAAAAACAGGGCCGCTATACTGATTCTGAAGAAAACGTCATATCCCTCACCAATCGAAGCTTTGTTTGACCTGCGTCGAATGGCATAGTAAATTACATTGTCTATCCCTCCAAATAATCGCAGCACTCCTCATATCTAACGCCCTTTCCTTCCGCTTTTCGTTTAGCTGGGAACCTCGTTCGACAAAAAAAAACTGCAGTATAATTTTGTTATTGTTTTATGTCATCTACGTTCAAATACATTTCAGAAAAGTAAATAATTATTTACCTGGCTAAATTAAACGCATCATCCATCAGTCCTGCACGATCCTTTACGTCAAATTTCTTCCAAAAATTTAATAAAGTATCATCAACATAAAACATTACCAATGCCATAAAGATCGTCACCATGAACAAGAACAATTAAGTTACTTACTGTGTAATCGGTATCCATTTGATTTGTTAATGCACTCCACTGCGCTTGTTCGTAGTTGACTCTGTAAAATCCTGTTTGACCCACATTGCCTTTGATCCAACCAATCCCATCCCAAGTAATTTCCACTGAAAACATAAACAAACATATTAACACTTCCTTATTAATTCGATGAACCGCTGCGGCGTTTACTAATTTATGAACGTTTCTGATGTAACGTCTATTCAAGGGCGGCGTCGGATTTAAAACCTTATTTGCTAAATCAGCGGCAAAAATTAGGGTTAAACATTTGCAAAGCAGAAACATCTTTTAAGCTCCAACGTTCCAGCATTTTAGCAAGTTCTACCGCTTTTGCAAATATGTTTTTATCATAGACCTCAAATAAATGGCATTCTTTCGCTTGGATACGGGTCCATTAAAGGCTTGCGTTTACTGGTTGTTTCGCTTCCATCTGCGGTGTAAAATCGAGTACATACCGTATTTAAATAGCTATTAGTCAGGGCTGAGTAGCAGCCATACTTATTTTCGCTGATCTTGTTGCTGCTTTTTTCTTTTGAAATTATTTTGTAGAGCACCACGGCCACAAATGTTTCAGTGACCATAACTTTTACGCTCAAGATTCCTACACTGCAGGGCTCTGGTTCGAACTTGTTGTTGACCGCCGTGATTGGGAGGTATTAGTTTCGAAATTTTGTTTAGTAATATATAGGACTAGAAGGTATATTTCATTATTCTCAGTCTGTTCAAAACCTCATTTTTTTTTATCTTTATATATATATATATATATATTTTTTTTTTTTTTACATTTCGTAAGGGCAGTCCATTCAAAACTGTTTGTCTCTTTCAGGGAGATCCTGGGCCCCATGGAAGGCAAGGAACTGTGGGATATCCTGGTGAAAGGATTTTAGGGAAGTCAAGGTAAAGCAGGAGCTGAAGGAGACATCGGGCTTGAAGTAAGCAGTCCAGCGCTCTACCACCTACGCTAGCCAGGCATTATCATCATTGAGATTATTACTAACTTATCAGGACTGACAAGCTTTTCTCACCTGAAGTCTTATTTAGAGGCTTGGACACAGTAACAGCGGAGTTTTTTGTGTTGTATGTAAATGGTACAACCCACGTATAGCTGTGGATATGGATAAACAAATTAATGACTCCCCCGTAGGCGATTAAATACTTTCTAGTGCATTAAGTCGAGGCTTAACGGTACACTTCCGTTAGAAGGCTAATTTCTTAAGATTTCTTCTTAGGTCACCACAAATACTTAAAAAATAAATTTATAATTCAACTAATTCACTTCTCTGGGTAAGTTTACTAACAAGTCGCAGCACGAGTTCGCCACTTCCTCTCCGAGTTCGCCCCTTCACAAGGTCTTCAATTGTAATACATGCAAGACTTACACCCACTTTCGCCAGATCGCCCCCAAATCTTTCAACTTTCATACCTACGGTAGAGCGTGCTCCTTTTCTGACGAAATCATACATGATCACCGTTAAAATCGACTAAAAATTAACACAACAAAGTATTATCAAAAAGCAAATTCTTAGTTGTGCTATCTCGCACACGACTGCAAAAGTAATATAAAGTAACACTTGTCCTCATGCTTAAGGTTTTGCACTGTTTTAAGCTTGCGTTTGCGTGAAACTTAAAAGAGCTTGTTACCCCGCAATTACGCAGATCGAGAGTTAGCGTCGAGAACCTTAACCACCGACAAACAAAAATACTTAATCTTACAAATTAGCAGAAGTTTCCAATCCCTCTAGATCGACTTCAACAAGGCGCGTCATTTTTGACTTATTTTTTATTATTTTTATTATTATTTTTTTAATATATTTTTTATTATATTATTATTATTATTATTTATTTATTTTATTTTTTAAACTTATTTTAGTTGAAATATGACGTATGATTTGTGGAGTTAACCTTGTTTATTTAGTATGGAAAGAAGATAGGTGGAGTCAAACTTTGTTCAGTGTCGATTCTGTTTAAGTAACACTTACTACTTTTCATTCCAAGTGACGGGCGTCGTTTCTTTTATCATTTTTACATTTAAATAAAAGTATTTTAGAAGCTGTTCGGATTTAGGGGCGTACTGGTAAAGATGGGGTTAAACTCGTTAAACTTTCTTAGACGAACTCGTCTATGAGACTGCGAACTTTCAGTGGGTGTAACCTCCATAAAACAAAGGACAAGACCTGCTTGAATGGAACGACTTATCTTTCACAAGTTTTTTTTCATATCGCCCACTGATGCTTTGGGGATAAACAGATTTTCGAGGAAAGGGCATTTTTATTGAACTCCTTTGTCATAAATTGCAAGAATCTTACGCGCTGTAGCATATTTTTGCTGAAACTATGGGGCGTAAGTGAATGATGTTCAGGTGTCAAACTTCATATTCACTACATGGATGAATAAATAAACACGTAAAAAATCATTGAATAACATAAGCTTGATTTTCTTACTTGAATGGGCTCGAGTATTTTGAGGTAATATTGGAACTTCGGTCATAGAGGAACCTTTCCTGTGAAACTCTCTGTACAGTATTTGATTTTGCTGTGATGTTCAGCACTGGATAGCCCATTTGAAGAGTCCAGGTATCCATCATTTGTTTGACGCTTACACATTTTCCCTGAGCACAACTTTCCTGACCAAACAAAAAACAAAGGCTGTAACTTTGCAATTATGCGAGTGAAGGTAAATAGTTCAATATTTTAGTTGACGGATTTGAAGTCTTTCACCACCTCTGGTTGGGAGACTCGAGGCAAATCACGAGAACGGCTTGCCTTTCCCAAGCATTCACTCGGTAGACGGGGCGCGACGGAAGCGTTTCATGAAAAAAAGAGGGGGGATTGGGATGTGTGGCTTGACCCAAGCCTCCTCCTTCTTTCATCCTGCACTTTTATCACTCAGTTTTAAATGAACACCTTACACAGGATTGAAAACGGCTCAGTGAGCTCTATTCACGAGGCGCAACAAAGCTAAAAATTAACATTTCCTAAATGGTCTAAGCACAAAAGCTGTAACAAAAAAAAAAAAAAAGAATAATGAATATAAATGAGGATTACCTCTGCAAGAGCTTTCCACAAATCATCTGTCACAGCATTCCCATACTTATACTTGTTCAGATAGTTCTAGAGGAAACAAATTGTCGCTATACAATTTACTTTTCCAGCGAAAACAAGCGAAAGCTTGGTAATCCAACTTCAATCTCAATTAACTGACATAAAAAGAAATTTTTCGGACTTTCGGATGATGTAGAGGTAAAGAAATGGTCCTAGTATGCTCCATGAAAGATATTGCAAAAGGTCTTAAACTATAGCTCACCTACGAGAATCATTTCTCTATTTCGTACTACAATCTTTGATCAATCTAGGGCGAGTTGGGTTTGGCAATCGAACTCAATCAAATCTTTTGGAGAGCAACCTTAATTGGTAGTACAAAACAAATTACAATTTAGCTCTGCTCAAATCGTTCATTTATATCACTTTGCGCACGTTGATTGGCCCTTGTAGATAGCTTCACCTCATTACATTTGTCTTGATCTCTACAAGTGTCCACAGGATCGCGCTCGCAATGCGTGACCGAACTTCTTCCATTTGTTTTGATACATTGTTTATTTCATTGTCTTTGCTTCCACAGTTCTTAGCATACGCGCTAAGGTTTTAATTGAAATAGACGGACTTGTCTGAGAAAACATCTCATTGAAATTTTCATCAAGACTGTTTTCTCAACCAAATCAGAACTCAACAAACAAGAGCGAAACAACGGAGAACTTGTGTGACTATCTAAAGCTAGCTGTTTGAGCAGTTTATTTCTGAATATTCACGATGCTGTTGATTAACTTTAACTGGTCCGTTACAAAAGCCTGTTTTTTTCAGGTATAAGGCTTTTAGTTCAACCCTACTGCACCGACAAATTGTTTCTGCGTGTTAACCTCTATGCTGCGCTCTTTGCTGCCGATCAAATTTTCTTGAGCGTGTTGTTTCCTCTAAGCTCGGATTGATCTTCGCTTATTGGAGACTATACTCACTGTTAAGCCCTTCAAAAATACATCGCGTCCAAGGAAATACTGAAGCATGCGAATGATTGATGCACCCTGCAGAGGAAAAATGAAAAGTAACTGAAATGACTTGTTGAAGCAAAAGTAATCTGGATTAAACCCGTGTAACTAAGCCAACCAAACTACTGCCCTTCCTTTGAAACCAAACATTTAAATATGCGACAAGTGTATACATACTTTGGGTTCTAAAGATTATATATTTTCAGTTCAAACAGCTAAATTAAAATAACATAGAGGAAATACATTCAGATACCTTTTTTTCCCAGTAAATGATTAATTATGCTATATAAATTATAAACTCCAAGAGCCAATTAAAAATCCAGAGCAAAGTCAGGTTTTACTTCTTAGGTTTATTTAAAACATCGCATTTCTGACGTGAGAACCTACACTTTTGAGACCCAAATTCAACTAATGGCAGTAGCCCGACGTTTGAAACCCTACAGCCATGAAGGTCAAAATGGATTCACCACGAATACTAAATACGGCAGGCTTCTTTGTATCACAGCAGCAACGCGCGACTTAGTTTCAGACGAATGAATAAAGGGGGTTAGTTTCTAAAGAAACTGTGGTGCTGCGTCGGTGGGAGAGTATAGCAGGTAATTTAGTGTTAACAACTAAGTTGAAAACGTAAATTGGCCACCGTAAAGAGTGAAAAGGCTGACGTTTTGAGCGTTAGCCTTTCGTCAGAGCCACGTAAAGAGTGAAAAGGCTGACTAACGCTCGAAACGTCAGCCTTTCCACCCTTCCAATTTGGTTTTCAACTCAGTTGTTAAGACTAAATTACCAGTTAGTTTCAGACGGACAGCTCTTGTTTTACTTATCTTAAATTTAAACATTCAGTGGAATGTCTTTGTGATATTTTCCTCTTTTAAAGCTACCTACGCATATTTAATTTAGCACTTAAGATTTATATTCGGCATTTCAAAATTCTATGCCATCGTTCAATAGTGATGCCATTACCAGGGTTAGAGAAGTAGGACGACGTAGGCGAGTTTGCTTTGGAGTGTAAGTGATGATCACAAATTAGTTAATGTTCTAAGCGACTTTTGTACAGGCATACCTTATTATATGAAATGGAGTCAAATATCTCATTGATTTCGTCAGGATGATATACTGGCACTTTGATCGGATGGGAATTTGCTAGGCCGTCCAATGAAAATGCATAAACCAAATCTGCTACCACAAACTGATCCAACTGTGGTGAGGACAAAAGTAACAAAACTCTGGTATTCTTATATTACATCTAAGTTTCAGTATATACTTTGCCTAACGGATCATATATAAAACCTCTGAAGTGAAAGCGGAAAATACACCTGATTTCAGGTATCAAGATTTGAAGCACCTTTGAGTACTTCGCATCATTTCAAGTGTACTTTCACCTTTCGTGCCCGAAGGATAGGTAAAACAAAATGGTTTACGCTGAAGGACAAACATTACCACTTTCCAGTCAGGCTCTGTTGCATTGACACCGTAATACTCCACAAAGCTAGCAAAGCCTTCGTTGAGCCACAGATCATCCCACCATTCCATAGTGACCAAATTACCAAACCACTAAAATAAACATCAAATCAAGTTAACCGCCAAAGACAAAGGAATAAAGGGGTTGGGGGCTGGGAGTTCGCTACCTTCTAGAATCAGCATGAAATATAAATATGTATAAGATACTAATGCTCGCGATGGAAAATACCCATAAAAATGAAAACTACTTGAAACCAAAACCAATAAATAATTTTATTTAAAATCTGTAGATATTCTTTAACCTGCTCGTGATGCTGTTTGCATGAGGTAAGTTTTAGTTCCGGAGCTATGAAAAATGAGAAGAAACTTCTTTGCTGTTTATATGCCTCCCCTCCATTACAAATGCACGGGCAATAATCTCCTTTAAACAAACTAAAAAAAATTTACGGCGTCATTCTTTTTCATTAGTGATGAGAATATTGAAATGATTCCTTTCCGTTTCCAATAGGGAAACTTTCTTATGGCTTGGACTTTAACCTGTTCACCACCAAATAGTCATTTTTATTCTCTGTTTACTATTACGCATAACACAAACTTACCACCCTAGTAATTTTAGTTCCGCTTACATAACGGTACTTTACAATGATTTCACCACACTGAAGTCTTGAAAATTTCTTAGCATGAGTTAAATTATCAGTTAATATTCGTTTTATAAACTGTGTAGAATGTTAATTGGCCACCGTAAAGGGTTTCTGGCTTTTCGGGTTGGTTTTCAACCCAAGCCAGGTAAATTTTATTTTGAGAAACTGAGCAAAAGAATTTCAACGTATCCATATTCAATTCCATAGGGAGTTTTATGTGTATAGGTAATAACATGATCCAAATGCAATTGGCGTAAATAAGCACGAGTAAACTTTTCAAAAACAACAAAATTGCACGAGACCGTAGGGCAAGTAAGATAAGATACTCCAAAAAAAAAGCAGCAGAATCGGGAAACATTGGGTTAAATCTGGGTCAAGATCAGAGTTCCATTGTAACTTACCATCAATCACTCACTCAATCACGCACTCACTTATCCCCGTAACTTAGTGGCTTTGCCTCCTATCATATAGAAGGCAGTAGCCACAGTAGGAACAAGGATGATAACATGAGGTGTTAGTAGCTGTCACCCAGAAATCAGAAAAGGTAAGAACTCAACTGTGTATCGAGTGCGAATGTCAAACGACTAAGATACTGCGAAACAAACAATAAGTAGCACTGGGTCAAAATCGGAATTTTAATCTTATTATCACTAACTCACTTACTCACTCGCTCACTCAATTATCTCGACGACATATGTAACTTCGCCTCCTATAGGAGGCAGTAGCCACCAAGAAAAACTATGCACTGAGCTCTGGCTCAATTGTTGACTTAAAAATCCCCTCAAGATAAAACTGCCTGTACCTGATGAGCAAGTTCATGGGACACTACTGAAGCTACTCGCATTTTGTTCGACTCTGATGAAGCACCCGGCTTGTACAACAGTGCTGTCTCTCGATATGTTATTAGTCCCCAGTTCTCCATAGCACCGGCGGCAAAGTCAGGAATAGCAATCATGTCTGAAAAGGTGAAACTTGTTAGGTGAACTAGAGCACAATTCAAACTTCTTTAGTGCATTTGATCTATTTGGCAATTTTCGATTTGGTGAAGGGGCAGGGGCTTAAAGTCACATGGCCATGAGCTAGCTTGAGGAGCCTCAGGGCAAGTTTTTCTATAAAGTTTTGACTTCAATTCCGTTCGTGATAGGAAACGCATTTAACAATGAAGAAAAGAAGAAGAAAAATAAACAGAGACAAACATCCACATAAACATTCGTTATTCATAATGAAAATTTACTATGACTTGCTCAAAATCTTTACAAGTGCAGTGCCACTGATATTCTATATCAGAGATGCACATTCTTGGCTGAGTTATAGCTAAGATCTTTTTTTTATTTATTTGTATCATATTTTGCACAATGTAATAACAGGAATTCATTTAGAAAAAAGAAAAAACAACAATCAAAAACAGTAATCCTTGCACAGCGACAACCCTAACCCTAACCCTAAGCTAATACTAAGACTTTCCTGCAAAAGGCAACACTAACAAGTGTTCTGGTGGTGTGAGTAAATTACAGTCTTAAACCTTGAATGGTGTCGTAAGACCCCTCTAATAAGCCACTGCTCTCAGCATAGCATCAAGTTTCTAATGAGCCTTCCCACCTTCTCCAACCCCAAACAAACACTCGAAAGTAAATTATTTAAAACACTTTATTTACAAATTAATTTCTAATAAATCAAATGTTCATGAATTTCTATTAAAGTCGACATCCACTTCTTTACATGGACGCCATTGACTTGAATAACTGAATTTAAAGGTAAAAACCTTACCAACTTTAGGCAGGGATGGATGTTAATGGTAAAAAACTTACCAGCTTTAGGCAGGGGATAATCAATACCGAAGTACTCTTCCATGTAATTCAACATTCTGACGCCAACATCTTTAGCATAGTCTACTTGATCAATTTGATCTGGTGGAGCATAAAATGTCATCTACCGAAGAAAAATAAGCTATTAAATAAACCATAAAATAACAGCAATAATTATTATTATCTATCATTTATTCTATTCATCTTTATTGTTAAAATCTCATCTACCGAAGAAAAACGGGAAATTTGAATCACTTATAGCACACCAAGGTGCATCAGTTAAATCGTATAAATTCATTTAGTCTTATTTCATACACTATCTTTTTTGATACCAAGAAAGCGAAACAGCAGATGTGGCTTACATTTTCATCGCAAGTCACATTAAAGATTTTTTGTTGAGTCTTTCTCTACGGGTTTGAAAAGAGCAAATCCTTACGCTATGCATTTGCAGTCCCTACATATTCGTTTCTAATATATTTTACTTATTGAGCAGGTTTTATAAACCATCCCTGTCATTACCCATTCACTATCTCTTTGGACATATTCGATAACACACTGAAGTCACTGAATGAGGACATCCTATCACTTAATGCACAAAATGAATTAAGTACTTACATTTGTGCCACGTTTGGAAGTCACAGTCTTTCCTGAAAAGTCGCACACTACAAATGCAAGTAAGTAAGTTGGCATTTTCGGGGTTGTCTGGAAGTGATCAAACTGCCAACCTTCCTTCTTGACTGTTTTGTTGATTGGCATGTTAGATATGGATATATACTTTGGATGATGAACCAGAGTCACTGCGAAGGTAGCTTTAAGGGCAGGTTCATCAAGACAAGGAAATGTCCTTCGTGCATCTGTCGGCTGAAATTGTGTTGCTGCAATTGTCCTACGATCACAATACAGACATAATAATAAACACTGTCCATCCTTACTAGTTTAATAGCGTTGGGGATAATGGTTCTTGGCACTTTCACAGCCAAGCAAAATCAGTCCTCTCGCGGTTAGTGATGGCGTGCACAACTTTTCAAGGGGGCTGAGTACTCCACAGTTTCTTTAAGTTATATGTCTTCCAACTGGCTCGGGACTGAATAAAAACTTCGTTGATGTATTATTGAATTAAGATTTCATTTCGTTAGTATGCCAAGTTTAAGAGTCAGCGCGAAGAGACAGTGATATCGATACGAGTAGACAACCCCAGAGAGTGTTTCCGCAATTTTGAGGCAACTACATCCGACGAACAAAAAAGAGTCGGAGATCAGATCAACTACAAAAGGCTAGAAACCACCGAACGTAACACAAGACAAAAGAAATGAAAGTCTTGAGACTTGTTTCTTCCTGGTAAAGCCGTTGCTGTTATGGCAGGCAAAATGAAGGATAGTGAAGCCCTGTTGGTCCGTCGGTGTAACTGTACTTATATGGGTTATCTTCTCTCCCCCCGGGGCGCTGAGATTCGGATCAGAAAAAACTAAATAGATATGGTAAGCAGGTAATTTAGTGTTAACAACTGGGTTGAAAACGTAAATTAGCCACCGTAAAAGGTAAAAAAGCTGACGTTTCGAGCGTTAGCCCTTCGTTAGAGCTCTGACGAAGGGCTAACGCTCGAAACGTCAGCTTTTTTATCTTTTACGGTGGCTAATTTACGTTTTCAACCCAGTTGTTAACATTAAATTACCTGCTATACTCTCCCGCCGACGCAGCACCACAGTTTCTTTAGAAACTTACCCATTTATAGATACAGTAAGGACTGATCCGCGGACTTTTACCCCTTTCTTCAATCCCCTCCCTATCCACTGATAATCCTGAGTGGCATGATGTTGTTTGATAAAAATAAATAATGCAGCAGATAACTTACACTTCTGTTCCATCCCTTCTTTTGTAGGTACTCTTGTACAATCCAGCGAGGTCATCCCTCAGCCACGCCTTAAACTTCATCTTGACTTTGTATTCACCTTCCTTTAAATGTGACTTCATTATAAGAACATAGAACTGGTTTTTGTCGAACTTGAACTTGTCCTGTATTTCAAGTAATTCTGATAAATTTGAAAAAGTGCATTTAAAAAAAGCAAACATTTTCACTCATATCCAAAGGCCAAGACAAAGCCACAGAAACAATGGCATCTCATGATATAAACTCCTGCCAAACCCTAACCCAACAGGCCATTTAAGAGACGCACAATTGTTGCGTTTTGAAAGATTTTAAAAGTGCCAAGGTTTTCGTGGGAAAAATAAATTTATCTTGAAGCAAATATTGCCGCTGTAGTTTGGAGGCAAATCTTGTAAATTAGCTAATCGTTGCCAGCAAGAAATACTTTATCTTCGCGATATGAAAAAAGGGCATTAAATTTCGCGATTAAAGCGCTCTCAACTTCACTAATTTTTCAAAATGTCTTCACTCTTGACGACTGCAACAAACAACACAAAACAAAACGAAGCTAAACTGATCACAAATTATGGGAGGATTGCAGGCAGTTTTGAGCCATCTCCATTTCGAAGTAGTGTAAAATCAAACTCGATGTAGTGGCATTTTTTTCTTAAGGTATCACCTGCGCAATGTTTAAAATGATTGAAATACTCCGAAAATGTAAGAGACGATCGTTTACATTGCGTTCATAAGCATGAACTTCAGTAACAATCCTTTATTTCCGAAATGAAAGCCGTGTAGCAAACGGCATCGGATGCATCCTCACAATTTCGCCCTCACCCTGACCTTACCTCCCCACACGAAAGCCCTCAACGCTTGGTATTCAAAGCGTCTTACTATACACACTAAGAGTCCAACACTTACTCGTGGGAGAATGGTTACACCTGCTCACCTTCATTTGAAAATTCAACTACTGAGGCAGAGGTAACATTCATCAAGTTTACATGAACAAGAATAACTTTAGTCGGTTTTGAAACTTTCAAATGGATGTCCACATCTCCATAAAACTCCAGTTTCTCCAGGTCAATGTGCAGCTCAACGTCATAATGTATGGGAGTTATGTAGTCAGGAAGACGAACATTCCACCACACCTCAGTGCCGGCTGTTGTTGGACCATGAGTCCCCCCCTGGGGAACTGTGGGGCTCGGTTCAGCAACAACGGGAATTGTCTTGCCTGTATCTGTGGTGAGAAATAAGAGCACCTCCTCATCGTCTCCCTTACCGCTATTTGTACCTATTTCCTGGCACTATACGCGTTTTTGAACTTCCTTTACTTCTTTCATTCATTACTAAAAGAAGTGAGTGTCACTGCTGTAAGGTCATCAGGTTTATTCGGACAAAATGGGGTTTTGGTAGAATAATAGTTCTCCGTGCTTCTGCGTACAATAAAATAGTTAGGTTTTCGATACTAATGAACACCTCTGACCTAGCGATTTTATGGTATTTAAAAGCTCGAAAATTCTTTCCCCAAAAGGATGGTAATTTTTTGAACCACCTTGCATTTCAAAACAAACATCGAACACTCTCATAAGGATTCCATGTGGTATTAGAACTGTAGCAACTGGGTAAATATTTCTGACTGCCTAGCACAGTCAGTCAGAAATATTTATCGAATTCCCACAGAATACCTCATGCAAAGCTAATGAAAGAGTGCGATGTTCCTGTAGAAATGTCACGCAATTCATAAAATGGCTTTAATTTTAAGTGTAGATGAATCTTCCAATTTTTTTCATACAATAAAATCGTTAGCAGCAGCATTATCCTACTTAAATAATAATCAGTTGAAGCTCTGGCCATTATTGGCATAACAGTTAAGGTTGTCAGGCATATATGCCATGCTTACAACTTGATTGAAGTTACAGGCTATTTTAAATTTCTCACTTAGTCTTGATTGCCTCATGGCTGTTTGCACTGTAAACATTGACTAGAAGATCTAACACATGTCTATTTACATAAGCTGCAGAATTATTGCCCATTTCTGTCCTGCTGAATTCCATGAATGCACTTGTGTTTTTATTTTTATCTAAGGAGAGTATTCCTTGAAAAATCCACCTCACATACTGTCAGAACGCTGCATAAAGATAGTTTGTGAAATTTTATTGTAGTTCAAATTGGTTGTTGCCATCATACCATTATTTAGACTAGTATCATCATGTTTAATCACAACTACTGTTTTTGTTTACACTGAGTAGTTATGTTAGATTTAGATGCGATTAAAATACACGGGATTACCTTTCTGGCCCTGCTTTCAACTTCTTCCTTCAAGTGTCGATAAGGTTAGGTATGTTCAAATAGACTGAATAATGTATAATAGATAAGAACAATCTTAATGCCTATGGAATATATGCTCTTTTGATTGTTTACTTTAAGTCATTTACAATCACCTGCATTACATAAAAATATAAGCGCAAGTGCCATCACAGAGAACAGAATTAGTTAGCATTCTGAATTTTATGTAAATGTTCATCTTTTATAACCTCTTAACAATGTTCATGGTACCAACAGCCATGGCATGGTTGCCAAAATCATAAATTTTTGAAATTCCCTGATTTTTCCATGTAATAAATGTTAAACATCCCTGACCAACTGAATAAACAATTTCACTAATGAGTCCTTTTGGTGGCTCAACCTTTCCTCACTGTCATCCTTTCCAGTTACAGACAGAGTGCATGAAATGATAATTCCTTGGTCAAGACAATAAGAAATCGAACACCTTTCGTGTCCATGAAATATATTGTGGACTTTCAAAGGTTAAAAGAAATTTATGTAGAAGAAAAAAATATGTATGATTTCATTCACAAACCAACTTGAACTTGCATTACAAAGGAAAAAGATAGGTTAATCAGTAATTTGTCAACTGTTCTACACAATGTATTTGATAAGGATCTCATCAACAACAACAACAACAACAACAACAACAACTTTATTTTTTATTTTTTCACCCCAAAATATACAAGAAAGAAAAATTTATAATAATAGTACAGACAATCATAGGGGCGCTGGCTGCCCGAAATAACCTAAGAGTTAAAAATGCCAGGCAGCCAGTTGAAAGAAAAGATGTTTAAATATTTAGGTCAGGGACACAAAAACAAAGAGGTACAGAAACGCACACAAAGGTAAACTATCAGTATATTAAAGAGACTAAAATTCATACATTGCAAAACAGTATTATTTCCATTTTAAAGTTACACAGACAATACAGATGTCTAGTAATCTTTGATAAATTGCTGCTTTACTTTCTTTTTAAACAAAGACAATGAAGATAATTTTATATCTTCGTCAATGGAATTCCATACTGATGGACCTTGAAATCTGATATTGAATATACCATAATTTGTTTTTGCTTTTGGAAGATAATAAGACTGTTTTGCACCAAGCCTTGTATTATAGGAATGGATTTGCGAAATTTTACTAAAAAAAGAACTAAAGACTGATGGCAATAATTGATTATGATATTTATACATAAAGATTGCTAAATGAAAAGTTACTAGGTCTAGGAATTTTCTAATTTCAAGAGATTTAAATAAAGGACTATAGTGCTCATCAAATCTAGAAAAGGTAATTAATCGCATAGCTCTTTTTTGTAAAATGAAAATTGGTTGAAGAGTGGTCTTATAGGTATTTCCCCAGATAATTATTCCATAGGTCAAAAAAGAATATATAAGTGCATAATATAAGCTTAATAAAATATCTAGGCCAACATAATAACGAAGTTTAGAGAGGATACCAGTGCTTCTTCTAATTTTCTTAACAATGCAATCAACATGGTGTTTCCAATTCAAGTGTGAATCAATTAGGATGCCCAGATCCTTATACAGAACTCTCGCTTAAGTTCCTTATTATCTATAGCCAGCATGAAATTTTGACATTCAAGTTTCTTTTGAGGTGCGTGGAAAATTACAAAATTTGACTTTTCTACATTGAGTGAGAGCTTATTAGCATAGAGCCATATGTGAATATTATTTATCTCAACATTTATGTTTGATTCTAGCATAGAGAAAGTTTTACTTTTATAAAACAAATTTGCATCATCTGCAAAGAGATGAAATTCAAAGATATCTGAGCAGCAATGAAAATCATTTACATATAATAAAAACAACAGAGGGCCAAGTACTGATCCCTGTGGTACTCTACAACTTACATTACATTTTTTGGATGTTGCATTATTGACAATAACAAGTTGTTGTCGGCCACTGATGTAGGAAATAAACCAATCCTTGGCAAGACCTTGAATACCGTAATACTCCAGTTTGTTAATCAAAATTTGATGATTGACGGTGTCAAATGCTTTGGTAAAATCAAGGAATATACCACAGGAATAGCTTCGATCATCAATTGCTTTCTGAATTTTGTCAATTATGCAAAGAATTGCATGGTCAGTACTGTGCTTAGTTCTGAAACCATATTAGTTTTCAAATAAAACTTTGTTTTTTTCTAAGAATTTGATTAGTCTATTATATACAAGTTTTTCTAGGAGCTTACTAAAGACAGAGATAAGGGAGATGGGACGGTAATTGCACAAGGATGACTGTGATCCTTTTTTGAACACGGGTACAACATTTGCTATTTTAAAATCACTGGGAACAACTCCGGTTGAAATAGAAGCATTAAAAACTGTCTCCAAAGGTTTTGATATATAGGCTTTTAGCATTTTTAGTATATCAATTGGAATGCTGATGGTCCTACAGACTTGCCATTTTTTAACTTAGATATTTCAGTTTCAATTTCACTACAAGTTACCGGAAAAAAATAAAAATTTTTACATACAGGATTATTCAGATATACCACTGGGCTATTGGATACACTTGGTATTTGACTTTCTAGGTTTTTACCAATATTGGCAAAATAATCATTAAATGCATCGGCAACAAGTTTAGGTTCAGTTATTTCTAAGTTGTTTTCTACAATCTTAATGAGCCTTTGGCTAGTTTGCGGCTTAAATTTTACTATTTGTTTAATCCCTTTCCAGATCCTTTTACCATCCTTAATATTTTGAAAAAAATATTCATTATAATATTGTTTTTTGCTTATTTTTAGAAGATGGTTTAATTTGTTCCTGTAAAGCTTAAATTTTGTAAGGTAATAGGTAGATTTTGTCTTGAGGTATTTCTTATAATAATTATTTTTAATTTGAATAGACTTTCGTAGAGCTTTAGATATCCATGGTTTTGATTTAAGCTTTACTTCCCTCCTAGATAGTTGTTTGACTTGTATATGTTTGTTGATTATGCTAGATATTTTAAAGTAAAAAGATTTAAACATATTGCATGCACTATCATTGTATGTAAAAATAGTTTCCCAGTCAATTAGTTGAATCTCACTAATGAAAGCCTGCTGATCAAATTTAGAGTAATCTCTTTTGAATATTTTAACATTGCTAGGAGGTGATGAAAATTTATTAAAAATTAGGAAATTGGGAAAGTGATCAGAGAGATCATACACTATATTACCACTGATTGTAAAATGCTCAATTGAATTGAAAAAAATATTATCAATTAAAGTTGCTGAATGATTTGTGATTCTTGTTGGTTGCATTATATAGGGCTGAAAAAAATTAGAACCCAGAGTATTAAGGAAACCATCAGTTGCTGAGTGTGATTTAAATTTCAAAAGATCTATGTTAAAGTCTCCCATGATTATACAAGTTTTGTTTTCTTGATTAATTCTATCAGCTGTGGAGCTCACATATTCAATAAATCTTTCTTAGTCACCATTTGGATGCCTATAAATTATTCCACAGAGTAAGCTTGAATGACAATTATTATGTACCTGAATCCATAAGGCTTCAAAATCATCAGCAGTTATTGTAAATTCAGATCTTATGTTAAAATTTAAGTTGTTTTTTATGTAGAAAGCAACTCCCCCAGCATTGGAAAGGCTTGGTTGGGAGAGATACTGATATCCACATATATCAGTGCTAGATATAGGAGTCTGATCAATTTTCTGTTTGATTTCAGTAAGACCAATCAATGAGAAAGGAAAATATAGCTCTGATAACATGTTTGACAATTTATCATAATTAGCTGATAGGCTCCTAATATTACAGTTAATCAAAGAAAAAGATTGACCACTCAATAGACACTTGTTGATGTCATAACTACTATGAAAATCATGAGTACTACAAAAACAGAAATTGTTTTCCAAAGGCATGTTTAGGTCAGCATCTATATCAGTGAGGTGCAGGATGTTACAAGGAGAATTGATACTTAAAGATGGAAGTGAATTGGCCAAGTCACAGGCCATATCAGTAGTGTCAGTTACACATTTTAAATAATTCATCAAATCGTAAAAGATCAGAAAATAAATACTAATCTAGTTTGTATCTTCTCAAGATCCTCTTTGTTATTAATATGGTGAACGGCATACTGGTAGATACTCACAATATTAAACAGATACAATATATCACACGCTACAGAGCACTATACTCAAATTGACTACAATTTCCTCAAGAGTGAAGAAATAAGCAGCCATCTTGTCTGCTAACCGCTGACCGATCATCATCACATCACAAAATCTCATCACAAAAAGACTTGTAAGTGTCAGTATCTTTCATCACAAAGAGGGCCAAGCCATGATGAACAACATATTTACCTGAAATTTCACTTTTCCCTGACTTCATTTAACCCTTTAACTCCCATGAGTGACCAAGACAGAATTTCTCCTTACAATATCAATGCAATATCAAACAGATAAGTGATGAAAATTGAGAAAAATTTCAATTTGGGGATAATTAGTTGATCCAATACTTAATTCTCTGAACTAACATTATATGAATTCTATGGTTGACATTAAGGAGAACTTCAAATTTTATCTGGGAGTTAAAGGGTTAAAGTTTTCCCTGATCTTGAATAAATTTATTTTTCCTTTACTTTTTCCCGTGGACCTGTGACAACCATGCATGATGCAGCTTATGTAAATAGACATCTATTAGATCCTCTAGTCATTATGTTTATGGTGCTAACAGCCACAAGGCAACCAAGACTGCCAGTGAATGAGAAATTTAAAACAGCCTGTCACTTCAAACAAGTTATAAGCATGGCGTAGATGCCTGACAACCTTGACTGTTTGGGCAAAGCTTCAAGTGACCATTTTTTACGTAAGATAATACTGTTGCACATTATGAAATACAGACTACGAAGCTGAGATGTATCACTCTTACCTACCTGGGGTGCCTTGTGCATAAATATCAATTCAACATATACATTTCTTAGCCTATAATTGCTGTTCTTAAGACAAACCAATATTAAGAAAATGAAGACACTTTGTGATCTGTAATACAATACATCACCATTTTGGCATGTGAGGTAACATCTAAACAGTGTCAAAACAGTCACTGATTCAAGAGCTTGTTTTGTGGTATTTGAAGCAAAAAAACCAAACCACCTTCAATGTTTATTTTACAGGTGTTGGTTGAAAGCTTGCCTTTTTGAAGGGAAAAAAAAAACAACAACAACAACAGCAATAGTAATATGAAAAACAAGTAGTTTTATACATAGAATAATTTTAACATGTCGCATTTTGGCAAGGCTCAATTTCCAAGGGGAGTCTTAAGAACAAGTCTTTATCACATAATCATATAGTGATCGAATGGTCTTAATCAATTGATGGTGATGCCGAGTTGCATGCATACTGAAGGGCAGAAAAGTACAAAGTTCATGAAATAAATTCCGTACACCTGTTTTCCGATTTGGACTGTTTGAGACAACAGATGCACTTACTTTCAGTTTCGATAAGTTTACCACGAACGCAATCAACCTGTTCAAACTGCTAAGTATCACGTCTGACTTTCTGACTGAATCTGACTCGAAGTGATGCTCTACTGCAGCCATGTTTGTTTCCTGACAAGGTTGAGCTCGATGATGACATGCAAGATGGGGACGTAATCAAGATAGCAGCCTTATTGCTCGATTTTCTTGCAATAATTTCATATGGTAAGGAAGCATTATGGAGGCTGAAACTTTGTGGAGTATTCTATCTTTGTATTAGGTTTTTTTGGTGGAAAGAAAAAGAATACTTCTCAGGACCCTACTAGTCCTTTGAGATAATCCGATAATCCGCCATTCCGCCAATTTACTGTTCCACCGTTTTATAATTCTGTGGAATAACTCAAGGTATCGTATTTCGAAGCCAACTCGCCGATTCAAACGATAAAATACTCTCTTTTCAAAGGAAAAAAAAGGATTACTTCAAAGCTTCCATGATGTGCAGATCACATTAACTGAGATATTTCTGTAAGAAAAAGTTTTGCTTTAAATTATGCGTCAGAGGAAGCCGCTGTGAAATTATTCTGAGATGTTTATCATCTTTTGTAGTGTCAGGACAAGAACTTTTAAAAACGATTATATCTTCGGATCTACATAATTCGCTGATTTAAACGGTAAAATACTCTCTTCGGACCGATCACACCTCTCTCTATCTCTCTCTCTCTATATATATATATGTAAATATATAATATTTTTCTACAAGGAACATTTTTGTTGCTTAAAATCGCGCGCAATCCTAAAATGATTGCGAGATGTTTATCGCCTTCTGCTGTCATCCGTAGTGTTACGACAAGAACTGAAAATATAATGCGCTAGTAGCTATCAGCCAGAAATCACATGAGAAAGGAACTCAACTGTGTATCAACTGTGTATCAGACGACTAAGTAACTCCGAAACAAATCATCCAAAAACCCACGCCAAAAATAGCTTTCTTCAGCCCGGCAGACTTCCTACGCACTAGATTTAATGGGCAGAGGTCCCAGATTGATAACTTCAATTCATGCTTTTCGGATTGCAGATAGATCGGATCGACTACAGTAGCAACGCATTATTTACGATGCGTCACGCATCACACATCTTCATTTGCAAGATGCAAAACAACCGAGCCGCTCCAAAAATTCTTACTATAAAACCTAAGCAAGGTCTAGTAGCTCTGTTTCTTTGCAAAGCTGTCTCTAAGCACGTGGTATGAGGTGCGTTTACATACATCTTACTCATTAGTGAGGTATAGTTCCTCAGTTCTTTTTGCCCCGTGGGGCCTTGTGTCCGAAGCTGAACCATGCTCTATTTTCCAAATGCTATGTTGTTGGTACTTACCTTTATTTCTCTGTCTTTCGGCCCCGAGCAAAGCTCCCAAAACGATTACCAAAATCAGTAACACAAATATTAGAATACCGCAGACAATGATCGTACGCTTGTTAACGATTCTGGAGTTATCTTTTGTCAGACCGCTTTCTTTAAGTCCGGAACTCAAAGGCGAGCTTCCTGGTTCTTCCTTCAATGGTTGTTGCTCCATATCTGTGTCAAAAGGCTTCCGAATAGAATGGACGCTGTAATTTACACTAATCTCATTCCCCCCTGCGTTCTAAAATTCCACTGACCCTGTTGACATTTTAGCTTGCGATTGCGTAACCTAGGACACGACAATGGGGCCTGGAAAACGTAAGGAAGGATCGAGATACGGGGATCGAGGATCGGGAATCTTTCAAGAGCGATTTCAATCATTTATTGCGGCATTCATTAGTCTCTAGGGAGTAGGAATGCAAGTTTTGCTGCCTGAGGCGATATAATTAGTGGAGACTCGCTCCTCACCACCTGCGGGTGCACTAAATAATTGTCTGAAACCATTACAAGCTGAAATGTTGTTTATCGAAAAAGACAAGATATCATCTATGATACAATAGAAAGCCTTGGCCCTGATAGAAAAAGTACACATACCTATTTCAGGATTAGTTATAGTTAATCAACTTCGAAACGCCCACAATTTCAAAAACTGTCTACAGCAAAAATATAGATAGTTCATGTAACTGTTGATGGTAGGAATTTGACCTGATGGCGACGAAATATGCAAAATGCACACATCCGGCAGGAGCGGTGACACGCGCTTAGAGGGAAGGGGGTGGGAGATTAGACGCCTCTGTCATCAGGCTCGCCTCGCACTTGCCTCCGCTCGTCTCAAGACAGAACGCAAATGAGGCTTGTTCTGCGGGATAATGATTTGGGAAATTAATGGACGTCATTTTTGTGGAATTCCTCTTTGATTTATTTCACACCTCTTGATGAACAAAAAAAAAAAAAAAAACCAAATTGAAAGAGGAACATATTTTTTTTGGCACGAAGGGTTCAATGCGTTGACAGGTATTCGTTTACACATCAGCGCCGTTTCTGTCACTTAAATTGTACTGTTATCTGACTGTTTTAGTTTGGGTCCGTGACGACAAACTTTCCTTGATTTGAAAGCCGTTTCTTTGTCCATATCTTTTTTATGGAAGAGTCCATTGGTGCATTGATCACAAAGAGAGAATTGATATAAAAAACGACGACAACAACAACAAATCAATCTAAAAAGGGACTCCTCTTTTGCAGCAAATTATCTGCATTTCCTAAACCTGTGAGAATTCCATTCCAAAATCTTAGTTTTCGAACCTCTCTTCCCCGTTAAAATCTTTTAATTTTCAAGTATGTTATATTTCCAATACGTTAGATTAGTCGAAAACATAGGCCACTTCGGAGCGACTGAAAAATCTCCTTAGGCTGTCGCAGAATTTAAGGGTCGATTAGCCTTAACATCAAAGGTATTTCTGGTATGCTAAAGAGTGTTGCAGTGGACATCAGTGAAGAATACGGTAGCAACTAACCCTTATCCAAAAACTGTGTACAGGACAATTCCATTAGTTGCACAGCGCGTGTCCCGTCTGCAAGAGTGATTTGTGTATAAATCACCTGCATAAGGATTTGAACTAATTTATCATCGCTGCCTTTACTTGCATAGAAACAAAACGACACCGTTAAAACCCTCGCAGCTGCAAGGTTTGATATTCCAAGTGCGATTCCTTCTGGGCAACTTAAGCGTGTCAGTTCACTGAATAGAAGAAAACATTTACCTGATGCTTTGGAGCGCTCGTGGCCCAAAACTGCTCCTAACACTATGACCAGAATCAGCAGCACAATAACGACTATTCCGCATATAATTATTTTGGTTTTGCTCACAAAAATCCCTGGAACTGATTCAGCAATGATCACCTTCTCACCCATCGTTAATTCGTATGGCCGAAATGAAGTTCACCCGACACTTCTGCAGATCAGAGAATCTACCCTGGAGGTTTGAGAGTATGTGACGTCAGATATTTGATGGGGTTTTATGAACATGACTATTGTCTGCTATTTCTGTAACTCTAACCCCTCGCAGATTAACTGGAACTCAGCTAGTTTAGGGGGGAGGGGGTCTGAGAGCGCTTGTGATCCTCTCTTTTGTCGCAGGCGATGTGTACAGTCTTATAGCGTTGCATCATGGGCGTAAAATATGAAGGAAGTCATTTGCATCCTGTCGCGGTTTAGTGAACCTATTTGGTGGCTGCAAGAATACCTTCGATGTACGTGAATGTAATGGGAATTCATTGTCTGCAGCCGTTCCTTCGAACGTTAAAAAGTGTTAACGGGCCAGAGCGACTTCTGTCATTCCTACGGCACTAAATCAGTCCGGGCCATAACCATTTCTGGATACTTGATGACGTCACCAACATGGATGTCGTAGTGGGACATCGAGGAAACTCACTCATTACTTTATTCGAGCCCTAGCGACTTAGTTCCCTACCCATATCCCATGAAACCTTGCAAAATTAAAGAAGAAAAACAATTACACACAACAATCAAAGAACTGATGGTGGTCGCGATGACGAGAAGGAAAAATTCAGATGAAAAGTCGGGTGGAGGTCCATGTTGCGAAGGGCTCGATCGAGGAATAACCTCTATTTAGTTGAGGTTTTCAGGTATGCAACATTTTTTTTGATTCCTAAAAAAAATCTTTTAAAAAACTAGAATAAATTTGCTTCCAATTTGTCAAAATTCCAATCGAGTGCACGAGGTTTTTGCTCGAGTGCATGAATGTTGAAAGTCTGTTAGTGTGCAAACTACCGGACAGATTCCTTTGTTCAGATCCATCGGAGTATCGTGTAAACCATAAATTTTAACCATACGTTAAACTTGACGAAATTCTTTCCGAAAGAACCCGAATGATTTAGGGCTGTAAATACGGCAAGATCTTCCATAAACTGAACAATTTTTGAGCGAGTAAATGGTAGTTAAAATAGAGGTGATGCAAATTAAAGAGAGATTCCTCAGCGAAACATTTTGATTTCCGTAACGGTAAAGGTGATTTAAAAGGCTTCCAAACAAACTATGAAACATTATTTTTACAAGTATCTGTCACAATCTGACACCTGTCAATTAGAGAGCGCGTAAGAAAAAAAAAAGCATAAGAACATTTGAAAAACAACGGAACTAGTTTGGCAAGGACTGTCACGACAATGTTTTCTTCAAAATCAGTCAACGATCTAACGGAAAGTATTATTCACTCTCATCGACGATTCATTCATGTACGAAGATTTACCTCTGTTCATTAAGTAAACGGCGAGGAAAGTAATTGTGAGTAAATTCAATTTTTTTATTTTGAAGTTGTGAGAGTTTGCTCGTTTGTTTGCTGCAATGGCGTGTGTAAATCTGGTCTTTCCTTCACAAAAACTAAATTTGAACGGCACGCTCCAACGAGACACAAGGGAATTTAATGCGGCCTTTTCTCGAAAAATTCCTTCAGTTTCTGTTGTGTAATTTACGGTACAAATGTCCAAATTGAACGGAATTGGAAAGACTCACCGGGAGCCTATATTTGTTGTAGAACTTAAATTAAAACTTTGCTCGCTCTTTCACTACTAACAATTTTCTCGAGAAAATTCAGATATTAAATTAATGAAAGTTCCATCGTTCAGTTTAACTGTAACCAAATACCTCACGTTTTAACTTTCTGGGTACTTTTTGTGAATGATTAAAATTAATTGCAGACGGTTTTTAGGCCGCTTGTCAACCAACGTAATGACACTATTGTTTATACAAATTCATTCTGAGACCAATATTTTTCTGTCAACCAAAGTGATTTGAGAGAGAGAAAAGAGAGGATTCATAAGTTATTTATCGGCTTGAGGTAATGACCGACTTGTTTGCTTTAAAATACTGCCCAGCCGGAAAACGAGGTATATTTATGAAAAATGACAACGAAAGTTGGGATGTACTCGGCGACTTACGAAAGCGTTACCGTGGCCCGTGGGCAGAGATAGGAAAATACTGACCGGGTAAAGAACCAATCAGATTGCAGGATTCGTTACCGTGCCCTCTAAAAAACAATAAATGTGATTATCCAGCGAGTAAGTTCTCCTTCGGGCAAACATAAAACAAAGAGGTATTCGTTCACTGAGCTCTCACATCTTTAGGTATCGTATCCGGGAAATGTGCGATAAGAGCGGCATGAAGATGAAAATAAAGAAATCACATTGGTGGAAAGCCTTGCCGAAGTGTCTCTATTACAGCATTCCGGAAACAAAGGTTAGAGTTTAACTACACGAACTGATGAGAGTGAAATTTTCGTCTAAAACCACAAGGGACTTGTCTGTAATTGTGAAACTCGTTTAGAAACACCGCTCGTGCTTTCACATTTTGCAGTGATTACCTAAACAAACTTTCTATACAGGGTGTTCAAATCAAAGGGTAATTGTAGAGGACATATTATTGCTGACTAAAAGCTGTAGGACCGAATTTGTAATGTTCTGAGACCTAGATTCTCCCGCGAATCGATCAATAGCGCGCAAAATACCTTGTATGATTCTCTTGCATTGAATTCGATCATGTGTATTCGTCTTCATTTATATTGTGACTACTTGATTTTATTTTATCCCACTCATGTTATTATTGCCGTTTATTTTCCAGGTATCATAATTTCAAGATCAAAGCTCCACGTGGAACACCGCTTGTTATTCAAAGTGAAGACGACGACACGTATGACTCGCATGCACTGGCTTGTCTTCTTCCACGAGAAATGGAAAGCATTCCAGAGGCTCTACGAGAAGTCCAGATTTTCAGCAAATCGCAGAGAAAGACATACACTTTAGGAGATGTCAAAGGGCAGCAGATCGGCACGGTTCAGCACTTTCTAAACATACAGCTGCATGCTTTGCTTCGATGTGGCAAAATAACTAGGAATTGAAGGGTGAGTTACTGTTTTCTTGCTCTACTGTTACTTTTTCGTAAAGGCTTGCTGGACTGAAATTGATAATGTCTATTCAAAAATCGGAAAGAAGCAAGATATTGTCTTTCCTCGACCTATACTGGAGAGAAATGAAATTGTCCCGATTCCGCGATCTCACACCTCACTCGTCCCAATTGTTATCAGTGCGCGTTATTTGGTTCAACTTTATTTAATTGGTTTTCTTGTAACCCAAAATAGGGAAATCAACGGAGAACGGACAGTAATATCGAGGTCAAGCTTTACCCAGAAGTTCTCCAGATACAAACAGGCTGGCGGAGGAGCTTTTATTCCTGTGACGCTCTTGGTGGAAGGACCACAGCGTTACAAAGAATTTGTGCTAGAAAGAATCCGCTTTACTC